ATGACTAGCCATCCCTGGTTTATCTGCTTCTGGCAGAGGTTGGTCATGAACGCCTGAAAGGTTGCGGGGGAATTCGTTAATCCAAAAAACATGACTGTTGGCTCGAACAGTCCTTCTTGAGTGGTAAACGCTGCTTTCCATCGATCTTCTGGGTGGATCCTCACGTTATTGTACCCTGATCTTATGTCGATCTTCGTGAAGTACTTGGCGTCATAGAGTTGTTCAATGAGGGATTTTGGCAAGGGGAGGGGATACTGATTTCGTACAGTCCAATCGTTGAGATACCGATAATCTTGACAGGGACGCAGTTCTCCGCTTTTCTTTCCTACGAAAAAGAATCCGCTGGCTTGGGGTGATTTGGAGGGGACGATAAAACCTTTTCTGGTGTTTTCTTCGATAAACGTTTTGACAGCTTCTCGTTCTTTTCCTGATAACGGATAGACTTTTGACGTTTTGGGCACGAATCCTGGTTTGAGGTCGATACGATGATCTACCCCGGGTCTTTCCGGCGGGAGTTTGTTAAGACCATCCTTGGCGAAGACGTCTTGATACTGATGGAGGAAATGGGGAACGAGTTCTTCGAAAGTTTTCTTCTGTTTTTCTATTTCTCCTGCGACCGCGAATTCCTGGGCTTTATTACTCGTCTTTCCGTAGTTTTGTTCCCTTTTTGATGTCCCGTCTCGAACGAGTGGGGTATCGAAGGTTATATCTTCTATGATGCGTACGGTGGAGCCATCAGCGGCATATTCGACGAGTACTTCGTCGTCGGCCAGTTGATAGGCTAATGGGTCAACGACTGGAGTTTTGAAATTTTCTGACCAGACGTCCTCCTTCGTGTCATAGTTGGGGATTTCTTCATCAACTACTTCTTCTACAGAAGCGGTATAGGGGGAGGTGGTTTCCTCAGTTGCCACCTTCACCTGTATCAGGCTTCCGTAGTTTGGAATTTGTCCAAGTTCGGGTCGTTTCTTTTCTGACTTCTTTTTCTTTTCTGAAAAGCGGCGGGAGTGACTTCTTGCGTCTCTTTCTGTCAATATTTTTCTCTATGGCGAGCGACCTTTTCGTCGATGGGAGTGATACGGTCTTGGCTTCCCAATCGATCTGGGGTTTCAGTGCAGCAAGCCAGGGGAATCCTAGGAGGATTTTGTCCTGTTTGGCTAGCTTTGCCACATTGAATTTCCCGATCATGGTTCGTTGATCGATTTTGATCGTGAGTACGCAGTAACGAGAGATGAGTCCTCCTTGAGCGTCTGACCCATCGGCGGTGATAACAGGGAAGGGTCGTGAGAGTTTATGGGTTCTTATTTTGTGCCTTTTACAGAAGGTATCGCTGATAAAGGTGCCGGATGCTCCGGAATCGATGACCATGGATGTTTCGACGGTTTGTACGCGTTTATCGGAAAAAATGGATGCAGGAATTCTTAATTCATTTCTGGTTCCGATAGAACGTATTAGTCGTACATGAGTGGGAGTTACTGACGTCGAGGCAGTGTCCCTTTCTAAAAATCCATCTCCACGAAGCGACGTTCTACTTCAGTGAAGTCGCTATCTTCTTCTTCTTCGATTTCTTGGCCTTTTCTTTCATAGTCTTCCTTCGGACTGGTGCTTTCCTCTTTGGAGTTTCTTCCTCGTTCCTCTCCTTCTTTCTTCTGATGGGGGTCCTGGAGGAGGAGGGGCGACTTTCGACTTCGTCGTCGCTGCTACTTTCTTCCTCTTTGTTTCTTCGGATCTGTCCTCTTTCTCTGGGGTGGAAGGAGGTGTCGTTGGCACGGTGTCCTACTTGGTGACATTTGAAACATCTTCCTTCTTTGAGGTGCTTCTTTAATTCTGCGTCTGAGAGGCGGCTTATGCGGTCGACTTCCATGTCGTCGTCCCTTTTTGGAACGTAGTGTCTATTTCCGAAGTTCTTCTTCTTTTGTTGCTGGGGTCTTTCTTTCTTCTTGATGGCTTTCCATCTCTGGAAGGCGTTATCGAGATTAATGCAAGAGTTGACAACGGTGTCGAAGTTATCGAGAGTTTCACCTGTTCGGTGCAGGTTGTCCTGAAGCCCGTAGTCTAGGCCTTGTCGAAAGAATTCGATGAGGGGGGCTTGTTCGGTCATTCCTGCTCGGTGTGCGAGGAGTTTGTAGTTAGGAGATGTAGGTGTGGAGATCTCCTTTCATCTCTAATCCTCGTATCTTCATCATGGCAGTTCCGGCGGGGTCCATGGGTTTAAAGGCTTCGTCGAAGTCCTTTTTGAATTTGGCCCAGGTACCGTAGCCGATCATTTGTCCAGAGGTGTCTTTCCTCTTTGGGTCTAGGGCTGCTTCCATGAAGTCTTCTGCCCAGGCTGCTGCGTTTCCTTTCGTCATGTAGGATAACACAAGAATGATCTTCTTCTTATCATCAACGTAGACTTTGTCGTTAATGTCGAGGTATGCATGACATTTCATCATGAATCTCTTCGATTCTTCTCTGTCTCCATCGAATTCGGGAGGGGAACCGATCTTTAGTTCTATTTCTTTGTTCTGGGTCGTCATGGCGTTCAAAGGAGGAAGGTTTGGTAGCGCTCCTAAGTTCAAGGCTCCGATCAAAGGAGTTAACGAAGTCGTGGTGTCGGTTTCGTTGCAGATGGCAACGGTTCAGGTAATAAGACTTTAATCTTTTGTTACGACTGGGATGAGTCGAGCTATCTCTGTCTGAGTAGACAATCGGCAGGATGCCAGATAGACGTAAGTCTGCTCTCGATTGAGAGATCAAGTGCTTCTGGCTAAGGCGAGTGTCGCTGACTCCCTTAGAATAGTGGTTCTTAGGCAGCAAGGTTGGAGACCTTGCTGAAGGACAATGTTCCAGGTAAAACCCAGTAGATTAAAGTAAAGAATACAACCATGGGTAGGTAGGTTTATATACCAGTGTTCAAGCGGAGCTTGTAAATGTGTTATCAAGATAGAAGCAAAGAAGAGGCGGACAGCCCGCTTGGCAAGATAAGAGATAGGCATGATAAGAGATAAGCGTGGTACGGCCGGCCCGTTTAAGAAGCAAAAGGAAAATGAGTATAGGGGCCTCTCTAAATGTTATTGTAACAGCGAGCCTCAGTATTCGATAATTGGAACTCGGGACTTGACATATGGGAGTCCCGAGTGCTGGGGTACTGAGTCCCAAAACCCGGAATTCAGCACTCGATATTTGAGACTGGGAAAAGATGTATAAATATGCTTGAATTAACATTTGTGATTGCTGTACACATTTGACAGAACCCTGAACCCCGACATTGTGGACTCCCCGGGTTTCAGGGTTCGGGACTCGTGACTCGGAATTTGATACTTTGTTCTGAATACCGAGCCCCGGAAGCCCAGGTCCCGAGTCCCGAGTCCTGAATTTCGGGGTTCAGGGTCCAGCAACCCGGAGCGCGGCAACCATGTCGGGTGTTGGGGTATCCGGAACATTGGAGATTGCATGTGTCAGTGTTTCGTGTTTCATGGTTCATGTTCTGTGATTCAGGAATCGGGCGTCAGGGACTCAGTATTCAAAACAGTGTCGAGTCCCGAGTGACGAGTCCTGAACCCCGAGCTCCAGGTCCCAAGTCCCAAATGTCAGGATTTGGGGTTCAGGACTCGTCACTCGGGACTCGACACTGTTTTGAATACTGAGTCCCTGACGCCCGATTCCTGAATCACAGAACATGAACCATGAAACACGAAACACTGACACATGCAATCTCCAATGTTCCGGATACCCCAACACCCGACATGGTTGCCGCGCTCCGGGTTGCTGGACCCTGAACCCCGAAATTCAGGACTCGGGACCTGGGCTTCCGGGGCTCAGTATTCAGAACAAAGTATCAAATTCCAAGTCACGAGTCCCAAACCCCGAAACCCGGCACTTGGCACTTGGCACTCGATTTTTGAGATGAGACATTTTTCAAACATGTTTGAATCAACCTTCATATCCATAGACATGGGCTTCCAAGACTGGGACACAAGATTTTTGAATGCCTATAATATTTTACATCTTGTATACAATGAAGACTGAAAGGGACTACACCCCTTTGCCTCTCCTCAAGTTCTCTAGCATGTCAGTGTACATCTTCACTTCTGCCATCTTGGCTTGGATGCCCTCATCTTGCTCCTCCATCAATGCTTCCATGTGTTCTTTAATCCACCTCAGTCCCATCAGTGGTGGACTCAAAGTGTTTTTCAACGTCTCCGGAAGAACCAAAGCATCATCCTCAACACCAAGCTAGAACAGATAAGTCATCACTCAAGGCAATTCAGCTAACATCTTACTGCCCAATACTGGTAGTGAGAGACGCAGGAAGCCATTATCTCATCCCAATGCCATGGTTGATCCGGGATTGTGGTGTTTCCCATCCACCATGGACATTTATATGCGAACACAATCCGGGACGGATGTCCTGCAATTGCCTCATCATCAAATGCAAGGAGGTGGAATGAAAAGATGTCATCCGGAACCATGTTCCAGGATAACATGGGATACAACTTAAGGATATAAGCAACTGGGACCGGAAGAACAGACACGATATTCTGTGAAGCAGAGTACTGCAGGAGTGGTGTGACAAAAGTCTGCTCAAATTCTTAGCATTGACGAACACAGTCATCAGGGCAGCGGTAACATACATTCATCTCCCATTGCAGCCCGGCTTTAAAATACTTGATCCAGTCAGAAGATGGAACATTGTTGGCAGCTTCCTTCTGATATTGAGAGATGCATGCACGGACACGCGATCCAGCCATTGCGAATGTGCAGGAAATAGTTCCAAGGCTCAGCTTCAGGGGTTGGTAATGGCTTGTGGCATTCAGAGTGCCAGAAGTGGATGCAGGAGTTTCAGGCATGGCTAATACAGGACTATGGCGCAGGCAATGTAAGTTAAAGATGGTGAAGATGTGAAGATAAGAATCACTGATGGATGGATACAAAATTCAAACTCCGACATGGGCTGACCCGGACAATTCCCGGGACTCAATTATGTATGTGGAAAAAGGGACTTCATGAGAAAACAATGTTCATTCATCTCCAGCCTCTATCAACATGTTCTGTAGGTCTTGAAAAGCTGCCTGCACATCCTGTGCGAGCAATGAATACATTTGGGATTGCCTTCCAGCGTAGCATCCGTGACCTGGAAGGCGTTTCTCCAATGATTCCTGCATGTGGTCGCCCCATTGGGTTGATTTCCACAAAAAGAAGTTACATGTCCAATCCATCTCCAATTTGACCAATATCATTTCTTCCCTCCATTGATCCCGTAGTGCCTTTGCCTGTAGCTAATGGACTCAGTAAACTTGGGATGGGTCCCATCAGGTAACCTTGGGATATGACATGCAAGCAGGAACTCACATTCCTCATTCCACGATTGATTGGGACCCCCGAGGTCGACTTCAACAGCCCAAAACCAAGCCAAAGATTCATTTCGTTGACCTCGGGCATTTGGGTCACCCACTGCGGTGCTGATTTTGAGTTGCTCATGAAGCAGGGGTTTGTATTTCTCAAGCTGGTCTTGCCCCAGTTCAAGTTTCATCATTTGCTTCCTGGTCTTTGTATATATGCTGGCATGGAGGGAGACCGCCTGCTGCACCGACATCACCTGGGACCAAGCTCGAGTTTTCAGGGCCTGGGATTTGGCCTGCCTAACAGTTGATTGGAACAGGATGGCCTTGTTGCACAGGTAAATTCGGAGATTGTGAAGGGCATCATTGGCCTGCCCTTCACGAAGCGACATCTCCAGGGGAATCAGATCCTCTGCCATGCATTGTCTGCATCGATCAACCCCCAGGTTTGATGGCAACGGGATTACAGTGAGCTCGGGAGAGTTTGTCCATGTATGAGATGTCTCTGTGAAATCCGCCGGGTCATCATCGAGATCATCAAGAATGTCTACATTCAAGTCGTCAGGTTCATCATCTGCATCAAATCCCTCCCCGAGATGTGTTAGAGCAGACCGAGTGAATCCATCTATCTGGCCTTGGAGCCAATCACATTGACGGGTGATGTCTAATCTCTGTGTCTCTGTGGATCTTCTTCCGATCCTTCAGACCTCGATGAGCAATGCAATCTGAGCCCTTCAATCGCCAACCCCATTAATATCCACGTCGCCACAGATCTGTGAGAGGGTGCCGCATTGTGGGCATTACCCTCCTCTAATAATCTAAGCTCGATCTCCGTTTTGCTTGGTGCTGAGTGCAATATTAATTCAGACCTCGATGGAGACAATGGAACTCAATGTACCCTTTTTTATATTGATCTCATATTCATCCATCGCCGCAGGATCATTCAATCTGTTTGACTAAGCCATCCTCTCCCTGGCTAACCATTCCATCTTCAAATGTGTGGGTGCTGCTTCATTGAGTCTGTCGAATGCCTTTCCACTTTCCGAGATGCCATTCCTCGCCAGCTTGTATTTCTGGTATAGAGTCCTTTCATGCAAATCATCTTGCAGAAATTGGAGTCATTCATCTGATAATCAAGGCATTCCTTTCAGTGCAGAGCTGACATTCCCTGAGCAGCAGGGAAAATCAGATTGAGCCGTGCCCATAGCGTCTCCATGATCTCTCCATCGATCTGACCAATGCCTTCAATAAAGTTCGACACATATCAGACATAGCAGCTGTCCTGATGGCCATGAATATGCCACAACCCAATTCCGGGAATGATGGTTAGTTGTGGTGCCATTTCCAGAAATCAACTTTGATCCACCCGAACCCGAAAGTGTTTGTTGTATTGACAGTTGATATCGTAGAAGGTGACAGCCCTGGTGATGCCTTCCATGTTGTGCTGGGAAGCCTTGCAAAGGGTGTAGTCCATGTTCATTTGTCTGCAAGTGACGCATGGTTAACTCGTGAATGTGGAATGGTGCATGTGGCTTGCCTTTCGCCTTTCTAAAAATCCACCATGGAGTGAGGGACAAAGCAACCATGTCAGGCACAGGCAACTCCCCCGATACCAGTGGACTCCAGCTTGTGCCGAGCAGCATTAGCTTGATTTACTGCCCAGTGGTTGTTGCAGCTTGATTTTTCCACCATGTCAGCAGCCTCTGCCAGATGCATTTTATACCTGTCCTTTCCTACCATGAATCCCAGCCCATCGGACAGCCAAACTTCATCGAATGGCTTAATGGGATGCAGATGTTCGGCTTTGAAATTTCCGTCCATCACAAATGACCGGGTGTATTTCAAGCTTGGAGTGCTCATATTATTGTGGAGGCCACATTGGTTGCGAACAGGACTCACTCATCAAGCGATTCAACCTCTGACAACAGCACATTAATACCAGGCTGAGGACATGTGGGGCAAAATAATGCAAGTTCTCCTGTGCTCGGGTTATCAGAATGATGGCCAAAGCCATGCCATTTCATTGTCTTCAACTGCCTCCACTGTCGAGCGACCCTCATGAGCTCTCTGTATCGGTCCTTGCCATGTGCTTTGTCAATATGATGTCCAGTAGATGAAGAGGGTATGGCATTACCAGAACAAGGTGTGGAAACATGCTCGAGGTCATTCGCCGGAGCTTGCTGTAATAGTTCATCGCCGAGGTGCCGCATTCAAGGCTGTCCAGTAAAAAATCATTGAGCACTCTGAAGGTGAACACAGTCTTTGGCTGGTTGAAAGATGCAGGGAAAAATCTGTGTCGAAACATTTGAATGTCCAAACTCATGGCATTCGGACAATCACAGCATCGAACCTCCAGGCGATGAACTCCGGACTTGTCGACGATGACCATGGTGTTTTCCTTTGGCTGGAACTCAGGTCCAGACACAAATGGCAGATCTTCAGGCTCGAGCAGGTCTTCAGGTTCATCTTCTTCGAACAAATTCCACCAATCTGTGATCACCGGACATTGTTTGCCATCATGGCCAAGGTGTATGATGAGTCCCACATGAGCGAGACAACTCCGCTCAAAGAATCGCCCATTCCATTGACTGATCCAGTGGAAAGGATTGCTACGATGTTGACTCCTGCAACAGCCCGTGCAATAGAGTGGCTCGCCAAGACAATCTTGACATTTGTACACCCCATCCTGTTCGCAGATGATGCATCTCCTGTCTTCTGGTGGAGCTTCTCGATCAAGGAGGTGATGTAGATATGATTCCTGCCTTGGCAGCCATTGCCTGAGGTAGTCATTTTGACTCTGTATTTTTGAATGCTTAGCCATAGTTTGAATGACACTCCAACATTGTACATGAACTTGCCATGGTTTTTGGGAGTTGCAAAGGCTCAAATGAGCCTTGGTCCTGCTCGTAAGTATTGTCAGGAAAGTCTTCCCAAGGAGGTGGTGCCTCAACAGGCTGAATTGTTGGTGATTCTGGGGGAGAGTTAGGCATAGACCTGTAGGCATGTTGCCTCGTACTTGCAAGTGGGACCTTGACCCATGTCTTCCTACCTTTGCTGCCCCTTGCTTCCACCCTGTGAGATTTTTGCACTGGGGTGCATCTACCTATCTTTCATCTTGTTTACTAATGTTGCAAGCAAGACATCAGCTCAGGTGTAATGAATTGTTATTGCAATATGATGCTGTGCAGTCCTGTTGGCTCATTACAAATTCATTTCCATTAATGGCTTCCTGTCCAATATGGGCCGATTAACCGATTATTAGGCTTTGCTCGAAGTTCAACTTCGCACAATTCATTAATACTTCTACCTTGCAAATCCTCAGCCTGTTCTGCATTCTGATTCACTATGGCAAGAACAGGTCATTCCACCAACACAACTTCCAGAAGACACAGGGCATGTCAACCACAGTTGCAGAAGCTCACGGACAAGGAGATTTTGGAGTTGAAGAACTACCTTCCTGAGTGGACTGCGGCCAAAAGGAGTGAGAAGGGAGGGATTTTCATTGCCATAGCAAGGGCGGCCAGGTTGTTTGCTCCTAAGGTGGACCAAAAACAATGGAAAAAGAGGAAGCAGGTGATGCTTCTTTGTTGTGTTGAAAAACTAAATTTTCAACATCACATTCTTTCATCAACTCTTAGGTGTACAAGACTTGGTTGTTCAACAACAAGAAAAAGAAGGAAAGGAAGGACATCATCAAGTATGGAAGGAAATGGACGCCCAGGATGGTGGTCTACCAGCAGAAACGGGAAGAGGTGCTGAAGAGGATTGAGGATGAGTCCGGGGTAAAGCCAGGAGATCCTGGTATGTTCAAATATTATCAGGTGGCGGTGAAGAGAGTCATGGCTGAATTGGATGACGACGAGTTGGAGAAGGCGAAAGAAACAGCGGAAGAGTGGTCCAACAACTGTCCGCCTCCGGAGATACAAGCACAAGTCGCTTGGAAGAAGGGTCCGGCATATATGGAGCACTTTTTGAACGAGATGTGGAGGCAATGTGGGATGAGAGTTTTTGTGATGTCGGCTTGGAAGAATGAAAAGGGGGAGGTCCTGTTCGGGATGTGAGTACATTGACCCATTGATGCGGATCTTTCATCTCAAAGTATTCATGCAGGCATGATGATAACGAGGCCTTAGGAGATGGGGACAGCTTCATGAAGATGAAGGACTGGAGAACATTGAGCCAGTGTGGCAGGAGTACGCGCAGGAACAGTTCGGTGAGTGTTTGAACCATGTATACCAGATTGAACATGTTGAGCATCACGATGATAGGTGCCGTGGCATGGGATGGAGGACATCAGGTCAAGGGAGGTCGAAAAAGAATTTGAAAATCAGCTTTCAAACTCGAAGTGGACGGGGAAGGTATGCTGTTCCTTCCTGACATCATGGACACGAAACTCGAGGAGAAGAAGGCCATAGTGAGGGCCTTTCTTACATCGCACTATAGTGAGTTTCTCGTCGCATCATCCAACAAATTGTTCAATGCATGGACATAGGGATATGTTCCGGGAAGGACAAGGCAGTTGTGCCATGGAGTGCCATCGTGCACAGTCAGGATGACTTCGTGGCCCGGACATATCTTCTGGCGGATGTTGACTTGAAGGAGCCTTCCAAGCTGCAAAATTGGGACACAACTGCCTTGCTCCATTTCTGGTGTGCTCAGCAGGAAGCAGGCAAAGGTCCCACATTTCTGTTCAAAGCATGAAAGAACACAGATGGGGACATGGTACCATCTGTCATATCCGGCAAGTCGCCCTCTCCTCAGACTCGTATTGTGAGAAAGCAGCAGAGGGTTACCATCCGAAGGCCTCTGGATTTGTTGACAGAAGCCGAGAGTGATAAGGAGAGTGCCACTCATCATACGGAGGATGATGAGGATGATGACTTGGCTGACGGGAGACATCCGCTGAAGAAGCCCAGGATGGGAGGTCCTACACCCAAAGGGACGGCAGTCCCATGTGCAATTCCAAAGCCTCGCCCGGCCAAACCGGCCAACAAAGGTGCATTACTGACATCATGAATGGGCGACCTCCTTGCTGGGTTAACTGAAGATGCGACCAGCGAGGTTAGAGATGATGTTGAAATGGAAGAGAGTATCACGCCGCCGGCACCAAAAAGGAGGCGGGGCAAGACAGCCACCGTTGAACCATCCACGAGGATGACCTGGAGTAAGTTGCAAATGCCAGTAGACAGTACACCTAGAGTAACCAGAGCATGGGGACGCACTTAATGTAGATATATCTTCCTGCCCCCATGTGTACTGTCATATGTGCTATTGTGTATATGTCAAAGTACCAACAACCGAATCCCAAATCCCAAATCCCAAATCCCAAATCTCGAGTACCAAGGCCCGAGTACCAAACCCCGAGTACCAAACCCCGAGTACCAAACTCCAAGTACCAAACCCCGAGTACCGAGTACCAAGCACCGAACACCAGGCACCGAGTACTGAGCAGGTAGAGTATACAAGTACCAAGTACTAAGTACTGAGTAGGTAATGTATACTGCAATGTGTCTACTATCAGACATTGATTGATATTTACATGTTACTTGAGTCCTCAAAGAGGTCAATGAGGGTATCTAATACCTTCAGCATTTCGGAGGTTGACTCCCTTACCCTTTGCATCCTCTGGAGGTCCGCATCTGCTTTCCGGAGTTTGTCGCATGTTTCAGCCCATGCCATCCTGAATGGTCTGTCAGCCTCAAGAAGTTGTGCTACTGTAGGGTCAGGAAGATTTCCATGACGCTGTTGGTAATCACCCAGGCGATCTACAATGGTTTGAACTTGCAGAAAATTAGCAGAGATAAATAATCAACTGTTGTATTCTTACTTTTGGTTTGATCATAAGATCCGATTGGCATGAACTCCCGAACCATGGCACGGAGTTCTTCATTGTTGAGTGCCGGCTTGGGCGATTGATAGTGATGTTCAAGGCTCGGCTCGGCCCAAAAGCCGGGGCCATGGCTCGGCCTTGGAGGGCTGGGGCTTGCTTTAAACCAAGGCCAGGCCCTATGGTAGGGCTCAGGCTCAGCTGGGGCTTGGCTCGGCTTGGGCCTAGGGCCTTGTGATACAAAAACGTAGCAAGTAAATCAAATTTCATCTAACATTTGAATAAAAACATCTTCGTCATCTGATTCTAACAGCTCCTCATTCTCACCTAAATCCTCGGCAACATCATCCCACCCATTATCTTTGTTGAGAGCAGCAGGAGTCTTATCTTCAGATGATTCATCATCTACGGACTCGGTTGCAACAGATGGGTCTTTGCGAAACAGGAGATCGTGTTTAATCAGGCATTTCAAGCACTGCAGTGCTTCGACGATGTCGTGTTTGAGACAATTTCGGCGCTTGGAGATAGTAATACCGGCAGATGAGAATGCACGTTCACTGGACACAGATGTGGCCATAATGGAAAGGAAGTCACACGCGAGTGACGCCCAGACTGGGTATCGAGGTGTGTTGATGCCCCACCACTGCACAATAGTCATATCTCCAAGGTGGTCCTTGGAGTTGAGGTAAGCGTGAAAGTCGTGCCGCCACGGCTCATTTGCAGCTTCGGAGGGAGTAACAGAACTTGTGGAACTTGTGCGAGAGATTAGGGTGGGCTGCAGCATCGAGTCACTGTCATCCTCGCCGTCAGAGAGCTCTTGCAGCAGAGCATCGAGTTTGCGATTCCCTGTCTTCCTGACCTTGACTTCGACACCATTCCTAGAGTCAGGATTGTTGCTGTACATTTCGAGATACTGTTCTTTGTACTAGATGTAACATTAGTGAGTGTGTTGTGACGACAGCTTTGGAATTGTACTTACCATCTCCTCTGCATGTCTGCGTGCTTCAACAAGCAATTCCTCGCCCCAATACTTGCGAATATGGGTCTCCTTTTGTGACGGATCAAGAACTATCATTGGAAAGTCAGTGGGAGTAATATGTACATGAAAGAACGACGCACACATCACCATAATATGGGCGTCAGAACTACTCGACTTCTCGTAATACTTTGCAATCTTCTCAATACCAGCATCGAGGCCCTCCGCAAAATCGAGATACTTGATGCGTCCAGAACGTGACAACCATGCGCTATGCAACGACTCTAATGCAGGTAATGCTAAGTGAAGCATTGGTCCTTGTTCAGACGAGAAGGACTGCTGCGACAACTCGGCATACTGTAGTTTCGACATGAGTTACAATTCAAGTTGTAAGATAAAAATACGTACACCGAGGATTGAGAGCAGACGTTGAACACAGGAACCCAAGACCCGGCAGTCCACAATTTCAGGGTTTGGGAGTTGGTCAAATCTCAGGGTTCGGGGTTCAGCACTGTGAAAATTTGACATTTATATTTTTGCGAGTGTTGTGCTTCTGGTGTCTGTGTGTAGAAATAGGATATGTTGCACACCAGGGTTCAGGTGTGGGTTTTTCCCACTTCAGTACTCAATTATTGGTCAATGCCACACATGGTCGATTCATGTTTTCGTGCTTACAGGTTTAGATTTCGGTGGTCGATGGTAGGTATATGCACTCATAGTGTGCATGTATCCTACGTGTTTGATTCACTGGTGGCTACATCAGCTGTATGTCTTGATGAAACACATCTAGGTTCACCCATATATGTACCCATCTATGTACAATTCCCCCACGTCAGCCCACCCATTTATGTAATATCCCCCATGTCGGCCCACCCGTATATGTAATACATCCTATGTTGGCCCACCCATCTATATAATACATCCTATGTCGACCTGTCTATATAATTATACCCCACCTTGGCCCACCTGTCTATGTAATAAATATTTTATCGCACCCTCGGCCCACCTGTCTAATTAATATCCCTTATGTCGGCCCACCCGCATATGTGATATTCCACCACCTCGGCCCACCTGTCTATGTAATAAATATTTTATCGCACCCTTGGCCCACCCATCTATTTGATATCCCTTACGTCAGCCCACCCGTATATGTAATACTCCTCACGTCGGCCCACCCATATATGTAATACGCCCCACGTCAGCCCACCCATCTATGTAATATTCCCCTACCTCAGCCCACCCATATATGTAATACACCCCCGTCAGCCCACCCGTCTATATAACAATATTTGCCTTACATCTCTCTTCAGCCCCGCTGTCTATAATATCCTACTCTACATATTACCCAGATGGGCCCACCCATCTCCATGAATGATCATATTCCCCCAGCCCATCCATCAACATCAAGGATATATATATCATTGGCATACATGGGCCCACCCATCTCCATCGGAAATAATATGTTACCTGGCCCATCCGTCATCATCGAGGATATACACAACATGGGCCCATGGTCCGCTGGCACGTCTGATACGGGATATTATGTAGGTTGGGTGGCCCGTATCATATGGAATTTTTCACTGAAGGGGCTCTGTGGTGTTCGTGCTAGGACCACGGCTGATCCTTGACCTTCAAGAATATAATGCTGAACTTGTGGCTGACTCCAACGCAGCAACCGGCATGACCTCGATCACTTCCCAAGAGCACGTCTAATCTGGGGCTGGTATCGAATCCTGCATGTATCATGCATCTAATCCTTCAAGGTATGTCATCAGAATAACATTCCTTTGCCTCTTCTCTTCTGACATTGACAAAGACTGGACATATGTTATGTCATCTTCTCTCCTGAGCTACCGCATGCTCCTCCCCGATCTCATACAACATCTCCGTGCAGGCCTCAAGAGCATTCGAGCGCAGTCAATGAAGCTCGGGGTGTGCTTAAGTTGGGTTTGATATTACAACTTTACTGTACATGTGGGGCTCACATTGACGAACAGCGCAATCTACAAATTACTCAAAAAACAGCACGTCGGTAGTTCAGGCACTCATGTGTGCAAACAGGATGAGATTAGACAACAGCTCAAGACAAAATAACAAACAAACTTCATGCCTATGCAAGGGGAGTTGTGACCCAAGCAAAAACCTCCTGTCTTCCTTTTGTAATCTCACCCTTCTGACCCAAACTTGAGTACGCAACTTGAAGATGCTCCATGGCCAGCTCATCTAGTAACTCCATGTTCTTCAGTGGACTAGTATTCAATAAAGACTTCAGGTTCGCATTTTGTGCTAACCAGTGAGTACACTGTATTTTCTCAATGTTCAACTCGACAAACAGCCTACATGAGAAAAAGAACGCACAAGTTTCATGCCAAACCATGCTCGCACAGTGATCCCGAGTGGTGTGGATTCTTGCAAGAGTTGTTCTGAATCATCAGTGTTGGTCATGTCGACGACGGTGAGGAACATCTTGATGGCAAGGGAAAAGTCTTCAGAGGTGTAGGCTGTTTCAGTGGCTTGGAGAACATAGAAGGGGTTCTGGGGCGTTAGGAGCAGAACATGTGAGAGCACCTAGAGGGAGTGATCATATCTGTGCAAGCGAACAATGAGTAAGATGTGTGATGGTATGAATGGAATGGAGACATACTGGTTACACGACACATAGATGTCTGCGAGTTCTAGCCACCCTTCAACATCTGTATAGAACGTATCCAAGAATTGCACGAGTTCATTCACAGCCTTCTCTACCTTTCCTGCCACATGATTTTTATGCGGAAAATCCTCCTGCATCTTGGAGATGAGGTAAAAGATGACTGTGCTTGATCCTTGTCAACATCACTACTATTTCTAGGGAAACGCACAGGTATGGGTAACACTGCAGTTCTATGCTGACAGGTTTGACAGGTATGGGTACGGTGTGGGATATTCATACCTGTGAGCACACCGACCCTTTATCGCAGGTTGGCGGTGTTTGGTGGGTATGACCTCAAGAAGCTTGTTTGCCAAGAGTTTGCTGAGTGGGCAGCAGTAGCCATGGCTTCTTCATCTGTGTGGACGGCAGCACTCACAGCTTCCCTGACAGCAGCTGCATGCGGAGATGCCATGTATTGCTCAAGAGTGACATGAAATGAGGAATCAGACTTCCTCCTGTCCTGAAGATAGTGCCGCTTGTCGAAAATGTAGAAAGAGTGTTCGAAGATAATAACAGCAGCTAAATGTGAAATAATAAGCAGGTTCATCGCGACATGGCCTCAAAATTCACCAAAGATGAGCTGACCAATATTCTCTAAGGGTGGTGAGTTGGAGGCCTAGCAAATTCGCAACATGAGAAATGTGTGTACAATCTGTAATCAATTGGACATACCGCAGAGAGTAACCTAGACCATATCTCTGCACGGTGGTCATTGCGAAGCTCGTCCTATTGATGGATCGGCGATGTTGTTCGCTAGCAGGGCTCTAGACTCATGAATTGTCAACCAATCAGTGATATCTTTGGTGAGCAAGGCTTGAACTCAATGGCAGATAAAAACACTCACAAACTATCAATAGGAATCAGTAATTTCAATGGTCAGTGAGGCCTCAATTTGACTGCAGGGATAAACAATATCTTCGGTCAGTAGCTGAAGATCGGTGGAAGATCAATGTACTAACCTCCTGGTGATAGAGATCGAGTGGGTTGGTCAGGAATGGTTGAACTCAACAAAGAATCAATGGACTGACTTCCTATCAATGGATCAGCAGGCGATAGCTTGATTCAGGAAGGCTACACTTGATGAATGATGAAACACTCACATGCTTTGAGCAGTGGGCAAAGACCTCAATTAGTGTGGCTCTTGCTCAAATGAGGATCGACACACTCACTTCCTGTGAGCGGTGGGCAACGACTTGGATCAGCATGGCTCTTGTTCGAATGAGTATAGACACATGTACTACCTGCAAGTTAATGCCCAATGTATATGAGAGCAACAGTCAAACTTTCTAGTCACCGTAAGATGTCCCACTGATGACTTCAAGTTCAACAGAGGACATACTATGCCTTACCAGAGCGGTGCCACATGGCGAAAACATCGTATTAATCCACAAGTGTGGCTTCCCCGTTCTCCTGTGCCTCCTTGTCTGTGCTTGTATCCTGGGCATGCGAGATAAGATGAGAGAGTTGTCACAACAATGAAGACAAGATCACGTTACCTTTGACCTTGACAGTAGTTCAATTATTATTCCTGAATTGGGCCTTCCATGTACTTCGCTATGCCAGAATGGACATGCAAATCATGCCACCAAACAATCGAACACCCAGAGATGAACCTTCTACAGAAGAAGAACATGTGGTCAAGACATAGCAAAACCTGCACAGAAGTGCCTCACAAAATCATGAAATGGCCAGTCTGTTACAACATGCTACATGAGTCCCCTCTGCCACCCCTGCCCTCTGTCACCTTGCACGGTAATGATACGTACCCAAACCTGGAGACCTCAGAGATAGACGATAGACGACACCCTGGCCTTTAGGCCATAGATGATAGAAGAAGATAAGCGGCACTTGCCGGCTTAGATAAGCGGTCTGGACCGCATATGATGACATAGGTCTAGAAGACCTATTTATGTTATCAAGATAGAAGGCAAGCCTCATGGTGCCTCATGTACTGATAGAAGGATGCCTTGAGGATCTAATCTCTGATAGAAGCCTACCTCATGTATGCTATCTCTGACTCATAGATAAGCAGATTAGAACCCAGCTTTAAGCTGAGCTTAGATATGATAGAGTAGCCTTATATAAAGTCGAAGATTAAAGTAGATGTTCCTTACTTTAATCTTACTAGGTCTTACCTTGAACTCACTTGTCTTGCTAAAGCTACCTGCTTGCCTTGTGAACGTACCCCACTATCATTGCCCATAACCCCTTGCTTACCGACAAGCATAACACACTTGTCAACCAGCAAGCTACATTAGCATACGCAACTCCTATTTGTCTATAGGAGCCGACGATTCTCAGCACTTGATACCACTGTTGTGATAGTCACTGTTAGAACTATCCTAGTCGCACACAACCACCTTTGTCATAACACAGTCCCAGTCTTGGACAACAGGTTCTGCTGTCTCTTTCGTTATCGAAAGTGCCTGTTTTCCCATAGACTCCTGAACAGTCTTCATAAACACTGCAAATCGGATGAATGCTGTGGAGCAGGTGAACATGATACTGTTCTGAGCATCTATGGTACCGAACTGTGTACCCCAGCTGAGTATGGGCAGTATGTAGAAACAGTATACAAACCTACCCAGGTATGTGTAAATTCTCTCAATATGTTTTGTATTTATAAAAATATCTTCCAGGATAACCGGCCTAGCAATTTGCATGGGCCCAGTATTTCCCAAAAATTCAACCTAGAGCCAGTGGAGATGGAACATTCAAGGAAGAAGAGAAAACTTGAAACTGAGAAAGCTACTGCCAAAGACATTGCTGCACCTGCAACCTCCTCAAAACTTATGCAATCTCATTCGCAGGCCAGCAGTCCAGCAAACAACCAACTGGTGCCTGCCAGTTCACACATTTTCTCATTTGTGCCAGTTCATTTCCAGAGATCAGTTTCTCCTCCTCCCTTGGTGCACCAGTGGTCCCTACAGCTATCTCCTGGTACCATTGCTTGATTAGAGTTATTTGATAGGATGTTAGAAATTGACTCAGATAACAGCCCTTTAGATGATTATTATGCTGCGGACTATGACACTGCAGATGTTTGAGACTTGATGCCTCATAGTCCACTTCCTCACCTACTTCAGAATTCACTCTCCTCCAAGATTATCTCTAAGGCAGAGCCTTCGCAGGCATATGATATGCGTGACAATCTGCTGCAGCCCCCCACACTACCCTCTTGCCCATCATCCACAGTCACAAATCCCAACTCTACCGACTTAATTGCTAGCCATCTGCAGGATCAAACAGAAAGTGAAGGAAAGGCCAATCTGCCAATTCACTACTTGAACGCCTTTGAAGCTAGAGAGAAACCCAAGGAAACCATGCCTAAGTTTTCTGCAAACGGATGGGAGAGGTTAAGTCTCCAAGTCAGCGATACGCTCAGGGAACAAGAAAAATTATCAGAAGAAAGCACATCCTTTTTGGAACAGATCACATTGTTGGTAAAGACTTGCAATACCTTCAACTTGGAGTGTGCTCAATGGGAGTAGGAGTGCAAGGATATAGCAGCAGAGCATGCCATGTGGGTATCCAAGCATGCTCAATTGGAACAGGAATGCAAGGATATGTCAGCAGAGCGTGCTATGTGGGAACAGGAGCGCGAGGATGTAGTGGCAGAGTGTGCCATGTGGGCATCCAAGCATGCTCAATTGGAACAGGAATGCAAGGATATATCGGCAGAGCATGCCATGTGGACATCCAAGCAACCTCGATGGGAACAGGAGCACAAGGACATAATGGTAGAGCGTGCCATGTGGGAACAGGAACACAAGGATGTAGCAGCAGAGCATGCCATGTGGGAACATGAGCGCAAGGATATATCAGCAGAGCATGCCATGTGGACATCCAAGCATGCTCGATGGGAACAGGAGCGCAAGGACATAATGACAGAGTGTGCTATGTGGAAACAGGAGCATGAAGATATAGTGGCAGAGTGGGAACATGAGCGCGAGGATATAGCAGCAGAATGTGTCGTGTGGGCATCCAAGCATGCTCAATGGGAACAGAAGCACAAGGACATAATGGCAGAGCATGCCATGTGGGAACAGGAGCATGAAGATATAGCAGCAGAGTGGGAACAGGAGTGCAAGGAAATAGCAGCAGAACATGCCACGTGGGCATCCAAGCATGCTCAATGGGAACAGAAGTGCAAAGCTACAGTCACAAAACATGTGTTGGCAGATAAGGCACTTACTGCAAACATGATACGGCTGAATTCCCCATCAGATGTTGCTAGGGCAGTTGGAGAGCGCCAGGTTTATGATGAGATCACTTTGATGAAGGCCATGTTGAAGGTATATTTATTCTTGTGATGTTGGACGCTCTGCTGACTCTTTGATGCTCAGAGTCAAACAACAGCTGTGAACCAATAAATCACTCTGTGGGAGGGTACCTCTGCTCTCCTACAGGAGGAATCCAATGAATCCACTGCTAGCCTACCTAAACCTGGAGAACTAGTGCATTGGCCGCTGAAAGACTCTTGCACTACCGCTACTACTACTAGTAGTCTCCTGGAGGTTCAAAAGAATGTGGTTCAACTTAGGTATGCTGACATTGAACCTGGTGAAATTGCGGAGGTGAATGAGGTCGGAAATATAAACTCTTTAAGTTTGAGCCAGGTGGATGCTTCAGGAGCTGAAGTTAGGGAAGAGCCTGAGGAATTTGAAGAAGGTGAGTGTTAGCTTTCCATGAAGCTACTTACCTTTACCAGTGGGCCTGGGCACTTTGATCTGTCATTAAAGTTTAAAGCTTTGCTGTCTATCGCAGTAATCATTTTTCTTCTTAATCTTAGGTAGGTAGACCCTACTAGTAGTGCTACTAATCTACCCCAGCTCACACAATTATCTGACAACACTTGGGCGTGACCATTTTCTCTTCATAGAACTCAAAGTTTAGAAGCTCAAAAACTATTTTGCCAAGTGGTTACAGGTTGCTGTGGGATCTGGAGGCAAAATATGTCTTCAATGGCTTAAGAGACTCCCTCGCGCATTGGCAGCAACTCCTGGCAGAGATAAAGAAAACATGGGTGAAGGCGGAGTTGATTGAAATCACTTTAAAGAATCACCTGCATATGTTTCACCATCATATTGTAGCGTAATCCCGCTGATCCACTTGTCTTTCATCAGGTCTCAATATTCAATATTCAATGTTGGGCAACGTACCACATTGATCAATGATGTTCCAATTTGGAGAGGAGTTGATGTGTCTTGGCTGTGAAATACAGGTTGCTCAAAATGTTTGTTGAGGTAGTAGTTGCACTGTCTCAGGAGCTGGAACTGTACGTTAGTGAACTGAATGGTGTGCTCCGCAAGCTTCAGAGCCCGTAAGGTGGTGTAGTCAAATGCCTGATGCATGTATAACAGGAGCAAAATTTAGATCATCCTTGGTTTTGGCTCTAGCATATTCAAATTCTGGGTCCCTCCACCACCACTTACAGTGGAAAATACAGGTGTTAAATAGACCAAGGATATCTGGATGCCCCTACTACCCCGTGACAGACTCATCCCATAAATTAAGCACGCAACAAAGTCTATCAAGCCCACCACCAACCATCCTGTATGGTCCAAGCCTCGCTCCATGAATGACACCAACTAAGCCACAGAATACGACATCATGCCGTGGGATTTGCAAATGAGATATTGGTCATTGAACAAGGGTGCCAGTAGAATTGTGTAGATGTTGATTCACCTGCCAGAGATGGAGGTGCATGCATATGGCAATGATTGCAAGAATCATGACCTGGAACCTATACATGGCTGTACATTTTAAAAATTATCAGTAGGAATCTGCAGCAAGATGTGGAGGTGCATACTCAGTGGACACATTGTAGTAAGAGTACTAAGGCACAGAACATCAATGGCTCGATCATAAAAGGCATTTGATAAATTCACACACCTTGAAGAGCAGTGATGTCAAGATGTTCGCTACTGAGAACACTTCAGGAAAGAGAATGATGATGAATGAATACAGAAAAATGGCATGTATGAGGGTTAACTCACTAAGACTACACAGTGCATAACATGATATGTTGTGGTTCACCAGGCCAGACAGCTTGTGTTTGTCCACCACAAGATCATGTCAACTTAATGCATTATATAGTGTAGTTACAAGAAACATGTTGTGCATTAACAAGTGTAACCACAAGACACGACTCATTCTAAGATAAATGCATCACATCACCCATGTCCCATCATATGTTTTAGACATGTAGAGCACGTGGCACCTTCTCCTCGAGTGATGACATCACTTAAGGAAAAACCACTATAATATATCATGCGATGAGTTACGCCCTTCAGAAGTATGATTTGTACAAGCTACAATTCAGATTTGGATTCTATTGGCAGTAGTACATCAAGGAGGAGGCTATATCTCTGGTATACAAAGGTCTGGAAGGTGCAATGACAACGATGAATCCAAAGACACCTCGCCAATGGCAGTAACACTGTGCTGGGCCCAGGAAACCTTGAACTTGGCACCAAGGTCATGACATATATGAGCCTGGTGAGTGGCATAGGCGACTACCCCTTCCTTTTCAGCCCCTGTGAGAGCGTGCAAATGAGCCTTATTATCCCACCAAAGCGCATGCCATTGGAGAAATCGGAGAACTCAACGCATTTCTTCCCGCAGTAACTCGATTTCTTCCTTCCAACGCATCATCCTAGCATGAGCTTTGCACCACTCGATACGAAGACCTGTTAATCCAGTGAGCGTTAAATTCCAGCCATATGAGAGAAGAACTGTACAATCCTGGACTACTTCATCCTCGTCATCTCCAACTCCTTCCACCATCCAAATCCACAAGAGCTGCCTTCTGCCCTCACTTTCTCCTTTCTGGGCACTGACATCCCGCACACGTCGTCTTTGTTGTTCGATGAGCGAAGTTTAACATTCCAGCCTACCTTGTTTAGAACAGGTGCAAGGGAAGATAATGCAGCATGGGCCGCACAATATTTGTTAGCTGCAGCTGCAGCCCTTGCCTCTACTCGGCCAAGTGCATTTTGCACACAGGTGTTTGCACTCTGTCCATGAATCCAGTTCCATTTGAAGGTATACATGTAGTCACGTAGTCGAAGACTTCGTCTGATGTCATCCAGTGCGTCTCCAGCCTGTGCGATTCGTAGTTCCCACTCGATTGTGAAAAGGTGAGGGCTGCAGGATACAGAGTCAGCTGTCAATGATGATGGTAAAAAGAGCTTGATGTCTTCTGGATTGTCTGGCATGCCGATGGGTTCCATTCGGGATGATAACAACTGCACTGTTGGAGTGTAGAGCAGTTGCATTCGCTTCCATGCATCCACCTTGCACTGGAGTGCATTCCACTGCTGCATGAGGACGGTCTTCTGTCTATCTGTTTGGTGTGCTCCTTGGAGAGAAAAATCTGATTGGAAGCAATGCCTAAGGCTATTTAGTGATATCAGCAAAAAATAATGGTAGCACTACTCACTGTTCACTCTCGAGGTCAATTCCAGTTGCGATAAACACACTGGTTGATACATCTGGATGTAGCGACATGTCATTTCCTTCGCAAAGTTGACGCGATTCCATTTCAACCAGTTTGAGTCGAACTGCAGCTTGCGTGATTGCTATCGAAATATTAGATATCGTGCGACATTTGCAGATGATTGACTTACTGGAAACCTTCGTTTCGAAAGGATTGGGCACAGATGCATCATTGGGATTTTCTTCCCAATACTCGACATACGCTCTCCATCCTGCAGTAGTCTCTGGCTTCAAGGCTTTGTTGAGTTCTTCAAAAGCACTCGCGTGAGCTGTATGTTTTTTATTAGCCTCTTTCATCTTGCAAAGAAGAGTAGCACCTGACATGGTAGCACGAAGTGAGAAACACGCCAAAGTTGTAAATGCTAGACCAAACACGTACCGAGGCCAACTAATTTCTTCCAGTTCCAATCACCGAAGTGATCATCCAGTGTGTCCCTTCGAGACCCTGGTCCCATTTTCTTGGTACTTGATGCTATGGGATTGGTATTCGACCACCCCCATTTGGGAGCCTCTCCATCTGTACGCCCAACATTTTTAGGAAAATTGAAGCAGAATGTGGACTGAATTGTGAAGGGCGAGGGGTTTGTGTATCACTGACGGCCATGCCTGTCACAAAGTCATTGATCTTTGGTTTCTTCTTTTCGGCTTCCCAAAGCTCAGTTTCAGCTTTGTTCTCTAGTCATAGGCATTCTTGTTCTCTCTGCTCTTGTTCTGCCTTGGTGGCCTCAGCTGCGAGGCGCACATTTTCGGCTGTTTGCATTGTCCATGCGATGGCACAAAGGTCGCGGTCTTGTTGCCAGGCGGAGCTCAAGTCGGCTGCCACTTCATCATGAGTTGTTGGTGTGCCTCTGATGATGCGGTTTCTGAGTCCCTCAAAAGTGGGGGACGAGAATATAGTGAGTGAAGATGAGCGCATGCGGGGAGTTCGAGCTAGAAGAGAATGTATTATCTCAGTCTCGGTAAAAAGGACTGAGATGTTTCTATGACACAAATGTTCTTTTAACATATGGTAAAACTCGGAGAGAAAATATATCATTCTGAAACATACACGGACTGGAGCCTTGGCCGATGTCATTGTGTGCTCATACCTGTTCCTTCGCATCCTGACATATTCGGATGTTCGGCTTCCAACACTCCCCCTCGAGCGCAATCCTCCAAGCCCATCATCATCCTCAACTTTTGCATGTGTGGGCGGGCTAGCGGTTTGGTAAGGGCATCAGCTATGTTGTCCTCGCTAGGACAGTATACCAGGGAGAAGGTGCCATTTTTAACGTGGGACCGTATGAAGTGATATCTAAGGTTGATATGTTTAGTGTGTGACTGGAATTTGCCATTCGAGGCAAGGGCAATGGCGGCTTGGTTGTCACAATAGATTGGTATAGGTACAGGCTCCTCCCTGTACAATTATTTGAGGAGAAGCTGCAAGTAAAGCACCTCACGGGCAACAGTGGTAAGCACTATGTATTTGGCCTCGGCCGTGGAAAGAGTGATGAGTGGTTGTTTGCAAGCACTCCACGCAACTGGTCCTCCATTTAGCAGTACCACGTATCCAGACACAGAGTGCCAGTGAGCTTGCGAAGCCCAGTCAGCGTCAATGTACGCTTCTAATCCAGCTTCTGTTCCTCCCAAGGTTAGCCCAAAACCACTAGTACCCTTCAGGTACCTTAACACACGCTTCACAGCCTCCCAATGCTCTCTTCCTGGGCTCTGCATAAACTGGGACAAGGTGGCGATAATGAAGGAGATATCGGGGCGGGTACTAAATCCTGCATACATCAGAGACCCAATGGCTCTCTGGTACGGGACGTCCCACATGGCCTCACTTTGCGCATGGGTGGCAGGAGACTGGGTGTCACTAAGAATGGTGCCGACCTCCATGGGTGTGGGCACCGCTTTGGCATCTGTTAGATGGAATCGTTCGAGGATGGTACTGACATAGGCGTTCTGGGACAAGGTAATGGTGCGCCCGGCACGATCTCATTGGACTTTAAGTCCCAAAAGCCAGGTGAGCTCACCAAGATCAGATATTTCAAAGTGCTGACTCAGCTCATCCTTGAAGTGTTCTATATGGCAGAGGTGTTGTGAGGTGACGGCCATGTCATCAACCAACACGGTGATAACAGTGTGTTTGTCCTCTTTACGCTTGTAGTAGACGGCCTGATCGACCTTCAAGCGCATGAACCCCATCTCCGTGAATGCTCCTGCCAATTCCTCAGCCCACTCAAAACCCGCCTGCTTCAAACCTGGTAGGCTCCTCAACAACTTTAAAACCTTCCTCTCATCTCCAGCCTTGAGGTATCCCGGAGGTGCGCACATGTATATGTCCTCCTTGAGTTCGGCGTAGAGATATGCGCTTTTGATGTTGACCTGGTGGATATGCCAGTCACAATGAGCCGCCATGGCAAGGATGGTGCGAATGGTCAAAATGTTGGATGTGGGAGCAAAGGTGTCGTAGTAGTCTATTCTGTACTTCTGACGTTGACCGTTCGCAACTAGCCAAGCTCATAATTTGAGCTTCTCACCATCCGGTCCACGTTTCGTGGCCAAGACATAGTGGCTTGGTATAAGGTTTGCGCCCGGCGGTGAGTCAACTATAATCCACGTGCCTAGCTTCTCGAGCTGACTAATTTCATAGTCGATGGCTTCTTGCCACTCAACCGCATCAGGTCTGTTTAGGGCTTGGTGGAGTGTTACCTCTGGCTCTACAGCAGTCATAGCATACTGGCAAGTGGGCGTGCTCTCATCCTCCAAGTCTGATTCTGCCAGCTGGAATAGGTTCTCAGCTGCAAGATTCGCTCACTCCCCCTCATTGAGGGTGGCATAATATCCTGGCGGTGGGCACATTCTGGTGGGTCTAGGCACAGGAGGTGTTTCCTGGGCTTGAGGTTCCTTGGTAGGGGTATAGGGTGCCGGTGCTGGGGCAGGTGAGTCTGTTGTTGATGTTTTCTGGATGCTATTGACATTAGCTTCTACTGGGGTGGACTCCCCCTCATCCTGGACACCATCAGCAACGACGATGCTGTCCGGCACGAACATGACATTTCGTTCAACAGTCACCCGGTGTTTCCCCTCCCAATACACATGGTAAGCCTTACTCTCTGTGTCCACTCCCATGAACTTAGCCTCCTCTGCATGTGACTCTAGCTTCCCGGCCTTCTCAACGTGGACAAGGACTGGACACCCAAACTCGTGGGCTGCGGATACATCCGCATACTTGCCATGGATAAGTTTGAAAGGAGTGTGACTGGGGATGGCTCTCGAGGGTAAGCGGTTTTTCAACCATACCGCATAGTTAACAGCTTCTGCCCACAGGAACTTCGGCATCCTGCGAGCTAGGAGCATGGTGCACACATGTCCTACCAAGGTGCGGTTAAGTCTCTCCGCGACACCATTTTGCTGTAGTGAGTCATGTACGGTTAACTCATGCACAGTACCCTGACCCTTCAGATGTGCATCAAAATCAGTGCTCAGGTACTCTCCTCCACGGTCAGAACGCAAGGTCTTAATGTGGGCTCCATGTTGTGTGGTAAGTCTCACTTCATATCACTTGTATGCATCCAGAGCCTCACTCTTGTGCTTTAGAAACATCACAGTGGTCTCCCGTGAGAAATCGTCTGTGAAGGACATATAGTACAGCAATCCGGCCAAGCTATTCGTCTGCGTGGGGCCCCAGAGATCTGTATGGATGGTATCACCGCAAGTGTCATCTCTGCATCTTGACTCTTTGGGAAATGGATGACGGGCTGACTTGGACTTCACGCATGCTTCGCAGAACTCTTCGTTGGAGCCTCCTTGAAGGTCTACTCTAGTGATAAAGCCCTTTTCCACGGCATATTTGGCTGCAGACTGCGACATGTGCCCTAGTGCCTTGTGTAACTGGTACAGGGTAAGTTTGGTCTTTGCAACGTGTGCATAGTGCCTTTGCTGACTGATGACAGTGTATTATCTAACTCCTCGATCTCTTCCTCGCTAGGCGTCGTCCCATCTTCCATTTCGGCTAGACCACTCTCGGGGTCCACTACGAATGGAGCAGGTTTTCTAGCACGGCCGTCCACATAACGCATCATACCTCACACTCCAATTGTGGTCAAGGTACGTTCTTTGTACGTGATCCAATTCGATCCGTCCTCAGCTAATTTTGGGACATTGAACAGTGCAGAGTTGGAGTTGGGGAGCGTTGTGTCCATCGTAGCTGCACCAGGGCTCATAACCTATAGTGAGTGAAGACGAGCGCACGCGGGGAGTTCAAGCTAGAAGAGAATGTATTATCTCAGTCTCGGTAAAAAGGACTCTTGTACATCGGTAGCTACCTAGAAGAGAATGTATTATCTCAGTCTCAGTCAAAAGGACTGAGATGTTTCTACAATGCAAATGTTCTTTTAACATACGGTAAAACTCGGAGAGAAAACATATCATTCTGAAACATACACGGACTGGAGCCTCGGCCGACATCATTGTGCGCTCGTACCCATTCCTTCATGTCCCAACATATTCGGACGTTCGGCTTCCAACAGAGAAGTCAGGCTGAATGTCCAGTGCTGGGTCCAAAGCAATGCAGGCCATGACAGGTGAATTAAGTGTGGAATTGTAATTTGGGTGGTATGAGAGGAAGGAATAGTTTTAGAGAGATTGTCTTTTAGGTATTAGGTAGAGAAAAGAAAAGAAAGAGCTCGAAAGGACTTTAGGTCTACGAGCAATATGGGAGAACGGAAACAAGAGGCGCACACGGCGCTTTCCGCTCGCCCGAAGACTATACTCTAATTCTCTGTTCGTGCCTCACTACGTAATAGAGAGGCAAACTTTTCATTCAACGTCCCACTCGCTTAATTATCGTGCTCTCCCTGCCACAGCGGCATTGTGGCGGTATTAGGCTTGGGATAGTATAATCAATATGCAATAATTGACTGACATGCCAGGTCTGTAAAGCGGGGTAGATTCTGTAGTTGAGTGTAGTTTCCCATTCTGTCCACTAACAGTGAACTTAAATGAACCATGTAAGGATGACTTCCCACCACAACGTAAAGAGTGGACATAATAACAGTCATTGAATGTACAAGTGGTGGAGTATTTTTGGAAAGTGCAAGACTCAGAAGTATCAATATATCCAACTTCCCGGAGTAGGCAGGGCCCCACACTTCTGTGTTGCAGCATTGTCAGTGGCACTGTCTTGGTGAGGTTTCTGCTTTTTTCATCTGGTGAGTGAAATCTACATCAGCACAGAAGTTTGGCAACAACAAGCACAGTAACCACTCATGACAACATAGAAAGCAGAGGACATGATGATGGCGGCGCCAAGAACCGACAGTAAAGATGGTGTAACTCCAAAGAACAGGTGTTCAAGCACCACGATGAAAACCACCTAAGCATACATTCCAGTAATACCACGCGACACAGTTTCTCTTTGTAGTCCCATCGTCAAAAGGGCCTAAAATCATAGTAAACTACTGATAGGCACATGTAGAATTACTGATGTACGCACCTGCGCCGCATAGCCGAAGACACTGACCATGAGCAAAAGAAGTATCCACGTCCATGACATAGGATATACAACGGGAATATCAAAAACAACCATCCTGTTACAAATGATGAATTGTCACATAAAATGCAGATATGCATTGACACACCCCAACGATGATATAATTGTGCACCATAATGAAAAGTATGACATTATATGCATCGGGTGAGCGTGCTTCCCAATTGCGCGTATCAAGGTATCTATTAAAACCATCAAAGCGGCCATTGCCATCAGAAGGCCAATGACAATACGTACATGCTCCAGTATTTCCAAGTACGCTGACCATACAGGCCCTGCCGAAAATAGATAAATTGTAGGTTGAGCGGGACAGAGTACGCGTAATGGTACCCACACAACACCCACCAGCCTTTGCGCAGGGGCCACGTCTGAGAGTCCTTGAGGAACAGCATCCGGGGAGCCAAATAGGAAAGCGGGTCTGCCTATGAGAATAACACCGAGGAGACTGAAAACTAGGGATTTATCCCAAATAAGTAATCAAAAACTATAAAATCCAAATTGTAACTCTCACCTCCTGCGATAGCTTGCTTGACGGAGTAGCTCTCCTTCAAAAATACAGATCCAGCCACCGCTGCCGTAAGAGGTGTTAAAAAAACCAAGACTGTGGCATCTGCAACAGACAAGTACTGGAGTGACCAGTACATGCCAGATAGCCCCAAAAACCTGGGAAACAGATTGTTGATAAGTTTGAGGCCGCGTGAGTATATCAGCACCCACCCAGTGACACCATGGATGAAAAGCATCATTCGAACACCTTTAGGGCCAGCTATGGGATCAGGGATCCCCATAACAGTCCTTCATATCATCAATTTTAAATTGTCGCCTAGAAAAACAATCGACAAACATGTATATCTCGCAGCATATCAAGGTGATGCCCTGAGACAAATCAATACACATTCCAGTCGAGGATTGTGTGGCACACCATCCTAATCACGATAATCTGTTTACATTGGTTTCACTCCATATTCGATCACCAAAGATGGAGAAATCTCACCTGAAGTGCATGCACCGGAGGGTCCAAGCCGTTTAGTAGCTTCACCGAGATATCCATGGAAGCAAAGAAAAACTGGGAGTATATGATCAATAACATCCCAGCATTCCTAGCGGTGAAGCTGAGTGATTCGTTCACGATTGCTCCATCATCTTGATGTGTTTGCATCGAGCCATAGTTTTCTATGTCATCACGGTGAATGAGTGGAGACTTGGGCCTGCTCTTCTTCATCTTTGAGATGAGGGTTTGTGCAGAAGGTGTAAGGCGGCTACTTGAGTTCGAAGGGGAATGTGAGCAAAAGTGAGTTTTGAGGCAAGATAATAGGAAAACAATACGACGAGGACAAAACGTTGAAACGGACACGTTCCAGGAGGTTTCTCTGAGGTTCTTGGAGCGGGAACTGGGTATATTTCGCTGTAGATATCAAAATGTACATGAGTAGATATAGTCGCGAACCGTAAGGGTCCCGAGTCGGGTACGAATAGGCCAGTGTGAGCTTGACAGTGGACTAGAGCAAGCAAGGAAGGGAATACGAGAAACTAGTGGCGGTATAAACGATTTCAGTTTGGATGAAGTCACATCAGGAACCGTAAGGGTCCCGAGTTGGGTACAAATAGGCCAGTGTGAGCTTGACAGTGGACTAGAGCAAGCAAGGAAGGGAATACGAGAAACTAGTGGCGGTATAAACGATTTCAGTTTGGATGAAGTCACATCAGTAAAATCACACATTCCTTTATCTCACACCTGACCTTCCCAATAAGTCAGCCTTACTATGCTGAGCTATCACATGTATGGTTCAGTATTATTTGGCTAAGTTACGACAATAATGGTATTCAAAGTCAAAATATTAAGGTTCTGAAACGATTCTGAGACGCTCTGAAATGCTCTGAAACGTTCTGAAGGATGTTCTGAAAATCGCTTGAAAAGCTTATTTTAAACTCCGCTCAAAACACTTAGTGCTTCAAATCTCACAAGTCCCATGCAGGGTTAGGGTTAGACGTGCGCACATACAAAAAAAAGCATGTATTTCGTAGCTAGTAAACAATGGTAGATAACGAAGTACTGGTAGAGGGATGCATGTACCCTGACCCAACAGTGACACCGATAGCAACAGTCTCCTCATCCTTAGGGGGTATCATGATAATCGTGCCCTGGTCGAACCTTCCTCTCATCCATCTGCTCGATCTCCTCTGCAGACAAGCGGCCCTTGTCGTTGGTGGTTGTGATACGATTTGACTTGCTGGTAGTTTTGTCAGATGCGGAGACGTTCAGAAGGCAGTTTAGAAGAGTGCGGATGTGCTTACCCGTCGTTTGAAGAGAGTGAAAATGAAAAAAGAAACTCATTGACCATCTGCTCGATCTCCTCTGCAGACAAGCGGCCCTTGTCGTTGGTGATTGTGATGTGATTTGACTTACCGGTAGTTTTGTCAGATGCGGAGACGTTCAGGATACCGTTGGCGTCAATGTCGAAGGTGACCTCAATCTGAGGAACACCACGAGGTGCTGGGGGAATGCCAGACAGCTCAAACTTGCCGAGCAAGTTGTTGTCCTTCGTGCGCGCACGCTCACCCTCGTACACCTGGATCAAGACACCAGGTTGGTTGTCCGAGAATGTTGAGAATGTCTCAGACTTCTTGGTGGGGATGGTGGTGTGGTGCTTGGTGGGGATGGTTGCCAAGCATGACAAATTCATATTCTTCCCCGCTCTTGACTCTGATGATGCTGGTCATTCCCGGAAGTATGTTCAGGACAATACTTGCCCAGAGTGGCGGAATGGTATCCTAGCTGCTGATGGATCATTGATAACTCTTTGTGACAAGCCAGGTCTCTATGGTGAGACTTTTTATAGTAGGAAGTCTCAGTACTCCCTCAACTGCCAGGTATTTTATTTTATTTTATTTTACAGCCCTTTCTCTAATTTAAATTCTTTTAGGCAGTTGTTATGATCCATAATCTTGCTATAGCAGATTATGCTATTGGTCACACCGGCAGTGCACATAATGCATATGCATTCCAATCTACTCATATTTACCATCATCATGCAACACTTCTTGGAGATAACCATTGGATCTGGGCAGATAGTGCCTACCCATTAGAGCCATGGTGCATCCCCCCTTTCAAGAAGCCTGTCAATGGGGCCTTAACCAGTGACCAGAAGGCATTTAACACTGCCCTTTCCAGAGTATGTGTGTTATTTTATTTTTCCTTGTGTCCATTTATTTTTGGTGATTTAGGTTCGTGTCTGGGTAGAGCATGCATTTGCTGCTCTCAAAAATCGCTTTCAGTCTCTTCGAGAACTTCGACACCCGTTGCAGCATGACAGACACCTTGCGTATATTTCTTACTGGGTCCAGTGCTGCCTTATCCTTCACAACATGGTGATTCGGTTTGAAGAGCACCGTGGGATCAAGAGTACAACTGAAGAGTCAGCCCTCCAGGCCTATATGCCTGCAGTGGACACAGATCATGATGTAGATGAGTTGGGTCCTGGAGATACCTCATATCAAGGTACTTCTGGACACCAAGTTCATTCAAAGTTGATGGAATATTTGTTGAACTAACAAGACAAATGTATTGGCAACATATCTAAAACATAGGAGCAAGCATGTAACAACATATATGGACCCAGAAAGTATGTAATATATGTATGATGAGACATAGAACATATAACATGAATGGTATGCAAAACATGAGGTGCGAGAGCATGACAAACCACTGGTACAACAGAAGCGGACGATGACGATGATGATGATAATAAAGCCTACACTAATCAGCCACACCTCCCTTCAATTTGAGAAGCTCAATTTTGAGCTAAAGGGCAGCTTTGCACTCAGCGTGAACCTTGGCTTGAGCTTCGAGAACTTGAAGGTCAAGAGTCTTGGACTCTTGACAGCGCTGATGTACGACAATGGCCTCGCTGCGTTTGAGCTGCGCTTTCTCACGTTGGAAGTCGAGGTCACATTCCTGACGGAGAGCGTTGACCTTGGCGATCTTGTACTCAGAGGCGGCCGCCTTCACAGTGTAGATATAGGACATGTTATTGGTTAGCGTCTCGACTTTCCTGCAAATGCTCCCGACCTCTGACCCAATATTCTTCCCAAGGTGCGATTTTTTCGCACCGCTATCGTTGAGCATGGTCTGTAGGCGTGAGGAGGAAGACGGCGACGAAAGTCCCAAGGATGTAGAGCGTGTCGTCGTCTTCATGGACGACGATGCAACGGATGATGGCAGGTTCGGTGAGCGCATGGGTCCACGGCCCATCACACGATCGGCGTGGGTTTTGAATGTTCCGAGGGATGGGTGGTTGCGGGTGTGCGTGCGGGGTGGGGAGGGGGAGGAGAGCGGGTGTTTGTTGGAGAGGGACCGCTGGATCGTGAGTGCTTCTTCACGCTCTACTTCCCCCTGATCCTCCTGCATGGTGACATCTTGCTCATCATAGCCGAGCTCCTCGCCCATGGCGAAGTCGTCGAAGTTGGGAGGAGGGTTGGTGGGAGGATCATTGGCGGGAGGATTGTGGGCGGGAGGATTGTGGGCAGGAGGATTGTGGGCAGGAGGAGGGTTAGCGGGAGGAGGGTTGGCAGGAGGATGGTCTTCGAGAGGGTTGGCGGGAGGATGACCTTCGGCACTGTCAACATGCTCGTGCTCAACAGGAGCATCGTCACCGATGATCATCGGATCATCAGGATCGGGGGGGGGGGGGAGGCTTTTCCTTTTCCTTTGCTCCTTGGTTGCGTCAGGGCTTTAAAGTCCCCTGCGCGATCCGTACCAGGAGCGGAGGAGAAGGTTTTGGCAGCATATGCAGGGTTATCTCTCCAGATCTCATCGAGATCTTCGTACCACGGGAAGTCGCTTAAAACTTGCGCTACAACAAATTTAGTTTTACTTGATTATTATTTAAAAAAACATACCTAGTAAATTCACTGTGGCGCCAGGTTCCTCCGGATTGACTCCAGCGCCCATCTGCTTGAAGTGCGCACGATGGGTCTTATATTTGCCCTTGAGACTAAGTGTAGCATTTAGTGTATACATGGAAAGGGGGAGGAAACATATGAAAAACTTACTAAGTGAGGCGGTTGCCCACAGCCTGTGTGAACTTCGTCTGATCCTCAGCATACATCGACTGGTACATCTCGTCGTTCTTGAATATATGTTTGGCGATGACGGCGTGTATTTTGCCCTTGTCACTCCCAGAAGGAGGGCCATCATCAGAAGGGTGGGATTTCTTGCCTTCGTAGAATAATATGTGACGGTCGGCAGGATGGGTGCTGAGGTACGTCATGAGCGCAGACGTTCGATTGCAGTTTGGTGTCTCCCACCGGATCTTGCTGATACCACCGGTAGGAGTATCACTGGCAGCGCTGGCTGAGGTAGCAGCCGCCCCACGTCCCCTTGTACCACGAGTAGTCGCGCCCCTTCCCCTAGCACCGTGGGCAGGTTGCATATGGATGGATATTGGTGCACTAAGTCTTTGAAGAAGCGTCTTGAGTCGCTCTGAACGTCGTACTTGAGGGCATACAGGAGGCATGGTGTACGCATGGACCAAAGTTTGATTTCAGACTCCGACAGTAGTCTGCCGACGTTCCATAGAGTTCTGAAAGAATCTGTTACCGTTTCAGAACCTTAATATTTTGACTTTGAATACCATTAATCCTCAACACCGGCATTAAATCATGTACTAAATCATCTTATACTTCAGGTATTCTACAGTAGGTGGCTCGGCAACACGCGCCCTATGCGCTTTCGGCAAAGGTGCGCATTTCCCCATAGCGGGGTTCCCACACCCCTTGCGCTTGCTCACCTAGTGATGCGGAAGTCTGGTTCAGAACTTCAGTTCGAACCTGAACCTTCTGAACCGGACCGTCGGTCCGGTCCGATGTTCGACGTGCTATCAGGACCGAATGTGTCATTATGTTCGGTGTTCGGCTGATGCCTGAAAGTTCCAAACCCGTCCAAACCCGTCCAAACGTGTTCTAGCATCGTTCAACCATGTACCCAACACTTGCCCGCATGGCACGAGACTACCTGGCCATTCAAGGTTCTTCAACACCGTCAGAACGAGCCTTCTCAAGCGGTGGTATCATGGACCACAGTCGATGCAATCAACTCACACCCGATGTCTTCGAGGCCTTACAATTGTTGAAAAGTACTTATCGAAATGGGCATGTTCAGGCTGCAGCAGACGCAGCGGCTCATGTGGAACCTGTAGCTACTGTGACTGCTGATGATATTGATCTTAGTACTACAGATGCATAGTCTCCATGTAATGTATACAATTGACCTAGCCCTAACCTCGTGCTCGACATCTGAATGCGAACCGGACGTGAACCGGACGTCCTGAACACATTCGAGGATGTCCGGTCCAACGTTCAGCTCAGCAGCTGAACCAAATGTGCGGTCACATTCGGCGTTTGGAAAAATTTCTCTTGAACCGGACTGAACCGGACTTCCGCATCACTATGCTCACCGTCATTGTCAGTGCCCTCTCTCGTCCTCCTCACTGTCCCGGGGCCACCAATCTCGGCCTTCTGGATGCCATCATCAGCTTCTTCTTGCACTGCTGCCATCCTGCACTGCTGCCATCGCCATCCTCCGCTCCTCGGCCTCTCGGCCTCTCACATCTCCTCAGCCAGCAAATCCTCTGTTTTTCATCGTCAACGGCAGTATATTGAACATTTTTCGACCTGCTGCTGCCATTCTGCACTTTCAGCCTCTGTAGCATCTCCCTGGTTCCCCCAATATTGTACCCGCTGCTCTTCTGGGCTGTTATGGCGCTCAGATCTTCCAGGAAAGTCACAGGGCTCTCCAAGGCCATAATCTCACATGGATTCTGGTGCTCTACTCGAGCTTCCGAGGTACTCACAGCGGGGAAACAGCAACAGCGAAGGCAAGCAACTGATGCAAAGTGCCGATCACACATCCAGGGTGCGAGGCCTATGTCTAACTCTTACGTTCTCCTGAATTGTGTTTGTAGAACTGACCAGCGAAGATCGGGATCTTGTTGAGAGTATGTTGGATGATACCAACGTTGACATAGATGATATACCTTACAGCGCACCACCTGGTGAGGAGGGACATGACTTTAGCCACGAGGGCGGAGAGCACGAGGCTTTTGAAGGATTGGCTCAGCAGATGGCAGATCTCTCAGGATGGTACGTAGTTGTTCTTGTTATCCTACTAATTCATACTAAAGCAACATTGGTGTTGATAGCCGCTATGTGGATTCGCGCACTCATACTGATCGTCTAGAAGTTCAAAATGAACATTGGGGTGTTCAAATCGAATGTCTGGTCAGCGCGTACCTCGACTATCGCACCCAGGATGGTGGCGACAGTATGCCAAGCTTTCTGCCTTCAGATGAACCCACCCTCAATGGCGACTGCCTATCTCTCAAAAATATTGAACTAGTTGATATTTTTAGTAAGTTCGGGTCGCATTGTATGGCTCTATTGTTAACATTGTCCAGGTCGGAAGCACGCATCTTTGCAGCCTCGTCCATCTCACTGGTATCCGAATGAAACACTTATTCATCATGGTTACTTAGGCTGCTCCCCATTATTTCCTACTGTCGCCATCTCCATCTGCACACTCACAGCATATCGGCAGGTTCACCGAACTTGTCCCCGATTCAGCATTCAGGCACAATGCAAGGTGTTGTGTCATCTCCATAATGTAAGCTCTTGAGTCTGTCATAATCGTTTACTCATTTCAAACTCTTCTAGATTCCGTATCGATCATACTTAAATGCGCAATTTTCGGACGCTTACGACATTTATCTCGAAATCTTGCATCGCGTCGACGTCCTTATCAACCAAGCGCTTAACCGCGACTCGCTCAACTGGCGTCTCCTGAACTCCTGCCCGTGTTGCTTTTACAAGCTAGAAGATGAAGAAAACATGGCTCTGGAGTGGCTGGTGACTATGGACGGCAACAATAGCTTAAAACGATGGATGTCATCAACTGCCTGAAACGATTCACACATGTTTCGCTCTGACTACTGGCTTGATCGCTTGAGAGTTGATAAGTTTAAGGATGAAGTGCGAGGACACACCGTAAGTCTTCTCACTGCCACCCTATACAATGCTGCAACTCAACCTGACTAGCACCCGACTGTGGATACTGAAAACGGGCAAGACATCGAGCAAACTGAAACAGTGCCATCATCCTCATTTACTTGTGTCGACCGGTCCAGAACAATGCAAAAGGATGTTTTCAGTGTTTGATGAGTCAGGGATATTTATTGCTGCATGTCGACACCGGTTCATCCTTCTTGCTTGTGATATGGTTAAGAGTGGTGAACTGTAGGCTATTTTATCTTCCATTCAATTTGTATCTGCTAATCATTGTTAGTGCAAAATATCCATTGGCGGTTGTTGATTAACTGCTAACGGTATATGGCAAAAATGGAGGTTGTGCGTACAATATTGGTTGTGCATTTGCTAAGACGCTAGGGAACAGTACTTTGGGACCACATGCTTCCGCCCTCAATTTCCGGATGATGGTAGGAGTGTTTCACGGCCATGCACATAATCGAAGGTGCCAGATAGATTGGCATCCTATGTATATCAAAGGCACTGGACACATGGAGGGCGAAGGATGCGAACACATTTTTTCTTCATCAAATGAACTTGCACGAAGCACGCGGCACACTACAACTTTTCACCGACATCAATCGATCGAGCAACATTTTACATTTTGGGATGAGGATAAGTATACGGCATTAAGTACATTTTTATAAATATCTACTCGATGACCAAACATGACACCCTTGTCCAGGTGTTTTTATACGGAATCATTATCGGGAGGCGCTCGCAGATATCCAAAGCCTCACAGCAGAACTTTCGGTCATCTGGGAAACCCTCAATCTTACCGATGCTGACTTTATTCGGTTTCATGCGCAAGAACGTGAATATCTTGATGGGTTGAAACAAGCACCGGTCAAGGATCTTGTCAGCATCTGATATGTCAATGTACTTGACGAGCTTGCTGAGCGCCAGTGAGTTCCAATGTTTCGCACTAGTTAATTTATTTATTAAGTTTGACCGAGGTTGGAATGGAACCAAGCCCGAGAAGCTGCTAATCGTTCACTAGTTGAAATTCATGTCGGCAGCCTGAGTCATATGCACCTTGCTCTCAATCAAGCTCAGGTCCATGTCGATACGGCATATTCAAAACTTCAGAACACGGAACAGCTAGCTGGATATTTAGAGGTTCAACTTGGCATCGACAAACGCTGGGAAATCGGAGGTGAACATTATAATTGCTTTCGAGAAGAAGCTTTGCTTCTCAGGTGTCATTCAGCGCTTGATGAACTTGAGCGCCTGGTAGTCATGCGCCTGTTTGAACTGTCCAAACTTTCGTTATCAGGAACAGGTAAGCGAGTTGTCTTCGTTTTGTTTTGGGATTGAATTGTAGCTTGTTTAGGTTACAAGCTACATCAACATATTACCAAAGCCCTTCAACAACGTTCAGATGCTATTCGGAACACTATCAATTGTTACAGCACTCAGGCCACCGCTCTGGTCCCACCTAGGCCAAAACTAATGTGGAAGGATATTGTTGAATATAGCTTCCTTGGCGAATTTGACTTATTGCGTCACTCACGTACTGACATTTGAGACATTGAGTGGACCACACCCGCTCATCGGGAAGCTACAGTTAAATACTTCAAGCTCCAACGTGCTCGCGAAGAAATACAGCGTCTGAATATAGAAATCCATCGTCTGCGCACGGCAATACATGATGAAGAAACCAAGACCATTGCAACAATAGACCAACTCCTCATCACAAATTCCCTACTTGCCATGGAGTTGAGAAGGAGGTGGCAGGCACGCACCGCTGTCAATGCTGTCCATCTTTACCGACTAAGTCAAATCGAGTCACAGCCTGCATTTTCGGGCAGACGTGGTATTGGTGTCCGAGTTGCAAACCTGTCAGTGTCGCCAAATGGTCACCCAGAGGCAACAGTTTCATTGCCAAATGCTGGTCCATGTGGACTTTGTTTGTTCTTCTACTTCACTAATTGATGATTTTCAGGCGTTTCTGCAACTGGTATCGATGGAGAGCATGCTGAGAGACTTGACTTAACTGATATTATCTCTTTTGAATCAAACGGTGATGTTCTCGAGGAGGAGGATCAAGCGCAGATGACGGATGATTTCACTAGCTATCTACTCTCAGTCGGAGACTAGTATTTATTTACAGCGCTTATCCTCATGTTGTGAATAATCATATGTTTTATTAAATTAATCTACAAGGCGGTCCAGTGAGAATGAAAATCAGAGTGAGCAGGCAGGCAGAGACATAATGAAATTAGGTAGTAGATCTGATGAACTGGGTTGTGGTTGGCCGTCTCAGGAGATCAGAGGTGAGCAGGCAGGCAGACGATGAAATTAGGTGGTAGATCTGATAAATTGGGTTGTGCCGGTGTCTGTCGATCTCGATCAGTACTTGAGTACTGAGTTTGTAACAGTAGATCATTTGGAAGTGCACGTGTGTAGATTTTCCAATTGATTTCACTGGTCAGACTGCCAACAGTAAGGACTACTAGTACAGCGATTACACTGGATGCGAATGATCTTGATTACTGTCTATCCTTGCGCAGCTGTTCAAAATGTGGTGGGCTTGTATTATCTGGTAAGCGCCATGCTACTTAATCGGACACGTTCACTTATCGCTTTCAGTACTCCTTGGTACAATCCAACATCTACTATGGACTCAAACATAGTATTCTCACCTTCGAAAGTCAAATCAGCACCTTCGCAACTCCATGGTACACTGCAGTCTATATCTCGGATGTCGCCTGCCATCACAAATGATGTGCCCAGCACAAACCAACCTCGGTTCTCGCTGGCCAGCATCGCTGCCTTACACTCAAACACGTTTGCTCAGGAATTTACCAAGACCGAACGCCAGGCGGCTGCACGTGCACTGCTCAGACATGATGCCCACCTTGACGGCACTCATTTTCATACCAGGAAACCTGCTGGCCTTCATCCTTCATACATCGCTTTCAACTCATACACGACTTTGGATGAGAAGTCTATGACACACGAGGAATTTGTTGAGGTAGCATTGCAGGACCTCTTTGATGCAGTGAGTACAACTAGTCCTATCTACCTGGAGGGTGCTAATGGCACGGGGAACAATAGGTCGCAATGCAAGACCGTCTCGATGGCAGGATCTCTCTTGTCATTCATTGTCCCGGCTCTCAAGCTACACCAACTCTTTCACCAGAGCATCTCTCTCTCTCGATCTCTATATCACACCGCGTGAATGATGTGAATCTCCCAACCGCATTGGAGGAGATATATCTGTCTTGGTGCAGGCTTTTGGGGAAGAGTTTGCAATCCCACATTTGCAACACTTCACAGAGCACTGCCGCATTGAGGGTGTTGTCCCTCCTCACCACCGTAAGTCAGCACCTTCCTTTTCTCTCATGACGATCTGGAATTGATTTGCATTTTTGTTCCTACAAGACCCAGCGAGTCAGGTCAATTCATCTGCAGTCCCACACTTGCCAGCACCTATGGCTGCTACAGGTTCCCGCATTCGTTGTTCAGCGCGTCCTCCTCAGCAGTTTCAGCATGATCTTCAAGCCAATGCCTAGTCCAACACAGTGTCCTCCTCTGCTGTTCGGGAGGGTACAGCTATGGTGCTTTTGGACTCCAACATGCCACCTAACAAGATCCAACAATGTTGACCTGCTAACACATTTTTCACTAAGGGTTTGATGGTTCCCGGGCCCAAGATACAAGAGATGCGAGCAGCAGCATCCTTTACATCACCACTCATTAGCCTCGGCCCACATACAGATGCCATGCTTGATCATTTCAAAATGGACGATATGATACTTCTTAGGCTTCATGCACTCGTCAGATCCGTTTGCAGCAGCCGTTGGGAAGCAGTGCTTCGATCCCCGAAATGGGATCTAACGTATGAACAGGCATCAAATTTAGCTAGAGCCCTCCTTGTGGACCTCCAGGGAGTGCATCAACAGGTTTAGTTAGTCCCCCCATCACATTTTAGTTTGCTGATTATGTGGTCATTCACAGCCGCCTCTCTCGTTACTTACACACATTTTCAGGGTGGTTGGCAGCCTAAGTTTCTTGTGCACAATTTATCTATTTTATTTGTTCTTCTCATAGATCACCCGCTGTTTTTTGCTTCCATTTGTCATTTTGGTATCGTAAATTGTGTTCGCTGTTGACTTATAAAATCTGTTCATCAACAGCGTGAATTTTGTGGCACCGATGGTTTCGCACAGCTTCATGGTGACAAACAGTCGCAGACGGGTTCAAGCCCAACCCCCTCGCCGTCCAAAGGTGACCCTCAGCAAGGAGGCTCGTGCAGCCATAACTGCCCAACGTTGCAATAAATCCCATCAGTTTAGGGTAGCTCTTCACAATGCTTGGGATGAGCTCGACGAGACTATGAAGACCATTGCGTCCTCGCACCATAAGAGTTTCTGTCGTGTCCAGAACGACTTATGCATGGGCCGTGGGATGTTACACTACCAACGCTCTAAGTTGAGCGCATGGAACGTGTTCTGCTGGAAGAAGCGCCATGAAGACAAGGGAAATGGTAAGTAACAACATCTTTGTCCTTAGCATGCACAAACTGACAATGCACCAAGGGACCGCAGGCAAGGCTGTATTGCAAGATCTCGTTGGGGATGAGAACCGTGCTGAATATCGCAACCTCACAGACGACAAGAAGGCACAGCTTTTGCAGGAGTACCATGAACACAAGGAGACGAAGACTACCGGCATCCGTATCTCGACAAAATCAAAAGTCAACGATGTAACGCAGACACTCAAGGCTGTCGAGAACGAGGTGAGTCATTATATATCTGTTCTGATGCTACTTATTGACACATCTACTAGCTCAAGAACTTACGGACGCGTACAGGCGCCAAGAGTATCCTCTACACCACGCGTGGCTCTACGGATCTCCCCCTCCGTGGTATTGCTTTTGCAACTGAAGGCGTCAATGAGTTCATGGGCTCTGTGATGAATATCGATGACCAGGACCTTGTGAGTAAAATGGAGAGGTTTGCTGTCCAGGGGATGAAAGGTAGGGATCATTTTTTTCAAAGACTTACTCTCCGCTGACTGCATCTATTAGGCGCTGCGAGGAACCACCAAAAACGCACGTCGGATATTCGGAGCGCAATCCGCCAGGAAATCAATAAGACACTTTGTAAGTGCTCTGCATTTGAACTGTTTTTTTTATGTTACTGACTATGACAATATTTCTAGAGGCAATCACACATGATCCGAAAGCACGGATGCACTGGGCACACTACTGGTGGAATATTGTCCAGCACTACCTTGTTGTCATCGAAGGTTGGCCCCAAAATGTTCCTTTTGTCAACCTTAGCACGGTATCCAGTGCCCTACCTGATTTGGAGATGCTTTTGGACAAATGGGAGACTGGAGAAATCCATTGGAAGCATCTGGACGAAGATGAGTATGAGAAACTTTGTCAAGAATGTCGTGAGAAGGTCAGCAGCGGCGAGGTCATCGAAAAACGCCGCCAGACTTGCTCTGATAAAGGAAAGAAGCGCGAGCAGCCTTCAGACCATTCCAGTCACCACAGGAAGACATATAAGAGTGCTCAAACTGTCATAAGTGATGACAAGTCAGACATCCCTGGCAATACAGCCTTCCGCGAGCATACACCTGCTGGCTGTCATATCCCGTATTCCGGACCTACATCCGACAATATTCCCACGCCTCATCCGGACCTTCGGACACCCTATTCATGTCTCCAGTCCTCTATCCATCCGGATCCCTGCACCCCTGCACATCCACATCCACATCCACATACATTTACCTCCATACCTCAATCCACGCGTCTCATCCGGATGTCCGGTCCGGTCCGGTCCGATCCGATCCGATATACGATAAGCTTCCTAATTCAATTCCTGTGCATATAACGTTAACACAGCCTATTCCTCTATTCGGCATTCCTTGTCCTCGGTATCTCGGTTATACTTACTACCGGTATGCTTACTGATCCGTTAACCTATGCTTCATTTCCGACTCGCGCTTGATAACTTTGCTTATGCTTCATACATAGCCTCGGACGCTTGCTTACTGATCTTTCCGTTATTTCCTTAGTATATAAACTCTTGTATATGTCCTGTAGTTCCTCAGTCTGAATATCATATTAGTCCTCGCACTAGATCTCACTCTAAGTCCTCATATCAGTTCTAGTCTATCAACTTAGTCAATATCCATCTCGGGCCTAGGGAGAAATTCCCTAGGCCAGAGCTCCGCTTATCCGCTCATCCGCTTATCCGCTTATCCGCTCATCCGATCCTCCGAAGTTTCCGGACGTTCGTCCGAAACTTTCCCGCGGTCCTCCGGACCTATTCTGCTTCGGACTTTGTCCTTGCAGCCTTTCCTCTGTTTGCTTCTACTTAGGACTTGTCATAAGTAGCCATTACACGTATCCGTATCAGGATGAAACCTCATCGTAATTTCCGGAAGTTCCTCCGGAACTTTCCCGCACTCGTCCGGAAGTTACCTGCACTCGTCCGGAAAGTCCTTCCGAACTTTCCCGCGCTTCGGACGTCCTTCGGACGTCCTTGGACTTTCTTCGGACATCATTCTGAAATTAAGGGCACATACTCGGGTAAGGGGCGCAGCGCACGAGCTGAAGCCAAGCCCCTCGGAATCAGTCCTACCCTTTGTGCACGGTCTTAACACTGGCAGCATATCAACAATGCCTGAGCCCACTCCTCCTGCTGTCCCAAGTCTGGTTGTCCCCAAGCTCACGTCATCCACTCCTCCCACTGTCCCAAGTCTGGTCATCCCTGAGCTCGCATCATCCACTCCTCCCACTGTCCCAAGTCTGGTCATCCCCGAGCTCACGTCAACAGCCGGTCTTGGATCATTCTTCAATGGTGATATGTTTGGCATGGACTTGCCTGCAGGTCGCAGCACTGGTACATCTGTTGATGTGAGGTCCGAATTTAATTTTGATGGTATCTCAGGTATCTCAGGTATGCTAGACTTCGTGAATTTTGAATAGACGTTAGTTACCCTCCTTGTCAAATATGCGGACTTCATAAACTTTGAATAGACTTTAGTTACCTTGCTTGTCAAATGTTCTCTCTGTTGGCCAATCAAATTGAGGGACAAGGAATTTAATTAGATTCATATCAAGTAAGAGAAACACATTAATTGTACATTGACTCATTGTACGAGAAGGGCAACCGATGAGAATGAACAAAGTCCGAGAGATCCTCAGGAGTCTTGCTCGACAGGAGTATAACGGGTCGAGAGAGCACCGTTGACAACATTGGGGGAAGCAGAGGACAGGCGGAGGTACGAGGGATGCCAGAGAGGCTGAGAAGGAAGAGGCGGAGGTAAGGGATGCCCAGATATGTACGAGAGATACCACAGGGGATAAACGGAAGGAGATGGCTGAGGAGATGTGAGAGGTTGAGGAGCGCAGGATGGCAATGGCAGCAGTGCAAGAAGAAGCTGAGGATGGTGTCCAGAGGCTGAGAAGGCTGAGATTGGGGGCCCCAGGACGGTGAGGAGGACGAGAGGGCACTAACAATGACGGTGAGCAAGAGCAAGGGGTGAGAACCCTGCTACGGGGAAATGCGCACCTTTGCCAAAAGCGCATAGGGCAGGATTTGCTGGCTGAGGAGATGCGAGAGGCCAAGGAGCGCAGGATGGCGATGGCAGCAGTGCAAGAAGAAGCCGATGATGGCGTCCAGAAGGCCAAGATTGGTGGCCCCGGGACGGTGAGGAGGACGAGAGAGGGCACTGACAACGACGGTGAGCAAGAGCAAGGGGTGTGGGAACCCCGCTATGGGAAAATGCGCACCTTTGCCGAAAGCGCGTAGGGCGCGCGTTGCCAAGCCACCTACTGTAGAATACCTGAAGTATAAGATAATTTAGTACATGATTTAATGCCGGTGTTGAGGATTGTCGTAACTTAGCCAAATAATACTGAACCATACATGTGATAGCTCAGCATAGTAAGGCTGACTTATTGGGAAGGTCAGGTGTTATCTCACTTGTGTCGTATATTAAAAGTTGTTAGCTCTTTATTTGTACTATTATGCAATTGTAATTTCGGTTCCCAGAGAGGGTTAAAACCCGGTATGCATCCGGGATGACGCCAGTTGATATTGGACTTGGCGCTGTGGTCTCTTGCCGGTTGATTGGTTCCGTTCGAGCAGATGGACGAGACGGTCAAAGGTTGGTAAATTGGGCTGTGATTAGAATGGGTAATGGCAAGCGGAATGTTTGCAAACCACAAGGGAAAATGCGAGCCAACATGGGAGTCAACGATATACTGTGATGTACCGCCAAATGAATCACAACATTACAAATTTGTTTCACAACAGGCAAAAACTTCTCGTATCATTGCCTGAGTATGTCAAAGACATCAGACTTACTTATGCAGACAATCTCTGTAAGTTTTTTCTTCAAAATACACCATTGTTCATGTTGCATTGCAGGAACAGTGAACAGGTGCATTGAGTGGCAAATACCGCCAAATGAATCACGTGTGTGTTTACTACAAGTCAGGTATGTAAACCTTATCAAACACTACGCTTTGCGACTGACTGTCATCTATCTTGTTATCTCCTCCGAATGCCAACATCCCAAACCATCAACAATAGTGTATTACACCACTGTTGCACCCGCCGCATATATTCCCACCCCAAACTCCACTGGTATCATCAACAACTATGATGAGTTACATCCTTTGCAGCTGTGGGAAGACCCAAGCGCGTACATCAGATCCTCAGAGACTGTCGACAAGGTGCGTTGCACCACATTCAGTGCTCAAATCTGAATCAATGTCATCAATATCAAACTCCTCTCCGCTCATTTCACCCTCCTCTTCATGTGAGCCAACCTTTGGCCGCGGGATTGCAGCAACTAACTTGCCCAAAGCAGGTTTCTTCTTGGTAAACTTCTGCTTTTCAGCTCGTGCACGAGCCTTCTCGACTTGCCAAACCTCTACGGCCATGTGATAATGATCCCGTCGTGCCTTGTTTTCCTCCTTTCTTGCATCCTCCAGTTTCTTCCACTCCACCAAAGTCTCTGCTCTTCTCTTGCGTTCTTCCATTTAAGTGCACTTCTCGGTTGCTGCTCTCTTCTGAGCTGCTTCAAACTCAACAACCTGCTCATAAAACTCATCCCCTGATAACAACCGTGGTAAGCCATCTCCAAGAATCTTTCCGCTATCTTTCCCTCCATGCTTCTTCGACTCCTGATTGGCAAGCTGACTTCGAAGTTTGGAACAGTACATCTCATTCAAAATATTTGAGGCCTGCAGTGTGATAACACGTTGCTTCAAGGCTGCATTAGCTGCCTCGGTTTCACGAAGGGCGGCCAGCAACAATATTTCATTTGCGGTTTTCGGAACAATGCTGGCAACAGGTGTGCATAATTTTTTGATGGGGGAGATAAGGTGGGTTGTGTTATGTTGCAGGTCAGTGTTCGACGTCAGCACTGCTGAACAGACAAGTCCTGACAGTGATGTTTCAGCAAGCTTCTTGATTATAGTCTCGAGGTCATCGTGCATGGAAGATGGTGTGTTTGCTGGTTCGGCGCCGCTAGTGTTCTCTTGGGATGTCATTTTTTGAAGGGTGTCAGCGAGGACTCTCACAGGTGTAGATGGGGTGATGGGAAGATGTGATTTGGTAGAGCTCTCTTTGCTTGGTGCCATCATGTCGTTTGTAATGACATCGCGGTTTAATGGCCAAACACCTGTCTTGCGGAACGCAGAATGAATAAGGTTTGGTGTGAGCGCACGTAAGTGAGCATGCCCATATATGGTGAGGAAATTTGCCTTCGTGATTCCTTCTCCCTTCTCCCTCTCCCACTTGTCCCTCTCCTCAGTCCAGCATCTTTTCAAGACTGCAAACACAACAACATTGAGGCCTTGATAGACGTGAGTTGTGTGTGCAGGATAGCACAGGACGTGAATGTGATTTTTACGTGCATATTGCAGGAACCCTCTTGTATAGTGCGAATTATGACCATCTACAAGAAGGAGGTGGTCACGTCCATTGGCCTTGGCTTTGGTGTGCTTGTTGAACTCCTTTATCCACTCAACTCCAATCTCACCATCTGTCCAGCCTTTTTTCGAGTATCCAAGACTATTGTGATGTAAGTTATCTGGACTCATCTGATGGAAGACTGACTTACGATGCATTTGCAGGGTTATCCTGTTTCCATTTCATCTGATATGCAGCACCCTTGAAAATCACAGCAGGAGGCTCAGCAGTACCATCAGCGCAGATGGTAACGATCACAGTTGTATTCTCACGTGATCCTGTGCGCTGCTGATATTGTGGACCAGGTCGTCTGGCACCGATAACACGCTCATGATCACCTGATTGTGGTGAGATGCCAATTTCATCAGCACCATACAGACAGTCTTCATTGATGCTGTACTTCTCAAGCACGTCTTCATACAGGTCAAAAAAAGCCTTGTTTGTGTTTGGGTTAACTGCACGTCCACATTTGGAGTCCAATGGGGAAGACCATGATGTTTTGAGACGGCCTGCATGTCTTTCGACAAAACAGCCTGTCCACTGCTGTCCAACACCTCGGAATCCTTCTCCAAGTCTAGTAGTACAGATTTCATTGACATGTTCTTGTAGCCGCTTGTGACTAAGTGGGAAACCACAATTTCCAAGTTCTTCAATATATGCAATAACCAGCTCTGTCTCCTCAGTGGTGAGCCATGTCTCAGCTGCCCTGGCTTTGGCCAATGAGTTTCCTCCAGCTGCAAGGCGGCTTAGTGTGGAGAAAGATAGCTTAATGTCATATCCCGTATTCCGGACCTACATCCGACAATATTCCCACGCCTCATCCGGACCTTCGGACGCCCTATCCATGTCTCCAGTCCTCTACCCATCCGGATCCCTGCACCTCTGCACATCCACATCCGCGCATCCATGTCCAGATCCCTTTACCTCCGTACATCACACCTCCATACCTCCGCAGCTAGCCTGCATCATTCATCCTTTGTCCTATTGCCCTAATATCATATCCCGTATATCCACGCTTCTTGTCCGGACATCTGGTCCGATCCAATATACGATAAGCTTCCTAATTCATTTCCTGTGCATATAACGTTAACACAGCCTATTCCTCTATTCGGTATTCTTTGTCCTCGGTATCTCGGTTATACTTACTACCGGTATGCTTACTGATCCGTTAACCTATGCTTCATTTCCGACTCGCGCTTGATAACTTTGCTTATGCTTCATACATAGCCTCGGACGCTTGCTTACTGATCTTTCCGTTATTTCCTTAGTATATAAACTCTTGTATATGTCCTGTAGTTCCTCAGTCTGAATATCATATTAGTCCTCGCACTAGATCTCACTCTAAGTCCTCATATCAGTTCTAGTCTATCAACTTAGTCAATATCCATCTCGGGCCTAGGGAGAAATTCCCTAGGCCAGAGCTCCGCTTATCCGCTCATCCACTTATCCGCTCATCCGCTTATCCGCTCATCCGATCCTCCGAAGTTTCCGGACGTTCGTCCGAAACTTTCCCGCGGTCCTCCGGACCTATTCTGCTTCGGACTTTGTCCTTGCAGCCTTTCCTCTGTTTGCTTCTACTTAGGACAAGTCCTAAGTAGCCATTACATGTATCCGTATCAGGACAAAACCTCATCGTAATTTCCGGAAGTTACTTGCACTCGTCCGGAAAGTCCTTCCGAACTTTCCCACGCTTCGGACGTCCTTCGGACGTCCTTGGACTTTCTTCGGACATCATTCTGAAATTAAGGGCACATACTCGGGTAAGGGGCGCAGCGCACGAGCTGAAGCCAAGCCCCTCGGAATCAGTCCTACCCTTTGTGCATGGTCTTAACACTTAATCAACTTGCCTGTTGATTCGAGATTCATTTTCTCAAAGTCGTGGCAAATTGTGCGTGCTCCACGACGTTGAATACCAGGTGGTTTTGCAAGCTCCGTGCGGTAAGCTTCAACAGCACGCTACATAAGGTAGTCATGTGCCTCACAGGCTTCCCGCCTTTTTTGTGTCATAGATTTGGCATGTCCAGGCATGCTTAAGAGTTATAAAGGTAAACTTGGGGTGAAAATAAGTTGTACAAACACAGGCAGAGCAATGTGGTGTGTTTTTGTGGACCCTGAGTTACAGGTGCTGAGGCACACATATATTCCTAGTGGTGGCCAGGTCCGGTTCTGAACCACGGTTCGAACCTGAACCTTTTCGAACCTGACCAGCGTCCAGTTCAAGGTTCGGGCAACAGGTAGAACCGGACCATTGGTCCAGTCCTCGGTTCGAGGATGATGCAGACTTACAGAACCGGTTCAGAACCGGTTTGAACCTGTTCGAACCGTTAGTAGTAAGTCTTTGAATTAGTAAGAATAGATCAAGTGATCCGCACTTACTTTGACAGATTGTTGATATCATGGACTCATCTGCGACTCCGATGCCTTGACGACGACACTTCAGATCCTCAATCAATGAGTTCAAGGTAATTTATCAAACAAACTGACATTTTTTCAATCAATAATCATGGCGCCGGCTTAAAGCTGCAGCGCATGAGTTCTATGGTGAGTTTGACTACAGTTTCCCGCCCACAATCATGACTGACCAGTGTGCTGTTGGCGCTGATGGCAATCTCAAAGATGCTTCCGAAATCGTGTGGCACAACGACCCAGATGACGAGTGCCCTCTACCTGCCCCTGGTCCCACCACCAAACAATCTACTGCCCCAGTGCACCATTTCTTTACTGGTGCTCGACGTAGCGCTCGAGCACCAAGACCTTCGACGAAAATTGTCGACCCTGACAATGTTGCCTCGTCAAGTTCAGCCCGGAGCAAGCGAAAGGCTGTGGACAGTGGTCCAGGGACCAGTCGGCGAGTTGCACGCAAGGTAATTCCAGCTTCCAGTGCTTCTAGTGACGATGCAGGCAATCCGGACGGCGAAGATGATGCAAAGTGCACAGACGATGGTGCAGAGGCTTCATATGTGCAAACTAAAGCTATGGGGGATGCGGACCGTGAGGCAGGCAGGACTCGTCTCAAAAGCGAACGTACTGCAGACGTCCGCACCATCTTTGTCAAAAAGGATGATGTGTCCGAGCCTGGACATGTTTGTACCATCTGCGAGTGAGTTTTAGTAATCATACCAATATTACCTTTACTTAACTGACTTGGTTCTGTAGAAAGAACGGTGTCCCGGCTCACCATTGCTTCTTCAAAGGAGGTATGTCAACACTTCGTACCCATATCGCTAGGCGAGTGCCATATCTTTGCTGACTAAGTACTATTGCTGACGGAGCAGTGTTGTAGGCATCCCGACCACTTTGCTGTTTATCAAGCATGCTGCAAGAATCTGCAAATCCCTATGCATGCGCGAGCATGTCCAAAGTCTGATGGGACTCTCCAAAGGTAAGTTTCCTCTGTAATCTACTTACTACATACTCATTGTGTAATTCAGTCAAGGAAGTCTTGATGGCATTGTAGTTCATCAGCCTCGGGCACCCGTTTTCACTACCAGCGGTCTTCTCGACTACATTGTCAAGCTAGTTGTATGTGAAGACAAGGTAATTCAATTGTTCATATTCAAATAACAACACACGACTAACCAAATCATACAGGCATTCCAACTGGTGGACAAGGGACCATTTCGGCGCTTGCTGACATATGTCCGACCAACCTTGTCTGACAAGGATATTCCGCACCGAAAGGCCCTTCGTGAGGAAATCATCAAGAAAGCCAAAGCTACTGAAGTGCGCGTCAAGGAAATTCTCAAGGTATGTACTTGTATTATTTCATGAGCCCTGACTCGTACTGATGCTGTGGTGCAGGATATACCTGGCAAAGTCTCGTTCACCTTTGATGCTTGGACTTCGGATCCTGGTGACCCTTTTCTTTCGGTAACTGGCCATTATATACATGCACCACCTGAACGTCCGAACGCCTGGAAACTCCAAACTGAACAACTTGCCTTTGCTCCAATGGAAGGACGGCATTCAGGAGCCAATATGGCCAACTTGCTCACACGAACTGTTGACCGCTATGGTCTTCGCAAAAAGGTTGGTTGGTTCTCGTGTGATAACGCTGCCAGTAACGACACATGTCTCATGGTGTTCGCCGACACTATCAACACCAACAAGAAGTCCGAGTCTGATGTGCAGAGGTGGGATCCAGTAGAAGGTCACATCAGGTATGATTTTGCCTCGTCATTTGGTGCATTCATCACTCACTCAATACCAGATGCATGGAACACACTATCAACCTTGCTGCTGGACATTTTCTCATGGCCGTCTCACCAACATCCAGCCGCAAACTTCTAAAGAAAATCAAGGCGGCAGTTAAACGCTCGGATATCGATTTCGATGCTTTAGATGTCAGTTTGGATGGGATTGATTATGAGGGAGCGGATGAATGTGAAGAGGATGATGACGAGGATGACGAATTCGGAGTCGGTGACTTGATTGGTAAGGCTCTTGCGCTTGTGAAACAGGTTCGTTGACTTCCGTCTGACAACTTTTATATTCTACTAACTATTGATTATAGATCCGTGCATCACCTCAGGCCCGCGCATTCTTTGCACAGTCATGTAAACAAGCAGATGTCCCTGTTCTGGAGCTTACACAATGGATACGGACTCGGTGGGCATCCATGCACAGTTTTATCACCCGCATGTTGTTACTTCAAAAGGTACGTCTCTCATATGTTGCATGTCCATGAGCTCATTGTTCTTTATAGGGTGTCAATCTTTTTGTCGAGCTCGCGGATGACAGCGAGGAAGTCCCTGGCCTCAAAGGCAAATGTTATGCGGACTTTCGTCTTGACAAAAAGGACTGGGAGAAATTGAAATTGGTCCACGAAGTTCTTCAGGTATGTGTATCTAGTTCTACCAGCTGTACTTATTACTAATATTTGCACAGGAACCAGCAAGCGCCACGCAAACGTTTTCCAGTTCGTCCGATCCTTCCGTCTGGCGGACAATTCCAGTCCTCGAGTTTTTGCAGAAGTCCTGGGAAAATATGGCAGCCCTTCCTCGATTCTCACAAGTCCGCGACGCTATTCTCAAGGGATTGAACAATGTTGCAAAGTGGTATGACAAAACAAAAGCTACTAACGCATACTTTATTTGTCTAGCACTCGATCCTAATGTCAAGGTTGCCTATTCCGAGCATCAGTGGGATACGGAATCCTTCAAAATCGGTCTCAAAGATCTCGAACAAGTGGTATGTTTAATATTTGTTGACCATTGAAGCCAATATTTGCTGACATGTTTCGATAGTTTGACGAGTACTATACTATTGCCCTCGTCTCAGCTCCTGTGGATGCAAACATCGAACAAGCACCACCTGGGCAAGCCCAATATGGCCGTTCCTGGGTCCTTGCTGCTGTACAAGCACGTCAAGCATCTGATCGCACCCAGCTTAGGCCTCGTGCTGAACTTACTGCATACCTCCGGAGTCCTCTCGAGCAGACAGAGGATGTTGTGGGTTGGTGGGGTGTAAGTCTTTTTTTCTCATCATTGCAAGTTCATTTACATCAACTTCATACAGCACCATCAGTCACAATATCCGACACTTTCACGCATGGCCCGAGATTATTTAGCCATCCAGGGTAGTAGCACAGCATCGGAGCGTGCCTTTTCAAGCGGTGGACTAACAGGAACCAAACGACGGAACCGTCTCAACAAGGATGTATTCGAGAACTTGCAACTGTTGAAGAGTGCATACCGCAATGGCCACATCTCTGCCGCTAGTGATGCCGAGCAACATCTGGATTCGTTGATTGCTGCACTCCATGACAACACAGATGACGAGGATGGTGAACTGGTCTAGTAGCATTTAGTATTAGTACTTCTGTTGTCAGGCATGTTTCATTTATATGATTTTTCTTGATGAAATTTTTATTATTTTGGATGGTTCGGTTCTCGGTTCGAACCCTTGCTGAACCAGAACCAGACCATTATTGGACCGAACCGATGGTCCAGTCCTTGGTTCTGCTCACTGGGAGAACCGAACCTATGGTCAGGTTCGTGGTTCTCAGAATTTGCCTGAGAACTGGACCGAACCGGACCTGTCCATCACTATATAATATTCCCCAACCATTTTGCTTGCCAGAGTTGCTACACTTCATGAATCACAATAAATCTTAATGTAGTAGATACCTAGAAGGTACTCCTACGTATTCCAGCTATCTTCGAAGAGTTTTTGAATGTTGATGATGGCGTACTTTAAGGCACAATTTTCAAATTGCCCAAAATAGGGTGTGTCGTCAGTGGTAATTGGAACATGTCATAATTTTTTCTCGTCCAAAGTTAGTCAAAATTCATGCAGGTGATGGTACATATATGTGGGGGTAGATAATAGTGCTTTACTAGTCATAAGGTTGTGTTGTGTTAGTGTTATGCATGAAATGATTCATTTGACGGTACTGATTCATTTGGCGGTACATCACAGTATGTAGTAGCATCACGTGACTGTCGACGAGCGTAGATGGCCAAATAAATTATCCATTGAATTTGTGATGAAAGCGCTTCTGATCAACCAGCACCACTAGTATGGAAATATCACCAGTTACTCTCGACCTTCCAGAATGCGCGCCCAATCTCATGCCATTCCACATCTCTCACTCAGGGCCCGCACCAATATCTACGTACTTTCGCGTCAAGCCCTCGCTTTCTATCCCGCACCTTTCCATTACACAGAACACGTCCAACGAAACACAGCTGTCTACAGACAACAGCCAGAACACCCTCGTTGCTGAAGAGTCTCAATGCTCCATAACCACAATTGCCGAATCACAGTCTACTCCATTAGAGGAGGATTTACAGACATGTCCTGCAAGAGTGGGCGCTATGGTAGTCGACGCTGATTCTGGGACTCAAGCCAGCTCATCAAGTGAAGTAGCTCGCGCGCCACCTGCGACGCCCCCAGTAGAAGTTGGCATTAGCAATAGCTTTATTGCAGCATTCAGAGGGAGGCAGGTACACGGTCGTACCGTGGACCTGCCACAAGGATACGGTGGCATGGTCCTTAGCGCACCAAGCGGTGATGCAAAGAGTCAGGGTGATGACACTGGGATGGTTGAAACAATAGCTCAAACAAGAGGCAAGGGTCGAGCAACACGAACATGCAGCCGACAGATGGACATAGATGAAGACGATGCGGTGGATGCAGATCATGACGGCTCACGTGTTGAGATTCGGAGACTAACCCCGGTCTCAAGGTTTTCTTCCTTGACTGTATGGTCCCCAGACATACCGGTGGATGAGGGCAAAGACGAGTACCTTAGGTCTTTGACGGAGTGGACAAAATTAGCGGCAGAGGTACGTTTTCATGTATATTCAGTTATCGTGTCGTGATTCATCTTCAAAGATTCATGCCTATGACGCATAATATGGAGCCTCAGTGATGGACTGTAAGACGATATATTGCTACACGCGTCAGCTGTTGGCCCTGGTTTGGCTAATATCAAAACTCCACCATGCATAGTAATCGATTTGATCTATACCCTTTCGTCATCGAGTCTTCACGGCTAGATCTTGTCGCTTACTGCGATTGCTGAATATCATCGGAACTTGTGCAGGATCACTCGAAGATTATTTTACACCGTCATAGCTTTTGAAATTTGAATCATGAACTAGTGACTTGAACGTGCTAGCTCTTATGTATAGCGACTTGCCTACTTACTTGCGTAGCTCGTCACTCGTGGAGAAACACATCGTCACCGACACGGAATGGAATATTGGCACGAGTGAGAGGCCAATTTCAAGATTTAGAAATTAGGTTTGACTCTCAAAACTCGGGATGACATGACACACCGGAGCAGCTTTGCATTTGCAGCCGAGTTATTTTGTTCATTATTCAAGGAGTGATCAACATATCCGTCCAGGTTTCGCGAAACTTTTCATCTCTTGATTGAAATGGCGGTGGCAGTAGAACTTCCAGAAGCAGATTCCCGTCTTTTCCTACGATAACAAATAGGCACGCTGCTTGGCGTAGAGGGACAGGTGCATTTGTGAAGCGCTTGATATAGTTTTGTAGGTTGTTCACGACCCTGGCCTCGAGCACCTGATGGGTTATCAGTGTTGTCGCATTGTTTACATTTCCAGTAGTAGCGATTCCAGGTGTTCTCGACTCGTTCCAGGCGCTCGAAATTGCCGTTGATCAGTGACGCGAGGGGGAGTCATCCACCATGCAACATCTTACTTTAGGGACGTCGGTTTTCATTGTCGTCATGACAGGCGAGCGCACGCAGTGAGAGAGAGAGCTAGTAGAGAGTAGATTCTAGCTCAGTATGAAACGAGAGAAAAACAAGTGGCTCACATCACCGATCAGTATCGATGTTTGGAAGATGTAGCACGTTCTTTAAACGTACGGGTAATTTAGGAAGAAATGAAAACATATTAAGTGGGCGCATGAATGCTACCAGGTTAAGGTATGTAGCCGGCCGTTCCGAAGTTATTCCCGATGCATTGAAGTTCAATTCCGTTCTATTAGTCAAGACAGGCTCTTTGACCTTTCTGTCAAGGAGGAGTATGCTCCGCACCGTGCGTGCGTTCCGGAGTTTGCCAGCCAATTTCCTTCAGAGCGGACTTCTCGTTCCGCTCATTGCGCGACTGACGGATACTGTGGAAACAGAAGTGTCAGTTCTTCGCCCATCATTACAGTCGCCAGCGGCTGTCCTCGACCAGGCCGTTGACGCACTTACATTCGTTGATGTAGTACTCTATGTGGTGAGTCATTCAGTCCGAAACATGGTGAGAACTGCAATGCGGCGCTATATCATATACGAAGAACGTATAACAAACCACATGACCCCAGGCTATTATTGCCTGGGGAAGGCTGGCTCGCAGGCGTTTAAAGATAAGCCTTGCTAGATGTCGATACAGCGATGCGTGCTTCCACTCTACTCCAGAGTGCTAGTGACTCGGACGTGTGAGAAGGCAGCCCGGTGTCAAACAGATAGAAGGATGATAATCGTTGGATCTTCCTATCTGTGGTCCGAAAGTTCGCCTGAAACCTCACACATTGTAGAAGATCGAAACACTCAAGACAATTGACTCTTCTGCCGTACCTTGAAGCTTGAGTCGCGCGTGTTCTTTGCAAAGAACGAGTTCACATATCCATATTTGGAAACTGTAGTTGTATTGAATTCGAAAATCTGACCGGCCGTGCACCTAGTAGTTCTTACTTACTATCACAAACAATTTATGTACTTCAAGTCGAGCTGTGCAGTACGACTCTACTGATATGAAATTGACGTAGGGTCAGATCAGTACCTTATAATCAAGAAAAACATATCCACCAAGCAACCAAATTTCAAATGCTTGAGCCTAAAACTGATCTATAACATACAGCTTGATACTCCGCGGATCGCAGTTCAACATTTTGACATATATTTCGGCCAGAGTTGCACATAGCATCCATGTCAATTATTCAAACTTCGTCGCAGCCTCAGTACGCTTCTCCTGAATGCGTATCTTGAGGTCTTTCCATATGTGAACGCCGAACAACATAGAACAGCCCACGTAAACAGCCTGAACATAGACTGTAAGCGCAAGACTCGAAGACTTGTCAGACAAACTCACCGTCACTGCCAAGCCTTTTACAGAACGCCTACAAAGTGACAAGGTATACAGCCCTTCAGCCGTGTGGATAACACCGAGTATCGTAGCAAGAGTCTGAGCAGCAAAACCGAAACCAGTGAAGCTTTTAATCGCGTTTGCTGGGGAGAAGAATGTATCCACGGTGGCGGCAGGGATAGAGAACAATGTCGTGCCAGGGGGTGGTGGTGCAAGAAGATAAAAGTACGCGAGGAAAATGAATGGCGTCATGATAGCTTTGGGAGGGAACCGGAATGTGGTCAACTTGGGAACTTTGAGCTAAAGTGGACGCGTATGCATCAGACACAAGACAGATTGAAAGAAATATTGTTTGCGAACACGTACCATACCAAGACCATCAAGCGCCTCTGTCTTCATACTCAAAAGGCGGGGTTTGGCACCATCGTATCCTGGAAGCGACGGTTTGAATGGTACCCGAACCGTATTTGAGACTCCAGACTGGAGCTTGTATAAAAGTGTCATGCCCTGGGTACATTCGTCGATGCCAGTTAAGCACACGAAATCCATCGTCCTATGTAGACTGACCTTTGAGTCGATGCCAGACATCTCAGCACTGACCACATTGTCCTGAACTTTCCCGAAATATTTGACATATGCAACCAGTGTACGAGGATGGTCCTTCATATACGTGCATAGGGAGCTGGAGTTTGAAGCAACAGAGTCTGACATAGCTGCTGTAGAAGATTTATTACGTGACACGTCGCGTTGAATACAGTACTAATGTCGATTCTGGCGGTAGAGTACCAGTCGAACGATTCCACAAGACCTGAGTTTATATATTTATCAGGGAATGCTCCGACTCGGGGCCTAGTTCGGACACGAGAGATAAGGCCTAAGGCCTTTAGACCTGTGCGTTACCATCACCGCTACTAATGATGATGTAATGATATGATTATTCGAATTCGGCCCTGGTGACTTTCGCCTTGCTCCGTTGGACCGTGGATGCACGCGGTTTTTTCTCGGCAGCGAGTAAACACCACATACTCATTGGGTTCAGTGGTGAAGTATTCCTGGAACTAACAGGTAATCAGTACCATGCAATCAAACTGGATCACCACTGGCTTGAAGATCACAGCAAGGCATCTGGAGCATCGCTATAATTTAGCAATAAGGTAGTATTGTCTGTGGTATAAATACGAAAAATGGGATACCGACAGAGAAACGACCCAGTTAAATTAACAATATATTTGCCCTGTTGGGCATACACACGCCGGAGACCCAAGAGTTGAAAAAGGTACAGTGAGATAAATGACTGGGAGAATTCGCGAGTAGAGAGTATCCGGCATGCTGTGGTAACATGAAGTGGGGTCTGTACTAATCGTGAGGTCATGAATCTAAAGCATCAAAGTGAAGCCCAGTGCCGAGACGCCCAGGGTTAAAGCAGTCTTCCAGCCAATGCTTTCCGCGGCTAAGCGGAGTCCACCGCCAGTTGCTTGCGAACCAGAGGACGGCGTCGGAGTTGGAGATGCACTGGCAGTTTTAGCACTAACGCTAGAGTTCTAAATAGTACTGCTGGGTGAGTCTGTTCTGCTGCCAGTGAAACTGGCATTATTTGAAGCGTTACTTACGGAAGAAGTGGCACTCGGTGTTCCAATTGCGCTGGCTGTAGCTGACACGGGGCTCGTGGTACCAACGGTGGTGGTTGAAGTCGAATTGACGAGCGAACCGGTACCCCAAGGAATGGCAGACCCGTCGGGTTGAGTGCTTTCAGTTGCGGGGACGATGTCGGTTACGGCGTCAGTAATCGTGAATCGCCCAGTCCAGACACTGCCATTGGGGGAAGTTGGAGTAGAGAACTGGTAGAAGTAGATAGGCGAGTGGGGTGTGACCTGGGGGGATAAACACGATTACGATGCGTGTAAGGGTGGAGCGAGACACCACCCACCTGAGGACAAGGATAAGAGAATGAATTTTTCGTCGCGTCCGTTCCGTCAACAGTGGCGACCGCTATGAACAGTTGAGGTCAGTATCTTATGACAGAGTATATGAACGGACTGGTCAAGTTGACCATGTCGAAGTTGTCTCCGGTCTTCAACTGAATGATCATAGTCTTCCACATGCCAGTGGTATCCGGGTTCCAGCTCATGGAACAGGCCTGGCCCTCGATGAAGACATCTCCAGGTCCAGGATTGGTGGGATCTGGATCGGCATGTGCGAATAGAGCAGCAGATGAGGCCAAAATGGTCAACGCGAGGGCCGCAAACATGTTGTTTATGTGAAAGGAGTGTGCTTTAAACTGGAGGTTGACAAAAAAAACGCGACGGTGGCGATTGGCATCACTTAAGTACAACAATAATGAACACAATGCGACTTACTGAAAGATTATGGTGAAGACGACCCGGAAGACTCAGCAAATAGCAAAGGAGCGACTGGCGAAGTGCAAGGGAGCCGATACAAGCCTGTGGTGGGTGAAGGATCGTAATAACTCGCGGAAGTAGGTTTTTGTACCACGTACGTCAGACCGGCAGCTGTATTAATGACCCAACCAGTTGACATGTCCATGTCAGCCCCCTGCCAAGTGATCGATGTATACACCCGACACTGTGGACAGAGCCAGCCTCCATACTAAATTTATTTATCCATCGATCGAGAGGCCAGCGGGCTGCTATACGAGTGCTAGCACGTGTCCAAGTCATTGTGAACCGTGGTCGGGGATGGGTACCCGTTATGGGACCGTCCGCAAGCACTTAATAACTGGCCGCTGCCGGTGGCTCACACAACTTCATGGCAAAAGTTCACACTAGTGAGGCACAAAACTTATGCCAAGTCCATGGGCCTCATGCGTGCACAGGGCACTCTGGAGTCCACCACCTCTAGACAGCGGCGACTCGGACATCACCGTCGACACCACCACGCACTGCTTCTCGATGACATTTGAAGTAGGTAACGATGGAGACAATGGTTCATTGGTTAAGGAGGTGAGTCGAGCCAACTTGTGAGCGCCCACCACTGTAACGACCGGATATTAACAAGGGATACACCGAGAATCAGTTGTTGGCAGAACTGCCAACCGGTGGTTGTGCCTGATCAACGACAGAACTCACGACCTGGCGGGACTCCAGGACTGTAATTCAAATCTGATAATACAGTTTGAATCCGATAAAACATGAATATTTGAATGTTGGACTCTGACGGAGCGAAGGCACCTGCAGACGTCACACCAGGCAGGAGTGCAGCGAGTCGACATCGTCCGATCGAGCGCTGTCAATGTCTCGCATTAAGGCCTACGACGAGTCTGTACATACAGATCGGATGATATCGACCACTTCAAGCTGACTCAACTACGCTCGGAAAGTTAGAATTCGACTTCTCATACTATATACCTTGTAACTTTTCCCCCAGCTGTATTCCCGACAGAGAAACAAGAGGCATACCCCCACGATCCTGGTTGAGTTGGGCGGACATTTATCACAAACCTTCGTATTGCTGAAGTGACGGTATCGATGGAGCGGAAGTACCATCACCCCTCTCCCGGGAGAAAAAATTCCTGTGAACTCAAGTCTGCATGTCTGGTTAGGTACAGGTTAAATTACACCGCGGCTCCGAGTGAACTGTCGGTGTGACGTGGAACGGAGTAAGCCATCTTTCCTAGAATCCATTAATAACACAGTAACGCTCGATGGGAGTGGTTGAATTTGTACCCGGAAAACTCCAATCGATGGTCTTGTTCTCGGATCGTTGGCGAGGAGAATATATTTGATGGTAGCTGTTCCCAATGAGGATTATTGTCAAGGGGGAGCCCCTCGAATTCAATTTCAATTTCATGTCTATACCACAAGTCTCTTGTGCGAGATTCCTGGCGTACCCATTTTCTTCGGTGACTCTTGAGCACGCAGGGTAAGCTAGATCAAGAAGACCATGAACCCAAGTGCAGTCTTCGCATCGGGTCGATTATGTGGGAGGAGCCTCGCTTCGTGACCATAGAAATTTGGGTTCAAAGAGAAGGAGAGAATGTTGGTGCGGAGACCTTCCTTTAGCACGTTGGCAACGTTCGGATGGCGCGCTTTGAGTAGCACCGTGGCGTATTCAATCTGCTGAAATCAGCTACAACTATAAACTCAAACCTTTGAATACCCATGCTGATTCCACTACCGCCTGGGTCCTGGGATATATGGAACGTACAGTAAAAGATGTATTTTACATAAGATCATTTGTAACAACTTGAAAAAGGAAGGAAGACGTAGTGACAGTGAACAGTGAAGCTATAAACATCTACTGGACTGAAGGGCCATCATAAGGACGGAGAGAAAGGTGCCGGCTTGACCCAGTCCACATTCGGAACGTGCGATTTCTCCCAGTAAGGTTGGCGAACCCAGGTCTCTGCTGCGTTGATCTCTCGACCACATCGCAAGTCTGGCAGCGAAGATGGAAATTCTTCGCGGTCAAGCGCTGCAATCAGTTTTTAGCATGATGTTCAAAGATAAATCAGATTCAACTCACCGCGAGAGTGTGCGTCGGTGAATTCTGACCTGCCGGATTTGGACACAAACGATCTATGATTTACGACTTCAGCGAACCCAAACCGCGATGACGGGTCGGGTTGCAGCAGCTACCGCGGTGAAGATGAGTGATGGTGCCGGAAAACGAACAAGACAAAAGCTTACTCCAGAGATCAAATCCGCGAGATTTTCCTTCAATTCTTCAAAGGCAGGGAACCGTTTGGATGCTCTGTCGCGGCTGGAGCACCAAGAAACATAGGAAAATACGTCGTTCTGTGTAACGAAGAGCGACTAACGACATGATATCAGTAAGATAGCAGCGAAGGAAGACTCGAAACGTACCTCGTGCTCCTTCGACACAAGCTCGTAGAGGACGCAACCTAACGACCACCAGTCTGCGGGTGCTCCGTACTTCGAAGGACGGCGGTCAGATCCGTTGCGCAGGACCTCCGGTGCCATGATGTGTGGCGTTCCCACCGGTTCCGAAGAATAATTCTGCTGTCGGTCCAGGGGTCCTTCGTCTTTGTTTACATAACTCACGCCAAAGTCGATGATGCGCACGTTCTTTCGAACGTCGATCAGGATGTTTTCGGTTTTGATGTCCCGGTGGATGATCCCTATCTCGTGCAGGGCGTTGATCCCAAGGGTCTTCGAAGTCGGATGAGACGTGAGTCGTCGAAGACCAGGACAGATGACTGCTTACCATTTGCGCACCCCACCTGCGAGCATTGCGGACGCAGTACGAAGGATAACGTTGCAGATAATTATACAGGTCGCTCGCCATCAGGTCCTAGAGACATCAGATGGAGTCAGATGACTGAAACGGGTCGCAGGGGAGGAGGGAGGAGGACGTACCATTACAAAACATATCTGATCCTTTGTTTGAAACGACATTTCAAGCCCCATGAGGAAATCAGCAGCGGGACACGGCAATGCGCATGAAAGACGCTTGAACGCTTCGAGTTCGTTCAGAAGAACAGCTTTCCTGGATTTGCGCTCAAGATGGTGCTTTTGAAAGACCTTGAGACACAATAAGCGATTCGACACTATGTCTTCAGCTCCCATCGCCACGCCGTACGTGCCCTCGCCCAACATGCCCCAAACACGAAAGGGGCCATACGTGCATGACACTGGTGTAGTTTGGACCACCTCTGCTGGGCCGGAGTGCGTGAAGGTGAAGGCGTGAGGAGGTGCTGGAGGGTCGGCCGGCTCCGAGGCAGAAGGGTATTGAAGATTGGGGAGCTCTGAGGGAGGATTCTCGATGCCAGGATCGACCACGGTAGACATTATGACGGGGGCGCTGGAATGAGGTTCGGAAGAAGAAGATTGAGCGATCGACTTTTGAGTGACCATGCCCAACAGATAAGAACGAGGAGAAGGGAGAAGTTCGACGCGCGAATTTAAGAATTCCCTGGTAGGACCACAGCATGCTTTAAATAATATCAATGAGTTGTGGAGCGTCAATTTGTGGATTGTCTGAAAACACCCACAGGGTAATCATGGCGACTAGCCACTGTCAATCACGACGGGGGAAGATTGTGGAGATGTGCGCTGTGGAACAATCAAAACACGTTGCGACCACAGTTGAGCACCAAGCGTCGGCGCACATCGCTGCCAGCTGCCAAGTGGTCAATAACACTCACGATATCAAAACAATGTGATGCCGCAGAAACGTGCATGTCCAAGTCTAGAACGCGAGCGGTCCTAGCACCGAACATTCTAGTTAAGCGCTGACCGGTGCGAGGCATGCTGTTACAGGTGTTTTACTTCCTCTGAATATCTATTTATCAGCATCGCACGACAGACCACGAATGGGTATCTTCGAAAGAACCTGTACATTATTCTTCGTATACTTATCTCATGAATGTCAAGTTAATGTCCCTAGCCGTGGAGTCAGTCGCTCAAGATAGTCTCCGCGGCAGCGGTATTGACATTCAAAAAGTATAAATGTACGTTAGCAGAAAGATCGGAGTGATGCATGAACTACACCTTTGGACGACAGCATGACAGAGTCATGGAATGAAATGACAGCGTTTGAAGGTAATAACAGGGTTAACGATTCAGATTCAAACTTTACATGTTCAACGGGCTTGTGCGGATGTGTCGATCACGGCGTGGTCGCGATTGCGAGTAGGAAAGTAACCGAGTCGGTGAGTTATATTTTGGTTTCGGCTTGATACATAACAAGGTTGATGACGTGAAAATACATAGTAAGAGCAGTAGCTTGATTTGGTGAACAGAACGCTCTTGAACGAAGATCAACATACACTGTGACACGCAAAAAAAAACATACGAAGGGTACTGACACAACAGACGCCCGTCACCTGCAAGCTCTCGATCTGAAATAACAAGCGACGCAGGAGGTGGTCGAGATGCAGCACAAGCGACGAACCAGAAGCTGTAAGCCTGTAACGGTAAAGACAAGGAAACAGTGAATGTCAGAGATCTGGCCAGTCTGGGGCCAAAGTCTGGGGCGGAGTCTGGGGCCAGAGTCTGGGGCGTTCGGCAAACACGGCTGACCCGGGCTGAGTTTGAATTGTTTTTGTCACGTGTTTGCTTTGTGACAATTCCAAAGCCACCCGCCATCATCGTGCCTCCTGCCAGTACTAGTGTGCCCGTCGTAGATGGCTAGCGGCTGCCGACACACCCGCCAATCTACTCACCACATGCAGTTAGCATGCTATGTTCGTGCTTCTCCGCACCAAAACCAGTCAAAATTATGATCGTCAATCCACTGTCCCAACACTTGTGCTTCCTCAACGTGTCTTGATTCTGCTACCAGTGTCTGCCGCACCTTCGTTGCTGTGTTTTCTGCTTCCCATTTTCGATCTCCTCCGCTGTCTACTCTCAACATGTTTTCGATCTGCTCTGCTGTCTACATCCTTTCTGCTTGGCTCTCGATGTTTGCGATCCGCTCTCAGGCTGTCGTCTATTTCGTTTATGCTCGGCTCTCAACGTACTTTCGAGGTATACTCCACCTGTTTCGCATCGGTTTCACTATTTTTCAGCTGCTTTCGTATACCGATTGTATTCCGCATAATACCTACTAAGCAATCAAAGCATATTTGACACTATTTAAGCACATTCTGGGAGGACAGCGCGAGTGTGCGTGAATGCGCCTAAATGTGCGCAATATAAAAGAAGCACAATAGAGCACATGGGGCACTGCCCCGTCTTATAGAAAATATGCTGTCAGTCCGGATATCGAGCGAAATGCGCGAGTATGTGCGCTGTCTCTCAAACGCACATTTCAACACATTCAGCCCTATTCGAGCACAGCTGATTCTCACTGGGAGTACTGAGTACTGATCATTGATGTCACCAAGTGCAGTGCGGCCTGCAAGAGGTCACAAAGGGCGGGTCACAACTCACAATGGACGGGTCACACTGGTATTGCAAACGTGACCAGATATAATTGGAACTCAGAATTAAGCTCCGCACGCGTCAGCCGCAGCCCCAGACTTTGACCCCAGACTCCGCCCCAGACTTTGGCCCCAGACTGGCCGTTTCCTGGATGTCCTCAGGAAACAAGGGAGCACGATGATCCCAATGAGGTTGCGGCTGACCCGGGCCGGCTAGAACCGTGAAACCTTTTGCGAAAACTCTTCGGCTAGGTACGAGAATTAGGGCTCCGTGAAAAACTACCTAGTTTTTGACGTTGGAGTTTTTGACAGGTTTTTAACATGTTTTTAACGAGTCGATAACTCGGGGTTGATATTGGGGTGTCAAAAACTAAAATATATATGTATATGATCTCGGGAACATAGCCTATCGAATTCTCCATCCGAACATCCGAATTCACCGAAAAATCGTTAAGATATGACCGACAATCTGTCAACTACCGTCCAATTGAGCGTTCGGCTGAATCGGCTCAATGATTACAACAAAAATTTACCTTGATGAGCTTCTTCGAGGACATTGGGCGCAACAACGCACAGTTGAGCCACCTCCGAAAGGCACTCGCACAACTTCCACATAGTATCCCCCTCGGAAACTCCAAATATAATTTTGAGCACTATGCTCCAGATCCGGAGAGGGTCGAACTCTATGGCAGTACCGAAGCCGCACTGAATAATGTGCTCGAGGTCACATTTGCACCCAGAGGCCGGAAGGATGAGTCGGCACCGTGTCCATTCGAGTTTCAAGATGTCCCGTAGACCAAAAGGCCTCCCTCAAAACCAACAGTTAAGTTTCGTGACCTGGAAAGTACTCTTTTCGATGTCGATCTCGATAGCAATGGTCAGAAAAGGAAACACGACAACTCCGAGTCGCAAGCAGAGGCTAACCCGGAGCCGCAGGACTCTAATTCAGACTCGGAGGACAATTGGTTGGAGGAGAGCGAGGACCCGGAGATTGAGCGTGATCCAATGTACTGGTCTTGTGATACGAGAGTACTTGTGGGTAGCGAGGATGCTCATCTTGATGCTCCTCGATTGTTGGACTTACTATCAGAGAAGCCGGTGGAAGGGGCAAGCAGGACACCTCAACTACAGGATAGCACAGTTCCAACGCCTCCGGGAGGGCCTGTACAGTGGGCATTTGCATTACCGTAGCGAAAAAATGTCAAAATGACCTAAAAAAACGCATTTTTTGAGTCTGTCAAAAACTGGTCAAAAACTAGTTTTTAACTCGTGTCAAAAACCCCTCGAGGGTGGGGGTGAGTTAAAAACTCGTCGTTAACTCCGTGGGTAGTTTTTCACGGAGCCCTAACGAGAATCATGACTCTCCGCTAGTATGCTAGCATGATTCATATGAATCAAGACCTGAAGACCATGGAAGTGGGCGCCCATGCACGTATATGCGTGATATTGTCTTGCACTCGTCCAACTATCTCTCCCGTTCACCTGGTCTACCCAGAGTCTGAGATCGGCACGGTGCAACTTCTACGGAACACATTGTCGACAACGAACTAGAGTAAGCACTATCCCCATATTTTCATAGAAACCACCAACTCAAGAAATTTCGTCAGCCCGCTCCTACTCTTAGCTCAAGTGCGTGCCAATCAGCATTTGACTCTAGTAGGGAATCCAGACACACCGGAAGTTGAGAGCGTCTTGGGACTCTTGGCCGCACTTACAGTATACAAGCAACGAAATCATTGCATCCCCAAGCAAAATCTAGTCTTGTGACCACGTCGTTCTTTGCAAACAACCACACGCGACTAGTACTCAAGCTTCAAGCTACGGCAGAAGAGTCGATTATCTTGAGTGTTTCGGTCTTTTACATCATGTGACCGTCATGATGTTTCTGGATCTTGTGACGTTTCATGCACCACATCATAACAAAGATCGGAAGATTCAACGATTATCTTCCTCCTATCACTATTTGGTCTGTTTGACATCGGGTTATCTTCTAACATGCCACTAGTACTCTAGAGTAGAGTGGAGGCACCCATCATTGTATCGAGGTCTGGAAAGGCTTATCTTAAAACGCCTGCGAGCAGTCTTCCCCGGGCAATAATAGCCTGTCATTGGGGTCATGTGGTTTGTTATATGTTCTTCGTATATATAGCGCCGCACTGCAGTTCTCACCCTGAACGACTCCCTGTCAATACCATCTGGCCTTTCAGCGATAACCCGCATCTATGACTAGAAAAATTTTCGTTGGATTCGGCGTAGATGTTGACGCTGTGGCTGGCTGGTACGTGGTTTTTCATTCGTAGATAATAAGAGTTAGCAACGGTGATCATGATGCAGGCTTGGGTCCTATGGAGGAGAAGATTCGCCATTGGACATCTCTCGGGTATGCTCGCATTGACGCTATGTGATTATGAGCTTAAATCAGCGCAGGGAATGTACGCGGGAGAAGTTGGAGTGCCTCGCCTTCTAAAGCTGTTTGATAAGTACAAGATCAAAACAACCTGGTTCATTCCTGGTTGGTCCCAAGTTAAATGCTCCAAAGACACAAGGAACTGACGGATAGCATATGTAGGTCATAGCTTGGAGACATTTCCGAAGCAGATGGAGGCAGTTCGAGATGCCGGTCATGAAATGTAAGCTTCCTTGAGTGAGGAGATCTATATCTTTCTCATCTCATGTGCAGAGGTCTTCATGGATACTCCCATGAGGTAAGTGGTAATGATATCAATATTGGGCAAAGAACTGAATGTTTTCAAAGAATCCTGTTACTATGACTCTGGAACAACAGCGAGACATTTTGGACCACACCTTCAAGCTTCTTACGGATTTCAATCATGGTGTTCCTCCGAAGGGCAGCGTCGCCCCTTGGTGGGAAACCAGTAAGGAGGGAACGGCGTTGTTACTGGAAAAGGGCATTGAATATGGTCACTATATCACTACTCGTTTCAAGCAAGGTACTAACACTTTTTAAAACAGACCACTCCAATATGTGCCACGAGTGAGTCGGCATACCAGTCGTGAAGTACTCAGACTTACATTCTTTCAGTTCGCAAATGTATTATCTTCGTGACGAAGATACATGGACAAATATTGATTATCAGGCGAAAGCTCACACGTGGATGAAGCCGCTGCAAAGGGGCAAAGAAACTGGGGTCGTTGAGATTCCGGCTAACTGGTCCGTCAAATACATCGCCAATGTGCGCTTATTTGATGCTGATTATACGTGTGTCAAGGTACCTTGACGATCTTCCCCCCATGATGTAGGACGCAAGTCGTGCACAAAAGCAACATGCTAACACTAGTCTAGGTTCATTAAATCAAGCTCAAACTCTCATGGCTGGGTATGCCAACACGTTTAAAATCCTTCTCACGTCTATTCATGCATCTATCAGGTCAGCGCCCAAGCTGTCGAACAGCTTTGGAAAGATACATTCACTTACCTGTATAGGTAAGGATAAGATTGCTTAGTTTCAGCCCCCTGTTGATTTATAGCGAACAGAGAAGAGAAGGATTTTGTATTTCCCATTAGCATCCACCCGGACGTTAGCGGGTCAGTCTCCACTTCTTACCATCATTTGAGTGTTCTGACCTCGGTCTTTGACAGTCGTCCACACGTACTTCTGATGCTGGTATATTTCACTCGACCTCCTCCTTGTTCTCCAACTCATCGGCGGTCACAGGAGAGTTTTATTGAATGGATCAATACTCACGATGACGTCCAGTGGCTAACCTTCTATGAAATGGCTCAAGATTTCAGAGCCACAAATGACCCAGCACCGGGTGCCATCATGCCCAAAGGCTTCGAGAAGGCCTAAGCTTGTCTTTACAATGTAGTGCGTTTCATACAACATATTTGTATTGAGACTTCTTCAGGCGCTGTCGAATGTTTACCTAGTCATTTGTATCAGTATGTTCTATCAACTTGTGACTTATACGTTTCGAAAGCCACGGCAGAACGGGTTCTAATTTATTTGAGTTGGATGGACCTTGAATGAGCTTGTGCATGTCGTGTACAAGGTTACTGCCAGTGTGATCGTCATGCTTTGGCTGCCATGCATAGCCTTTTGAAGTTCCTGCAATCATCACTGCTCAATGAGTACTGAGTCCTCATTTGCAATAAAAATATCTACAACTGATACGTCTCAGTAAGCGAACTCGAACACTATACAAGATCGATTCGAACAAGTTGATTCAGATACTCCCAGTGACTTCTTCATCTTCAAACAACTTGAAATTCATACCCTGCGGAAACCCATCCAGAAAGTAGTCCAAAAAATTCCTCCTATGTTTCCCCAACCACACAAGACCACCGACGATGGCCATCTCGTCTATCCACTTTAGGAGGGTTTGGTCCAGAGTACTCCCTCCCGGCGACGGCTCATATCCCGGGAGCAATTTCCACAGTATCATCTTCATATTCGAGAAAAGTAACTCTGAATGCTCTTCTGGCATCTTGTAAAGGAGCCGGGCCTTGGGCCTCTCGCGCGGCTGCGAAGAGTACGGTTCTGGCAGGGACCCCAGCATTGTGCGACCGAGACATCGAATTATAGATGCCGTTAACAGGTAATAGCTCAGACTAACAGGATTGGTGGTCGGCCCAGCCATGCCGCATACTCCTCGTAATGAATATGCCATATGAAAACCAGAAGAGAAATCTGACGGCGAAGCGCGCTCATACATGAACCGCGTGAGATCCATAACAAACTTATCTGTTGGGGTGTCTTCCTTGAATAGCCTTGACAAGATTTCGGGGGCCTTTGGGCTGGTACACAAGAGCGCATGCCACACTCCAGAGCTGCTTGACGCACGTGCAAGAAAGCTCACTACGGCGACTTCATCTTGGAGCTCTTCCAAAATCCCTTCACCTCCAGACATCACCGCGCCCAGTCTGCTCATGCAAGGTATCATGAATTGGAAGAGTTGAGAGGACGACTCGTTGGAAATCGAAGAGAGTAAAGGAGCGAAACTAACACCTTCTGCGAAAGACACTTCATCCTCCGAACATTTGCAGACCTTGAAAGCCTTCTCCACTTCTCGGCTGATTTCATCTGCAAATGAAGTAAACTTTGCTTTCTCCATGATTCTAAAGACTAGATATGCTCTGTCGTATGCCGTTGCGAACCGCCTGCTACCCATGCATATCTGCATCAAGAGCACATAGAGCACTACATCAACGAGTGTAAGTGCGTCAAGATCCTGGTCGAGGACAGCCGCTGGCAACTGTGATGGTGGGCGAAGAGCTGACACTTCTGTCTCCACAGTATCCGCCAGTCGCGCAATGAGCGGAACGAGAAGCTCGCTCTCAAGGAAATTGGCTGGCAAACTCCGGAACGCACGCACGGTGCGGAGCATACTCCTCCTTGACAGGAAGGTCAAAGAGCCCGTCTTCGTCACATTGACTAATAGAACGGAATTGAACTCCGATGTTTGGGGTCGCGACAGCTTTGTGATCTTGAACACAAAACTGTCATCCGCCCCTTCCTGGGAGGATCTGTAACGTGCAAGTGACATCGCGGATTGCAAATTTACGTCGTTGATGTGTGCCCCGCGTTCTCCGCTGGCGTAAATTGGAGTGGGTGGTACTGGATTCACGTGAAGCAAAGAGCTCACTAACGAACCCGGCTTGATATATTCCTTCATCTCTGGACGCAATATCACATGCCGCAGGACGAGGGCAATGCGAGGGCTGACTACAAATATGCGATGCAGGCCAGGGCAGCCACCTCCCAACCCTTCCCACAAACCAAATGTGTTGTGCGTGAGGATAAATTCTTCCCCTTCCGCGGCTTCCCAGATGCTGAAGAAGTAGTTGTCCGCATGAGTATGGTAAGTGTACGCATCGTGGTTTTCGAGATCAGGTGGGATATGCGATTCAGTCATCATTTTTTGAAGACCTTCTTCGCCGTACTTATCTATGAGTTCTGCAGCATCTCGCATGATGTCTGAATGCGATGTGTCCAGGTAGTATCTGAGGACGTATAGCCAAAACTCGACAGCGGATTGAATACCCTTCTTTTTCATGAAGGACTCAATCCACTGGCGGCCCCTTGCGTTCTCCGGGTGATCCGCTTGAAAGTAGGTGTTGGAGCAAGATACATTGCGATAATGCATAATAAATAGGAACTTTCGCAGGAGTTCTAGCGGCCTCCGCTTCAGAGTGAAAGTACCCTGAGGAAGCGCTTTGTGCAAGTCCATGATAATGGAGGCTGCATGACGTTCGAGGTCTGCTAATTTCTCCTCCAGCTCGTTGATATTATAGATGTTTCGGACGTCCTGGTAGAGATTCTGTACGCCGTAAACCTTTCCAATAGGACGAATGTCAAGACTACCCGTGGCAATGTCATAGTAGTAGACGTATTCAGGATCAACACCGGTGCGTCGAAATTCTTTTTGTCGTTCTGTTTTGGACCTGCAAAGAACATCATTCAGTGTTCTAGTCTATTGTCCGACACGCAGAGTGCTCGAGAGGACACTGAAAACATACTTCACAGGACCGACTTGGAATCTTCGTAATATGAATCGTGGAATGAAATGTTGGTATTGTGTTGTAGGTGCACACGGACTCGGAGAGCCGTCTGTCTTCTGAGCTCCTCCTGCAAGTTCTGTTCTGGCTTGTTGTTTTGGTGTATTCCTGCGACGTCGTGTCATTATGTACTGGTAGAGTTCAACGAACCCAAGAACTGAGCGCTGAGCGCTGAACACGCCATATCCATGCGGCCGCGTTGTCGTCACTGAATCCTCTAAAGAGCATATTGAAGTAGTACTATATATAGATACCTTAGTATTCAGTATATGATATTCAGGGCAGGACAATGGTAAGACTGGTCATGATAAACTGTGCGATTTCTTTCAGCGATTTTGTTTTCCAAAACGAAATCGCCAGACTCAAATTCAGGCTGGCCGGATGTAGAACTCATTATGCATCAAATTTTGCTCAAAGATCATCATCATTCTTAGATTACACGAGTGCGAAAATTCAACAATGTTTAAGATTCACCAGGTAAGATCTTTGCAATGTTCATTAACTCGGCCCATCTCTTGTCTTCTGCCCACACGATGCTTTGGTCCTCCTGCATAGTCAGAGCTTCATCAAGTTCATGCGTCGGCTTGCCCTGTTGCTCGAGGGCGGCGATCTCCTTGTCGAATGCGTCAAGCCATTCAATCGCCTTCTTCATCTGTGGATAATTCATGCTCGGGATACGGAGAGCCCAGAAGCAGCGGTCAGTTGCATGCGTGACCCACCCTGTTGCACGAGCTTCAGTAATCATCTCACAACTCTATGGATACTGATATACCTTTTGGACGCAGTTGTTCTGGAGTCCAGCGAATCGTATATCTGAGAATTGGGAACCCCGCCTGTTGGAAATCTCTTGCAAACATCCTCACGGGGATGTGCACTTGTCCATCACTTAGAATATCACCCATCTGCCTCATCGATTCTTCGACAGTTGCTGTACTTGGGAGCGTCCGATACTTCTTCACGAGCTTCTCAACGACGGGGCGTGGGAAGTACCGCAAGATGTTAGGGAACACATCCTGTGGACCTTGAACCGGGTGCGCGATCGCGTAAAGGTACCACTCCTCGCTCAGATCGCCAATAGAAATGCTCTTGACTCCTTTCTCGCGTAGAGCACGAGCAAGGCCTCCCGACCGTTGCCAGGTCATTGGATCGGGTGTGGTAGGGATCCAATTGCCATCAAAACATCCCCGGTACGTGCCGTGCTCCACACCGACTTCGTCTGTCTCTATTACCTTCATCATAGCTTTGATAGGAACTTTGGCAGGGTCTCTCAGGGTCTCCAAAACGTCAGGGGCATTAGGATCGAGATTGAGGGCGCGGCAAAGGGCTTGGAAGGATTGCCTCAGCTCCAACGGGGTTTTAGGGATAGTCCTGCAGGCAATGAGTGAGTTAACGGCAAGTGATAAAAGTGACTCACATCATTGCGTTTGATTGCAAATGGGCGGAACGGAACGGGGAGTTCTGCCCTGGTGGCAGGTGTGAAAGGTGGTGCAAGATTTGGTGTACGGCATGGGCACCTATTGCTCGTTAGCAATGATGTGAGTTCAAAGGAAGCTTTCACTTACCAGCAGACAGCCCAGAAAGTTGAATATTGCTCGGGTCACCTACACATGATGTCAGGATATCGACTAACTCTGACATGGCGTGCGTTCAAGCTTACCTCCAAATGATGCAATGTTCTCCGAAATCCACAGAAGCGCTAACCATTGATCTTTGAAGCCAAAGTTTCCGTCTATCTTGGGCTCGTCGCACGCAAGGAAACCAAGCACCGAGAGCCTATAGCCGATGTTGATATGAATTTCCTTCCTTGACTCGGCCACATATTGTGACTGGGAGCTCAAGCCATGGGGCGAACCAAACTGAAGAAATCTGCGACAATGAGTCCCCGAAAGTTATAGGTCTATGCACAACGGACCCTCCGTGAATGTAAACCTTGACAGGAAGATTCGCCCCAGGTTTCGATGATGAATGGCACGCAATATTGACAAAGAGGCTGAAGAATGAAAGTATCAGATTTAGAGCTGGAAAAAATATCCTGAATCGCTTACGGGTCCTCTGACGGCTCTCCGTAGCCCTTGCGATCAGCTGGTGCTGTCGCTGCACCCTGTCCATCATTCGAAGGCTGAACACAGTCTAAGGGAATTCCGTCTTGTGACAATGATTTACGAGAGTTTGATGATTTGACATACGCTTGGTCTCATAAATGTAGTCCTTGTCTTCATATCGATAATTAGGAGGTAGTGGCTTTGGGTCCTGGAAGCGAACGGGTGGCAACGCGTAAGGAACCTCTAAATACTTGGTTCAGCATACGAGCGCGAAGGGTTTGGTCGACAACCTCACCTAAGAACACTGAAGCGCCGTTCGTAGTTCTGCCACCCTTGATGGGACCGTACTTCGTCTCGACGACGACACTGACACCCTTCTGTAGTTCATCAGGGATGTGTGGGATAGGTGGGATAGCCATGTTTGCTCGAGGTGTAAGTGACAAGACGACTTGAGAGATTCGAGTTGAACTTGGCAGTGGGCCGGGATAAACAATCACAAGTTCTTATAGGATCCACGATATGGACGTGCATGTGCCACAGAGACCTAGGCATCATTGATCACGAGGTAGGAGTTATATATTCAGGCTAGTACATGGATGAGTAAAGCGGGATGTTCGGAACGCCTTTATATAATGTCTTCAATTCAAAATATCATATCCTATTTTGGAAAACCTCCTATTGACCGCTTATCATGAACGGTAAGCGCTTTGTGTATGATTTTCAACGACCAGCTAGCGTTACTACAGACGTGCTTTATGTTTCGCATATCCCTTTGGCATCATAGCACCTGAAGGAGGATCATTCTTCGCCCTGAACCTTTCTGCCATTTCATGGAACGTAACCCACTTCACGTTGTCATGAGTATTGATCCATTCGATGAACCGTTCCTAAACGCAGGAATGCGTGTCACATAGGCACGCTTGTAGGTCATTAGAACTACTTACCAGCATGAGTAATACCTGGGGACGTCTAAATCAAATAAGTTAAGTTAATCATTCTAAATGCGAAAGCAATGTATGAGACGTACCCGCCCACGTCCGGATGAATACTTAGCGGGAAAATGAAATCTTGTTCTTCCCTGTAGAGATATGTGAAGGTATCTTTCCAAAGCTGCTCGACAGCTTGAGGGGCCACCTAAGCGTGGTCAAGTCAGTAAACGGTCTGAGGAATTGTACCATGTTTTGCTTGCCCATCCATGAGAATTACTGCTAGCCTTCATGAACCTATGTTTTGCGTTAATGAAGTACGCTTTTCTTTGAAGCATAAAACGCACATCATTGGTGTCATATCTTCGAGGTACCTTTGATAGAAAAGTTAGCTATGATTGATCACTCCGGCAAGGGACAGTGTTACCAGCTAGCAGGGATCTCAACAAGACCTGTTTCTTTTCCCCTCACAAGAGGCTTCATCCACGTACGTGCCTTCTCCTTGTAGTCGATTTTGGTCCACGTATCTTGATCACGAAGGTAGTGTGCCTGGGAGCTGCGAACACGGCAGTCAGTATCCAAGTGAGGTACACACATCCCAGATCCTTACTCGCGAGACATGTTCGAATGATCTACATGGAAATATAAGAGCGACCCAATATCGTGACACAACTCGCAGGCATACCATACTCGATTCCTTTCTCTAGAAGGAGGGCAACGCCTTCCTTGCTTGTTTGCCACCATGGCGCTACACTGCCCTTTGGAGGCACTCCGTGATTGAAGTCCGTGAGTAATTTGTATGTGTAATCAAGAATGTCACGTTGTTGCTCTGGCGTCAATGCATCCGGATTCTGTGGAAAATTAGCTGAGCCACCTGAGTCAAGTTAGGTTAAGTGTGCGCAGGCACCTCATGCGAATAACCGTGCAGTCCGCTAGATAGCTATCAGTCAATGGTCACCATGACACAGGCACAAGACTAACATTTCATGACCTGCGTCCCTGACAGCTGCCATCTCTTTTGGAAACGTTTCTAAGCTATGGCCTGCACATTAATGGTGTGATAAATAAACCCCCAGTAACAAAACTCTAACTCACCTGGGATGAACCAAGTAGCTTTGATGTTGTATTTATTAAGTAACTTCAATACTCGCCAAACTCCAACTTCGCCCGCATACATGCCCTAAAAGATCATCAGGTAAAAATGCCATAGGTTCGGTTGAAAGCAATTCAATCATACGCGAGATATGTCTAGGGGAGAGTCCTCGCCACCGTACGAGCCTAGCCTAAAGTGGTCGCATAGAATACAGTCATTTCGGAGCTCACAAGGAATTAAACTTACCATCCAGCCACAGCATCCACATCAACACCAAATCCTATGAGGATCTCGCGGGGCATCTTATTAGGTTAGTACTTCTGGTGAAAAAGAGACTAGAACAGGGCTCTTTATATAGCCTGTCTTTAGAAAGACAAGGGCTGCAGAAGAGATCTTGTATTATGATTGCAGCTCGCTTTGGCCACGATCCATGATGTAATATCTCTTGGGGCCTTCTACACGTGTAGATTATCAAACCGAGTTTATGGAATACTGACTCGCGTCATTCAATATTCATCCGCGTGAAGAAGTCTTCTACAACACGATGTACAGCATTTCACAGACGTTGTGCGAAGCCTTTAGGCATTACGGCACCTGGTGCTGGTTCTTTACTGGCTCTAAAATCTTGAGCCATCCCATGTAAGGTTACCCAGTGTACGTTATCGTGGGTATTGACCCATTCAATGAAACGCTCCTATGTATCGCCAGTTATTTAGAGAGCAAGGAGCATGTTGGATGAAACACACCAGCATGAGAAGCACGTGTGGACGACTGTACCAAAATAAAACACTCAGAGACGCTCAAGTATCGAAGAAGGGAGAAAGAGAGACTCACCCGCTGACATCTGGGTGAATCGTGAGAGGGAATACGAAATCTTCCTCTTCTCTAAGTGATGTAATTAGATAGTGTATTGCAACACAATTAGTATTGTTACCTATACAGATAAGTGAAAGTGTCTTTCCAAAGCTGCTCGACATCTCGAGTGTTAACCTGTCGGATACATAAACGAAACACCCCAGAAGTGCTTCAAACGTGATAACACACCCAACCATGCGAGTTTGAGCTCGACTTAATGAACCTAGATTGATGTCAGTAGGTTGAACTTGCACAGAGGTAGCGGGAGCTGACATCATCGGGGGAAGATCGTCAAGGTACCTTTTCAATTGTGTAAGATGCATGGAAGGCAAGACACCAGTGATACAATTGACGAACCAGTTAGCAGGAATCTCGACGAGTCCTGTTTCCTTGCCCCTTTGTAGCGGCTTCATCCATGTGTGAGCTTGCGCCTGGTAGTCAATCTTCGTCCACGTATCTTCATCACGAAGATAATACATCTGCGAACTGAAAGAATGCGAGTATTCCTATGAGCAATCACTGGCAGAACAGGTAGACCGCCTTACTCGTGGGACATGTTGGAGTGATCTGTTAAAACGGTGTCAATGCTTCACTTGAAACGAGTAGTAATGAATTGTGACCATATTCAATGCCCTTTTCTAACAACAGCGTCGTCCCCTCCTTGCTGGTTTCCCACCAAGGGGCGACGCTGCCCTTCGGAGGAACACCATGATTGAAATCCGTAAGAAGCTTGTAGGTGTAGTCCAAAATGTCGCGCTGTTGTTCCAGGGTCATAGAGACAGGGTTCTTTAGAAATATTCAGTTCGATGCCCAGGATTGATACCATCACCATTTACCTCATGGGAATATCCATGAAGACCTCTGCACATGACATAAGAAAGATAAGGATCTCCACAGCCAAGGAAGCTTACATTTCATGACCGGCATCTCGAACTGCTTCCATTTGCATTGGAAATGTCTCCAAGCTATGTCCTTCATATGCGCCCATCAATTCCACGTGTCTTGAGAGCATTGAACTTAGGACTGACCGGGGATGAACCAGGTTGTCTTAATCTTATACTTATCAAACAGCTTCAGAAGGCGAGGTACTCCAACTTCTCCCGCATACATTCCCTGCCTGACTTGAGCTCCCGATGATCATATAAAGATTGTACCGTGACCATACTCGTGAAATATCTAACGGAGAATCCTCTCCTCCATAGGACCCAAGCCTGCATAATAGTCCTCGGCGCTGATTCTTTTCATGATCAAATGGAAGACAACATACCAACCAGCCACAGCATCAACATCTACGCCAAATCCAATGAGAACTTTTCTGGGCATTGCTGAGCCGCAAGAAGATTCAGACAGTGTTGATGGAGAATCTTTGAGTCCTAGTCACGGTGAGAATGATATCACAACGATATATATATGAGGGGACGTACGATACAGTCCCATGACCCTTTTCAAGGACCGGTAACGGGAGATGCAGCCAATGCTCACTCACAAACGATCTAATATAAGCCTAGTAGATAGCGACGCGGTCCGTGATGAATTTATTCTAGATGACTGTTAGCTGAACTCGAGAATTCGCATCATGCTGCTGCAATCGTGCAAATTTCGACTAAAGCTATAAGTAAGTTCGCGAACTCTGAGGGGATTGAGGCATGGACACTGGACACCACTAAGTTGATCCTCTGGTTGAACTTGGCAAGAGAGGATCCATTACATAAGCACTTCATTTCTTGTTGTGCCTTCTCATTCCCCCGCATGGCCCAAGATGACAACACGTCACTGTCAAGAGATAAGGGAAGCGTCGCATGTCTTTCCGCAAGGAGGCTCTTTCCCAGATGGCCAGACACGACCTTAGTAACCTGCATCAAGCGCCCATGCCCTTATCTCCAACTTGACCGATATAAGTATATGGCGTAAAAGAAGCGTAAGTTGAAGAACCCCGTGTCGTATTCGAAAATGTCGATCAGCTCGGAGAAGCAGGCGCAAGTCAGCGTCAACACTACCAGCGTCAAGGGCTACTCCACTCCACCACGCAATGCAGACGATACACTACTCGCTGAACTTGGCTACAAAGCCGAATTCAAGCGCGAGTTCTCGGTCAGTGACACTCCTTAACAAGTTGCCGCCCGTATGGAAGCAAAATAATTCCGTCCAGATGATCGAGACAATTGCTTTTGCCTTTTCAATCATGGGTGTGGTGGCCTCGGTATCATCGACATTCTCATTTCCATTGGTCTCAGGTGTGTGCCTAGTACTCTTCAATATCAGCCGCATGTGAAACCGAGGTCCGTATATAGGTGGTCACGTTGGAATGGTCTGGGGATGGCTGATTCCCTGTTTCTTTGTGATGGCGGTGGCATCTTCAATGGCAGAGCTGGTATCATCAATGCCGTAAATATTTTTATCACCTTCTGGAATACTGTGACTACATGCGCGTTTTGGCCTAGGACTTCTGCTGGCCTTTATTACTTTTCCGCTAAACTCGCACCTCCGAAATACTCTGCATTAGCGAGCTGGATCACAGGTTGGGAAAATATTTTGTCAAATAGAAACTTATCTCATCATGGGCTTTTCAGGATGGGCCAACATCACGGGCCAAGTCACTCTCGTGTGTTCCATCGACTTTACATGGTTCGTTAAGCAGTACTATACTTCCTGTGACTTACTTTGTATAGTGCACAGATGATCACTACCGCGATTGCGGTGAGCTCTGATGGAGCAACGATAGTGAGCTCTGGTGCCACATACGGCATCTTACTTGCCATTCTATTTGCACATGGCCTAGTGTGCTCTGCTGCCACGAACGTATTGGCCCGCTTAAATCTGTTTTACGTGATTGTCAACGGCAAGTATTGGTTTACACGGGGTAGATGAACGTCTAGATCACATTTTCTTCCAACAGTTGGTACCACTATAGCCGCCATCATTGCATTACTTGTCTGTTCTGGTGATAACAAAGTATCTACACAAGATGCCTTCACTATGTTCGAGAACAACACAGGATGGAGCAACAGTGAGCACTGGCCCGTGATCCGATAGCACTGACCGACCGCGTGTACAGATGGATGGGCTTTCCTTCTTGCTTTCACGGCTCCAATGTGGACGCTCACGGGCTGTGCGTGTGTAGATGTCATCTGCGGATGTACTATTGACTTCATAGAACGCTAGATGACTCTGCTGCGCACATCGCTGAAGAGGTAGCCGGTGCTCAGCGTACAGCGCCCATTGCAATCCTCGTGGGTGTGTTCGGGACGCAAGTACTGGGCTGGCTTCTCTTCATCGCATGCTCCTTTGCAACGGCTTCAGTGACCGACTTGTTGTCTGGCGCCTTACCACTTCCCATGGGCCAGCTCTTTTTGGATGTACTTGGAAAAAGAGGGATGCTGGCAATATGGAGTCTTATCATTGTTGTCCAGGTACGCTGAAGATTATCATTATTTGTTTTCGCATGAATAATAGGTTGATCAGTTCGTGACGGGAGCTGCACAAGGAGTCGATGCATCTCGTGTCGTGTTTGCTTTTGCGAGAGATAACGCTCTTCCCGGTTCTCGTTGGTGGAAGCGGATCAATCGGCGCACGCAAACTCCTGTAAATGCTGTCTGGTTGGTAATGGCTGGTGCCGCCGTTTGTGGCTTGTTAGGTTTCTCCGCTGCCGCACTTTCATCTCTTGCAGGGTACGTTGGATTTCACTTCGTCAAGTCCATATCCTTAGGAGTCATCCACGTCCCAGGGCCTCCGTCATCGGCTTGTACGTGTCTTATGCAACGCCTATCTTCCTTCGTATCACATCGGGCCGTGATAAGCTGGTCCCTGGCACATTCAGCCTGGGAAGGTGGTATATACCTATTGGGATCATAGCGGTTGCATGGGTATCATTCATTGTTGTTTTATTACTGTTTCCCCCAACACAAACAACCACCCCGGCGGGGATGAGTACGTATATCGAATGATTCCGATAGCCTTGGTTCGGTTGCTGACAAGATGGTACAGACTACGCTGTCGTGATTATCATGGGCGTTTTCGTCTTTGCGTCTATCTCTTGGATTGTTTCAGCGCACAAGTGGTTCCATGGCCCGATCAAGAATATTGACGATCCCAGATCGTCTTTAGAGGGGAAAGAGCTTTGAAGGGTGATATTTGGTCCGTTGTCAAAGCACATTTGTAGATGCTAGTGGCGTAGATGCAATCAAATATGGTGCTCTAAATATGGTGCGTTGCACCTGTGGAAGACTACTAAGTTGAAACAGAGAAGCAATGCAGTACTTCCTGCGCTTGTCTATATGTTGTCACAAATCAAGAATATAGGGTTACCAGCGTCCGATGAACGGGCCACCGATTCGGATGCGTTATCCGATGTACACACTGATTCAGAACTGTTAGCCTTCTGCTCGAGACCGAGGTATTACGCGTCCACGCGGCATGTGTACAATGCAATTTTTGTGTTACCTCCATTTTCTTCTTGACGTGTCTCCTGGCAGGGCCCAGGCCCCTAAGTACACAAAAAAGTGATAGTAACGTTTTTAAGCCCGCGCGGTCAGTATGTAATGCAACACGTATCGACCAACTCTTCTTCGCATCCATCATGACACATGAAGCATAGCCTATCAAAGTATGGCGAAATAATGATGACTAGGGGTGCCCTGTCATAGAGCGTCATCCTGCGCCGGTTCAAGATTCTATTATAGATCAAGTACGTTAGCATACGACGTAAAAGAACATGGGACACGGTAATATACTGAACGTACGCAGGACTCCATGATTCTGGATGCTTGTATAATTAATGTAGCGGAGGAACAACTGTTTTCCTTCTGTGATGTACAAGAGCCTGCCTGTGGGAGACTAACTACTAGTAGTAAATGTTGGATTTCCACACCGCGCTGAATCCTAACCTTCCTGTTCGGGGTAGCGAGCCGTTGATCCTTCGAAAACCATGTACAATAGAGACAATCGCTCAATGGCGAGCAGCATGTGCTAGATATTTTACACGATTGCAATTGGATATCTAAAACAACGATGTCGTACACTGCGAACGCAAATAGTGACTACTCTGCGGCCAACGGCATTTGATACAGAACTAAACTAATAATGCATAGATGGAGATTTCCAATAGTAAAGGAGGAAATGAATACCAAGAAATTTGTTTTGCTGCCGAGAGGAAAACAGCTAACGTGATCTGAGGTAAAATGAATCTTCTCGCTTAATTCGCGACTTTACCCAAGGGGGTTTTGGCCATGACACTAATAACCTCGAAAAGTACCTGCGAAGCTAGGGTTGAAAACGGTTCGGAAGTTTTGATATTCATGACGTACATCGGCTGCGGCCATGGTCGTAAGCTCTGCATTGGTATCATATGCAGGAGCAACTTCAACAATATCGGCCGAAACAATGTGGAGACCATCCAGGCCTCTGATGATGGTGCGTAACTCGCGTGTAGACCAGCCTTGGGGTAATTGAGTTTATCATCTAAAAATGATATACGAACTTACCACCGGTTTCTGGGGTGCCCGTCGCAGGAGCGAATGCGGGATCGATGGAATCAATCTATAATAAGTTAATTGAACGCTCCACAGGAATATGAAATCCCAACATACGTCAATGGACAGATAAACGGGTCGATCGCCGACAGTCTCCCGAATCCTTTTGATAATCCCGTCAGTGCCTACGAGATGTTCAGTTAATGGATAACGATAAATCCTCGGCCTTGTTCACCTATGGTGTCGATCTCACGGGCTTCGATTCGTCGGAAGCCAGAGGCGTCGTCATTCGCATAATCGGCTGGTCCTGATAGCGTGGTCCTAATAGCGCCATGCTAGATGAAGTTCAATGATAAAATAGGATCAAAGCATTCGGTGATAGATGTTGGAAGGCAAGGAAATAAGATACTTGCAATAGAGCTTCCGTTCCTAATCAGACCCTCCTGACTAGCCCAGTAAAAGTATGTGCCGTGGTTAATAGCGGCCTGGTCGGAAGGGGCGCCTCCAAACACAGAAGGTTTCCAGGTATCTAAATGGGAGTCGAAGTGGATGACAGAAATTGGGCCATATGCAGAGTGGATAGACCTGGGTACGTAACATTGAGTAACAGTTGCAAATCACCCGCTAGAAGCAAAACGAACCTAAGCAAAGGCAGAACAATCGTGTGGTCACCACCAAGTGTGACTACCCGTGGATGATTCTTTCCGTCGACCGAAATTGGAACGAGGGGCTTGCCGGTGAGAGCATCGTTGCCAAGTGGAGAAAAAGCAGGTCGGTGAAGGAGCTCTTTGTGCCCGCCTTCGATTTGCTGGATGGCAAACTTGTTGTCATAGGGAGTGACTGGGATGTCACCGCAATCTACAATTTTGAGTCCAGAATGGAATGGGTTGACCTCGAGGGGAACATTGTATCCTCCATACAATGTCAACCGGCGGGATCCGGCACGAATACCAGCAGGCCCGAACCGGGCACCAGGGCGGTAGGATGTCCCGGTATCCTATGCAGAACACTAGAATAAACCTTTTGAATAAATGAATATGCAATGACGTACAAAAGGTGCGCCGATAAATGCGATATCAAAGGTAGTATCTCGGTCCTTGCCAAGACATTGCACCCATGGTAGCTTCGCAAATGTGGTAATTCCAGAAAAAATAGAGTCCGCGGTCACTACATCGCGGGTGCCGGTGAGCGCAGTCAATAGGAGGAGGGTTTACTGTATACCTTCATTGTCGCCTGGATACACGGCCTGGTAGGGGTATTTGACATAGTTCAGAGGAATTTGGTCTTCGTGGTGATGGTCATGGGCGAAGCCTACGGCAGCGAACACCAAAGCGAACAGAGCAACAGCTTGTGATTTCATCTCGGGGGAAAATTCTAGAGGGTAGAATCTGATGAGTTTCAATGAGCGTTAGGCTACTTAAAAAGCTTTTCTGACGGGAAAATTTTCGTATCTCATGACCGCTACCACGCCACGAGTATCACAAAAGATGGTGATTCTGTCTTGATAACATCACAGGTGCAGGACGCTTTCCGCCATGAGGCTGAAAACGCAAGGCCCCATCTGTCAGATGAAGCTTATCAGGGATAGTGAAATGGAAATGAGTCGGAAAAATCGGCTCACAAAAATACTCCACACGAGGTAGGATCAAACACGATGCAAGCCTCATTTTGAGAAGGATACATGCTGTTCCAGAGGGTTTCGGAAGGGCATCGGCATGGGACAATCCGAGGTTCCGTTATATAGTCCGTTGCATCGGAATCAGCTATAAAGACTGTGGAATTGGTAACGGCCATTCACTAAGTCTCGCATCATGTCACGTACTAGATCCATGCATGAAACAGCACCCCTCCTCCACAACGCTCAACGCGCACAGCAACCGAATGAGCATTCCATTCAGAATTTTCCCGAAGTGGCAGGAGAGAACCAAACAATCGGACCTCGCCTTCTGGCCTCCCTTGTCATCGATTCAATTCCTGGTAGGCTGGATTTCGTCAGCCTCAGGAAGCATTAACTAACAACCGATGTCAATCAGTCATATTGTCGTACATCTTACAGAATTCTATTCAGACAGTGTCGATCGTGATCACAGGCCGTCTGGGCCCAGAAGAACTTTCTGCGGCGGCATTTTCGATGATGCTGGCCTATGTTACTGGCGAGTAGCCCCCCGTTAATTCTCTTTTGCGAGGATGATCCCACGTCCTGTAGGCTGGTGCATTGCACTGGGAGGGGGATCAGCCCTTGATACCTTAGGCTCTCAGGCATTTACAGGAGGAAGTCGTTCCACCGATCTGGCTGTGCATTTCCAGCGTTGTGTAGTGTTACTCTGGATTCTTCTGATTCCCGTCGGCGTGCTCTGGGCATTCATGGAACCTGCCTTGTTGGCCATCAAAGAGCCCCCTCGCCTTTGCAAGGATGTGCAAGCTATTCTGAGGATCTTGATTTTCGGCGCGCCTGGGTACATTGCTTTCGAATCCCTCAAGAAATACCTGCAATGCCAAGGTCAGTTGTATGCCGAGCATTCGTCCGTTGACTTACAAAATATGCAGGAATTATGAAGGCCGCTACTTGGGTACTGATCATAGTATCGCCAATCAATATCGCCCTTAACATTTTCCTTATTCATTATACTTCCTTGGGCATGCTCGGCTGCCCTGTCGCGCTTTCCATAACATACTGGTGTGCATTCTTCCTCTTGATTGCAATGACATCGATGTCTTCCGCGCACAAACAAAACGCTACGTGGGGCGGCTTTCAACCCAAAGCTGTCTTCAACATCGAGAGCTGCGTCGAGTTCCTCAAATTGGCACTCCCGGGTATCTTAATGGTAGGCACAGAATGGTGAGCCGCAACTGTCCCCGACTCAGGTATCCCACTTACTGTGAATAGGGCTGCATTCGAAATAGTAGCCCTTGCAGCAGGCCGGCTCGGAAAGCTTCCGCTGGCAGCACAGTCTGTTATCATGACCACCGATCAAAGTATGAATTTCACTCATACACCTCATAATGTATTAACCGCATCCATAGTCATAAGCACGCTGCCTTTTGGGTTCGGTTAGTGTCCAACGCAACGGACGATTCGTGCGGCTAACATCTCACCAGGGGTCGTCGCCTCAAATCGCATTGGAAACTTGATCGGGGCACGAACGGCCATCGGCGCCAGGAACGCAGCCCATGCTATTGCCCTTATTAGCGTCATCATTGGTTTCGTAGTGATGATGATCATGTTAGCAGTCCGAAACGTACGTCAACGATTGTCTCGTAATGTGCTTTTTACCAAATGGCAAATAGAAATTTGGCTATATCTTCAGCGACGATGAGGATGTCGTCCAGCTTGTCAGTAGAGTAATGCCTCTAGTCGCTTCATTTCAAGTGAGTACATCTCTATGCGCGATATCTGCAAACTGAGAAGGTACCATGAGATCGCCGACGCTCTGGCAAACTCCTGCGGTGGTGTCCTTCGCGGTCAAGGTGGGCAAGCATTTGATGTGAAATGGGAAGCTCACCCATCAGTGCTTTCAGGCAAACAACACCTTGGTGCCGTGTTCAACCTTGTTGCATACTACATTCTTGCATTGCCGATCGGAATCACCCTCGCATTCAAGACTGGTCTTGGCCTGCAGGGACTCTGGATCGGTGCGCATCCCGTGCCTTTTGCGAAATCACTACTCATCCTCATTCAGGTCAAGTCATCGGCCTCTTCACAGTAGGCCTATCTGAATATGGTGTGGTATGGCTCGGAACAAACTGGGACCGAGAGATACAAAAAGGAATCAAGAGGAACGCCGAAGAAGCAAAGCGAAGGGTGTTGGCTGAACGGATACGCCAGGAAGACGGTCTAACGAATTAACCTGAGAGACTTCACAGGAGGTGAAAGATTGATAAAGAACGCGTGTTGAGATACAAACTTGGAATTCAGATTTCAATGGAAGTGACGAGCGCTCATCCTATATCTGCAGGAAATGGGAGTTATGCAGAATATAGAATATGAATCATAATCAAATATTTTTTCTGTCCGTTAGCACGCGCATGGCTTTCCTCCCATCAAGAAACTGGCCAGAATATGAGGATGTCGACCTCTGGCGAACACCGTGTGAGATTGATGATATGTCCGCGGGTGCCTCCAAACACGTTGGAGTAGAAGATGCTAATCACTTTACGTTGATCCAAGGAAATTACAGTTCATCCCTGACAGATTGTTCTGGTGACGTTTGGAGGATGTCTGCTGACCCATCCAATATGGACCTAAAAAACTTGGTCAATGGCTCATACTTGGTCATCCCTAAGTAGTCATGTTTGTCAAGTAATCAAAGCCGTGTACGTAAAACACGCACCTTCATACAAAATTGGCACGCTGGATCCTGGTGGATACACGATGACCTTTGACGTCTTGCCCTCCACAGTCGCTGGGAACCCTAACGATACCGCAAATGCGCCATTTGGGTCTGTATGATGCCCAAACGCCATATTCTTCCGGTAGTTATTCGCAAGGACCTGCCAGAGCAGAGGAAACTTCTTGTCCTTGTTCAAGAGGATGATACGTGGGAGGTCGCTCGTCTGTGAGGGATGCACGGGTCATGAGGCCAAGAGGCAGGATATTTGAGAGCCGAACCTTGTCCAACCACGCTGGGATGTCGTGGATATGCGGGAGAGCTTTTACGTTGTTGGGTACGGAGCGCGAGGCCCAGCGGATGAACTTGCCAGAAGTACGTTCGTTAGAGTCGTATGGCTCAGGCTCGGTCTGGCCACCACGAGGAAAGACTTTGAGAGTTGGGAACCCTTGAACACCCTGAACGAGTGTCTGAAACGACTGCACTAAGGGGTAATTGCGATGCGCACCTGTTCCGCGCACAACCGCTTGTTCAACTCGGCATCGCAGTCTACTGCATAAAACGGAATGAGTGGACTCAAATTCTGAGCAGCCTTGCTATACTCGGGAGCCATCCGTTGGCAGTGCTGGTGTGCTTGTTAGTCAGTTGAAACGAAACCATGGTTCTGGAACTCACCCCGCACCATGGGGCAACAAACGCAACTACACTCGTCCTCTAAAGTGGTTTGAATGAGAATATTCAGTTTTAATTAAGGGCAGAATTAAAAGCCACGTACATTACTCTTCATAGCTTTACGAAAACCTTTTGGGTCTAGCATCTTGACCTTGGTGTCAGGAGGAAATATGGCTGCAGACACAATTGTGGGCAATAACACCAGGAGCGTGGCTAGAGAAAATAGAAGCATTGCAACAAAGGCCGACAGAGACTAGTAAGTAGACAAGCTTAAGCCAGCCAGAAGGTGTATTGAGTCGAAGTGGATCCAGTGTGGAATTACTGATAAATAAATATGCCATAACCGCGCTCAGAAACGTATACAAGACGTGCTGACGTGGCGCTCGGAATTTTGCATGACCCATACGTATAAACTCTTGAATCACGTCAGACTGGCACGACTACATAGTCGGGCTGCTTGGAATCTCAAAACTGTTACTGTATGCAATAACACGTATGTATGTCTGTATTCAGTGAGTGAACAAAGGTAGCGCGTCCCATCAGACCTAGGCAGGTCCGGGCGCAGTAGCAGGTGTCCTGGCGCGGTGGCAGGAGTCCTGGCTCGTAGCCTCGCGCGTTGTCGTAGCTGTCCTCGATAGATAGAGTACTAGCCTCCCGCTATAGAGGTCTGGCCTTGGTTCCCTTGCAGTCCTTCCCCTTACGGCGGCTGTTCAAGTTCTCCTGGTGGCAAAAATGACTTAGATGTCATACATCTTACCCATATCCTCAATCGCTTTCCAGGAGCGCATGCATACATCGACTATCAGTAGTAGTATAAGATGCACGGTGAAACTTCACCGTGCATTTCATACTACTACTGATATATGAAGTGTCCGATGTCCTATCAAGAGCAGGCGAATTTATTCCTACTTTCGTGATGGTATTGATTTAGTTTATTTGGTTCTCCGAAGTAGATTTCAAGGAGACATACTGCCGGACCTCTTAGATCTAGCTTAGAGTGTTATTGACATTCTTGTCTTGACATCCATCATAATATTCAACGTTCAACTCTGGCCAATTGTCGAAGGGTTAAGTGTTCCCCCATGGTATTGAACATTTACTGTCCCTCGTAGCGGCTGGGCTGCCGATCATCACTTGAAGGTGTGTTAGCACTAGTATAACAGATCGGTACCTAGTACTTTTGCCTAACTTCGTTACCCCGGATGTTATTATTGTTCGCGGCGGCCATCTCTGCTTGGCTTGATTTCCCGCACAAGCCTCCATTTCTAACCAGATGCTAGTTTGTACGCACTGGGCACATCCCCATCAACATTACTTCGAGCATCAACCCTTCATGGACCCGCACTCTTCCCACCCAGTGGGTGCGGTGATGATTTTTCCGTACGCCGAGGGACGTGGAGATCGCCCCATATGGTCGTTGTCAGCTTTTTTGACGGGGACGATGATGGTACGTCTGATGCCGATGATCATGACATGACCCTCGCCCTAGCCGTATGTGCGCTCTCGTCACTCAGGGATACTACCGAGCTGGATATTGAATATGACAAGATCTAGAGTGAGATAGAACTTGGGACAATAAGCCTCCACTGGGCGGTGCGGTTACTGCGTCAGAATGGGCCACGAGCTCAGCATGATATTCTCGAACGCCAAGGATCAGGCGTGGTCCCAGCACGGAAATCTGCACGACTATCAGAAGAGGAACCAAGCCAGAATAAATCTGAATTTCTAGGTAAGATAGATTCTATAGAAATGATGAATCGTAGTTGTATGCAGAGGTAGGTGAAAGATCGTCATACCATTGAGGCAAACTAGCAATGAACTGGAAGCAAAAAGCAGTAACAAAGCTACCATGTCCGATCCTTCAGTGGAAACAAGGAACGTTAATATCTTACCTCGCAGAGTAAGCCACGTGACTTTTCATCGACACCTTAAAACAGTCCCCGATCATCCCTAGGACCTGCTGAATGTCGTCGCAGTTCACGGAAGTGTTTTACCGCTACCCAGACTGCGAGACACAGTGTGAAGACCTCCCACACGGTGCAGAGTATCCAAGTAAGAGAAATCAGAAGTACGATATCTTTCGCAGAGTAAATCGAGCACAGATAAGCGCCAAAGGGAATGAGTTCCTCTGGTATTCATCAATGAGCCCCATGCACGTTTGTTTTCATCTATAATTAAGCGTACCCCCTGAACTATGCATCGTTGTCATTGCGGTCACCATGATATCGAAGATGTTGTTAGCCAGGAAGGTGACAATGAGGAGTATCAGGATCTTTCTGGATCGTTGATGTATGGATAATGGCATGTAACCGAGTGATGGTGATGACTTGCAACATATTTCGGTCAAGTCAATATCACTGAGGTCTCACAAGTGCCAAGCTCACCCACATCATTGCAACTGCTAGAACAATCGTCCAATTCTCTGCGACGTATATAATAAAGCCTGACGAATCCAGTCAGCGACCAACCTCGGATAACACACACCAAACAGACTCAGCATCTGTGATGATAGGCCACCAAGCGGGATCATTAATTGAGACCGTTACGGTCGTATTGGTGGAGGATGAAGCGAACTCGATACACGCATAACAATAACATTCGTGTTATATATGTGCATACCGCTATCCAAGTTGATGCTTCAAGTTGAAAATAGAAATGAGAGAGTCAAGGGGTGATATCAGTGCACTCCACGTACTACTAAATGTTTCAGGTGCAACTAGAGAGGTTGGGCTGTGCTTAGACTGTCAACTCTTCGCAAGCAGACGAGTTTGAGATTCGGAGGTACAACAACAACTTGACAACCCGAGGAAACGCTACTAGTATACCCGCGGGTCCGAAGATCAACACCATAACGTACTACCGCGGTGTTGCATTTGGGTACCCGCGGGTACACAAACAAGAACAGTACATAGGTCTAATAACCTCACCCAACACTCTCGTCCTCAAGGTCCATGCAGACGTGAGCAATAAGTTCACGTACTGAGATCAGTTTCGTCATCCTGTTCGGCGGCAGGAAGTGAATCATTTTCATCAACATTAATATTGACATATGACCACGCGGGTAAATTAGCTAATTAATGGTACCGGAGTAACGCGATTGGGTGTCTCTAATGTTGAGCAACTTGCGACTGAGTCTTATGTAGTCTATTTTGTTCTATCTTCATTACATGTGTCATCGATGCTTGTCGGACATGTACGACGAGACGACAAAGAGGGTGAACGAAGGTTGTAGCTCCAGATAAGGTCTATAATACTACAAGGCGTAGATCTCTATGTCAGACACGCCGTTCTGAGGCCTCGAAGCTTTTCTGCATCTCATTCGCCGTCTATCATTCCCTCGCTCAAGCACCGATAGCCTTCCTTCTCGACATAGGTTTCGTCCGCTTGCGTTTCTTCCCCTGATTGAACGCATTCGCGATTTTCAAGTCGCGTCCGAGCACATCATCCTTCTTCACTTCATAAATGCGGACCTAAAGGACCGTCAGCTAAATACCGCATTCCAATCACATCAAGACGTACGATCCAGTTTTCCGTTGTATATGCCTCCTCGAGGTAGTCCAAAGTTGGGCCCTGTACAGGCACATGCTGTCCTCGCACACGATCCACAGGCTGCTGACCACCAAACAGCTCCGCAAAGCGATAGTAGCTCATTTTGTACATCAGACTGTCGCGCATCGCCGGGGATGCCTCGCTGTCTACGCGGTACTCTCCGCGATTGAAGTAATTTGGCTCTTGGATCTCATCGGGCCAGACACCCTGCGCGATACGTACCATCCAGAGGAACTTGTTAATATCGTCGCCGCTGTACCCGATCAGCCCACCGAAGATGATGAGCACGTAGCTGACATCGTGTTTGCGCAGGATGGGGTAGGCAATATCCTCGGGCGACGACATGGCTTTGCCCACTGTCGCAATGTGTGCTATTGTACAAGTTAGCGTCAATTAAGGCTGTTACATCATGGGAGAAACTCACTATTGTTCCAGGTGTTGTTATCCACCAACGTCGGACGATCCGCCATTCCTGCGATCTGGTAGCCATAGTCCCACCAACTCATGACAACTGCATCCTCTGCCGTGTTCTGCCTCAGCCAGTGGTACGCCTCCCTGAAATCATCAATGAGGTTCTTGCCTCCATCGGAGCTTGTCGAACTCAGCACGACGGATGGTGAGGAGTATGCGTTCGAAGTCACCCATGTGCAATGCACGACGAAGAAGAGAAGCAATCCGAGCGAGTTCAAAAGAACGACCAGGCGCGTGTCCATACCGAAGACGCCCCTTTCGGCAGTAGTGGCGGATTTGGCAGCTACAGCAGAGGAAGTAACGTTGGAGACAAGTTCACTTAAGACACTGCCCGCGGATGCAGAAGCTTCTTTTTCTTTCTCCTTCTCCTTGTTCTTTTTCGTCTTCTTGCTGGTAGCGGGTGTAGCGGGTCTCGAGGCAGATGTTCCAGTGGAAGGAGTATTCGAGGACTCACTCTTGTCGTCTTCAACACTGGGTTCGGTAGGGTCCAGATACGTATCCATGAGAGACGAGAGTGCTACAGCGGCAGACACACAGACAACCGGGGTGAGGGTAAGCATCAGACGCACCATCACGCCTGCAAAGTAGCTGGCAACGACTGCGTAGATGATCACGAAGATGTGCTCGTCCCTCAGTGTACGGAAACACATCACGACGCCCGCAGGGAAAAGGAAAATCAGGAAATGCAAGTCCATGAAGAACGAAGGCCATGCGGTAGGCTGGTGCTCAGATACTGAAGCAATGATAGGGATGTACCTGTGTGTCTAGTCAGTGATGGAAGGTTGTGCATAGGTATCTTCTCATACTTCTTAGCATAGCCGGTGTCCCACAGGGAGTAGAATCGCCCAGTCCAGGGGGCAATCCAGCCCTTATAAGTAAGGCCAACGATTCCAAAGAAGCCGATCAGGCCAAGAGAGATGACCGCAGCAAGGAGTAACTCCTGGAACTGCTTTGAAGACACGTGTGCGCGAACAAGTTGCCCGAAAGCAACGATCTGCAATAGGCCGAACACACCTGCAAAGGTGTTCTCAAAATAATGCGAGGAACGGGAATGATGAACGTACCAAGCGCAGCCATGTGTTCGCTAGTGCGAACAGGCTGGAAGCCAACGAAGGGGACCTGCATGCTGGACAAGGTGCCGATCGCATACCAGGACGAATACGCAACATAAAGTCGGCCCGTAAAACGACCCATCAACAATAGGACGAGCGCATGTAGAGGAATCATATTTGTGATGAATGCATACCCGCCTGTGGATTGTTGTCAGAATCAACTTGAAAGTAGATGAATGACATCATACCCCATGCAGCCACCATGTAGAAGTAAAATACAGCAGTAATAGTGCCCCAAAATGCGCTTCCCTGCTTGAGCGCCTTGATCCATGCGAAAAAGGTAAACATAAGCAAGAATATAGCAATAGCCTCATTGTCATACGAGCCGGCGACGGAACGCGAGATGTAACCCGGTACTATGCCAATGAACGCAGCTGCAAGAAGACCAGCACTTTCATCTTTCATTTCTTTCGTAAACCTGGTAAGTGATAATAAATTGACTGTCACAATGGAGTGTAGAACGCGCGCACATGTACGTGGCCCAAGCAGTTAAGGCGCTAAATCCTGGAGCTAGGAGGACACAAACGTTGCGAATATCGACCGGGAGATTGAGTGCATGGAGTAGGTTGTATATTACACCGCTAGTTGCCATAAGACCGGGATAGATAGTTCCACCGACTACACGTCCGAGGGGGTACCATGCCGTTGGGTCGAACCAATTCCAAAATTCCTGGAAAACGCGACTTGTGAAGTGCTAGTTGAAGAGCCTGAATGTTCTGCTTACGTAGAAACCTTGCGAGGCGAGAACCTTTGTTGCTCGACTGTAAAGGAGGCGCTGAGCACGCGAATAAATACACAAAATTTACGTACTAGTTAAACCATGGATCGCTGTTAAGAGTTCATTGTGTGAGTCGACACATGTTCAAATACGGTTTCACGCACAATTCATGGATAATACTCTCGAAATTGATAACAGCAAACAGACGAGAGGCAATAGCAGCGCCTGATATGAGGGCAAGTGCAATGATACGGAGTAGGGACGCGGTGTTGGCAACGGTGACGGGAGACAAGTCAGAAGGGAGTGGGTAGGCAGCCGGCATGGCCGCTAGTAATTATTGTCGACTGTCGTGGACTGTCTTTTAGCAACGTTGAATGAAGAGACCGAAATATGAGCTGAAACCCTCCAAGCAATATGGAAATGCGAAACCTTGGCGTTAACCGAAAGTCGACGTGTTCGATGAATGTAGACTTTGACCCCTCCGTGGAGGGTCACACGCACCTGGCATAGTGCTATTACTAAATATTAGTACTGCCGTAGTAACTATCTACATACTACTCATCATTGCCAATGACAGCCATTCATATGCTACTAGTATTACTGGTCACCGTGACCTGTGGCTTATATGCTGGTCACATTCAAGCTCGAGGTATCCTCGGTAGAAATCTAACATGGATATAAGGTGACGGACGAGTCGGCGTAGCCGGCTTCTGATACCAGCACTGCTTTTCCAATGACCGCCGCGGTCCAAGGAATTACGAGTCATCGTGGTATCCGCCATGTTGTTTATCTGCAGCAGAGACGCTGATATATGGGCCCTAAATCTATTACCAGTAAAGTGGTGCCTGCAATGACCGGTGCCGCGAACCTAATAGTGCAGAGACAATCACCTCGAGATACGGCATACTCGTTGAGTCAGGCTGGATTATGCCTGCTGGATCAAACGCTGGGGCAACGCGCTGGGCAACGCGCCCGGATCCAGTATTCACATCCGGGTCAAAACATCTTGGCATTTTGCTCTTGCCGGAGTTTAGTAATCCAGTATCACAAAAACTACCCTCCACCTCGATAACGAACCACTGCCCTAATCAGCTTCGGTGCGTCATAAGGCAGTGACGATACCATTAGAACGCGCCATGTAAGTATTGATGGAATTTCTACAACAGTGCTAGTTCAACACGTGTCTCATCAACCTTCCATCTACGGCAGGCGTGCGGAAGCCTCGAGGCGCAGCATGCAGCCCTCATAAGCGGCTCCAGATGCAACGGCATTCTGCACTTTTCTTCCAGCTCTCTTCATCTTGTAGCTCTTCAATAGCAGAGCCACTATATTCACGTCCTGGTGACTGAATACATACCAAGCAATAACCACAGTTGTCTAGCCTTACGGGTATATTCGTACCCTAATCCATTTCAGGTTACTCGCAGATCTATCAAATCATGCTCCCCATTACCGAATTCCAGTTTGCGTTCTGTGGGATCGCGACCTTTGCGGCCACCTTCGGCTACGCATGTGCTCGTAGAGCCTCCTCCCTGGGCGCTCAACCAAGGCACGTCGATGTCGAACCGTGAGTCACGCAACCCAGCCGAGTAGTAGTAATCCATAACGCGGACTCAGCGAGGAGAAGTCTCTCAAGCGTAAGCTCGATGAATCTGATGCCGAATCCGAAGAAGAACAGGAGAGACCCGTCAAAAGGAGCAGAACACCTCCCAACGACCACGAGGAGGAAGTAAGTTTTAATCGAAGACGATGATATTGTCTTCATTTGTTGAGCAACTTCTGCTAGGAGTGGGAAGTTGTCATCCCACCTCCTTCATATCAAGAGGCCCAGAATGCGGCACCCCATCCTGAACCAGCTGTTCAACAAGAAGTGTCCACAGTTGCTCAAGTTGGGGCTGCGCCAGTCGAAGACGTCGCTGCAAGCGCTAATGAGGTAAAGTTAAGATTCAATTTGATCGTGCACCAAAATTAATCTTCTGCAGCCCGCTCCAGAAGCACACACTCCACCGGCTACCATTGTTGACGAAAGTGCTCAGTCAGCCGAACCACAGACCGAGGAGGTTGAGTCACAACATAAGCATCCCGAGAATCAGTCTCAATCATTGAGGACCAATGAGCCCAGTGAGCCTCGCCCCGTTACACCGCCGCCACCGTCGGCTCCCAAACCAATTACTCCTGGTCCGAATGTCACTGCATTCTCATCTTTCGCAAACACCAAATCCCCCTTCACCAAGTATTCCAGCACTCCTTTCCCGTCATCTACGTCGGCGTTCACACCTGCTTGGCGATGCGGCGAATCTCGTACCCGAAACTTTCCTGTTGATAACGCACCTGTGCTGTGTCCGAACGATAATGCGATCTCGCCGTCTCCAAATGAAGTTGCTGAGACGTCTTCGGCCGGTGCTCTAGGTGACCGTACACAGGCATCCACATCATCAAAAGTATCATCACGTGGGTCACCGCCTACAACGACCTGACGCTTCATTAATCTATGGTATCCCTAGTTGTGACTGGTGAAGAAGACGAATCCGTTTCTTCCGAGCTCAAAGGTGTCAAAATCTTCATAAAGCGCGGACGCAAAGAATTCACAAATGGTAACTTTGGACATATCAAAGTCCTGACGCAGGACGAACGAACGCGCTTGCGTAAGTATATCTTCCTTGCAAAATGTTGCTATTGATCACGTGCGGTGTATCAGTATTCAGACGGGACCCCCTGGGCCAGGTGTCGATGAACGTAGCCTTGCGGTCTGCAGTGCGGTGCCATTATGATGCAGGTGAAAGTATTCTCCGAGTCGTGCTGATGGAGCAGGTCGCTGCTGAGGGGAAGGAACCGAAAGATGAGGTTGTGATCTATGCCCTCAAGGTAGGTGACATAACTTTGATCCAAGAACAATTCGGTTAATCGATCGACATGCAGCCGGGGCGTGCACCGAAGGCCGATTTCAAGGTTTTTGCTGAAATGCTCTGCGCAAACGAGTCTCTCAAAGTGGCGTCATAATCCCTCCTTCCCCTTGGAGGTCGATGGCAGATGACATGTGTCATGCCGCAAGACGCTGGACGTCTTCATTAGAACGCAATATGCGTTCGGGCAGTAAGTTGTATGACAGTATGTCGACAACTTCGCCGCATGTGCAAAATTGGTTTGGTTGGTGAAAGACCTCAGCACGTCCAAACCACTAAACAGTTATGGATATCCCGACACTGTATATTGAATACACACTAAAGATTGTACGAATTTTTGCTCGTGTTGCGAAACGCAACACGTATTCTAGGCAAGTTTGTACATCTACTCTATAGAATCATGATTCCAGTGCTAAGTTGTCGGGGACTCGACAAGATCACAACTGCGATATAGTCAGAATAGTGGTAGATCACAAACTTTTGCGCTCTCAGGAAAGGTGCCATGTGAATCCCTTGGAATGTGCCGGTCAATTAGTCCACTTCGATAAATAAAACTTACGTTTCGAGTGCTCAGTTGTAATGCGTTGTGGGAGTGACCCATGAGAGGTAGCGGGTGCCAGTCATTTCAATATTCTGAGCTTCGTAGCCATGTTATGTTCTTGAGAGCTTAACTTAAAGCTGTCCTGAAAGACCACTTCAGAAGTATGGAAACTGAGTTTGTAAAACGCATCTGGAACGCCCATTTCCGCAGCCATACTTTCGAGAATATGTGATCGATTGAGGCCGTGTATAAGGCAGGTTCTTATCTTATTCTACATCAGACCTTTCATATTTTGCTTAGAACGCATACTTGAAGGCGGGCTGCGGGCGGGCGGGGCCGCCGATCATTATTAAACCGGCGAGCCACCGATATTCCCACTCCATCAGCCTTTCTGCCGCCCAAGCCGTACACAGAGGTCACATGATGTGTTAGGTCACGGTTACGACTCTTGGGCTAACTTGAAGGCTGCCGCATCAGCATTTGAATGAGTTTCTTGCTGTTTCTCTTTGGCTTGCCTAGTGAGCGACTCGAAACCTAGTACGCAAGCTTTGAGCAGTGGCTCAGAAGTCTCTCCGGACCCTTCACTTCGCTTTCCTTGTTTGCCACACCATGGCTCGCGGCTTCAAATCCCCTGCTGCTCAAGTACCACTGCCTAAAGTGTCATTTATTATCGTCCAGGATGATGATATCAACCAACCTGCTGGAGTGCACGACCTACAAGCTAGATCTTATGGATGTATGTAGTGTATACGCTTTGTCAAACTATTCGAGCCAACTCCTTTGCAGACAACGACTTCACTGAATTCCTGAGACCGGATCATTACATTCGGTACATCGGTGAGCATGTTTACGTGTAATAAACGATTTATTTGACACAAAATAGAGCCCCTTGAGAAAGACCTTGCCATTCAGGTAGAATATGACATGGACGACCAAGGTGGGCACTCTCTTACCCCTCCTTCGCTTTACCAATCTATTAGAGCAGATCAGGAATGGCTTGACGCAGCGAACGTTGAAAGGAAGAAGGATCAACTGAATGCGGTCACGTACGAGACGTTTGAGATTATCATGGATCGCCTGGAGAAAGAGTACTTTGATTTGGTATGCCCCTCTGTACCATGTATAGACTCTTCTCACTTTGCCACTATGCAGACCAAGAATATACCCAAATCTGATTATGCGATGCCTTCTGAAGATTCGACTTGCGCCATTTGTGACGATTCCGAGGGAGAAAACAGTAATGCTATCGTATTTTGTGACGGCTGTAACCTCGCTGTTCATCAGGGTATTTCCCTCGAACTTTTGAACATATCACTTCACTCATGTACCAACAGACTGCTATGGAGTCCCGTACATACCTGAAGGCCAGTGGTTATGTCGCAAGTGCACCGTCTCCCCTGAGAATCTAGTGGTAAGGAGATTTTGAAAGGGCATGCATATTTCACTAACGGACATTCAGTCATGCATACTTTGCCCCAACGAGGGAGGAGCGTTCAAACAAACAGTATTTGGTGACTGGGCCCATCTTCTGTGTGCTATTTGGATACCCGAGACGCGGGTGGCAAATGAGGTATTCATGGAACCTATCACTGGATCTGACAAAATTCCGAAGCAACGCTGGAAATTAGTAAGTTTTTCTTTCTTTTCGTCTTATGCTTATTTCGTTCATTGACACTCTATCCAGAAATGCTCAATATGTGGCATTCGCCAGGGTGCATGCATCCAATGTACAAAGAACTCATGCTTCCTGGCCTTCCACACAACCTGCGCTCGCAAGGAAAGGTTACTCATGCCAATGAAGAGCTCGCAGGGATCTGAGCCTGGTACGCTGGCATGCTATTGCGAGAAGCATCTTCCTGTATGCAATGTCGTCTCCCTTACATTGGAAACCACTCATCTTACTTTTTTTTCAGAAAGAGCAGCAAGACGCTCGCCTGAAAGCTCTTGCACAAGACGGCCAGATGACTAGCCCCAGTTCCAAGCTGTCCAAATCTGCTCGTGCATATGCCAAAACTTACAAGACCGGCCCACCGCTCGTGCCACACATCATTGTTGAACGCATTCTGAATTATATCACTAAGGTGAATGTGCGCAAGAAAAATGAATTTGTATATATGGTTTGTAAATATTGGAGCTTGAAGCGTGAAGCGAGGCGGGGTGCGCCGCTGTTGAAGAGACTGCATCTCGAACCATGGACAGCGTCAAACTCGGGGAAAGTACAGACCGAAGAAGAAAAGACTATGAAACTAGAGGTTCATTTTCCTTTCTGTTTCTTCTGCAATGGCTAATGTTCGTGCAGTACTTGAAAAATTTGCGCAGAGATCTGGAGTCTGTTCGTGAATTGACGCTACAAACTCGCAGACGGGAGAGCCGGAAGCTTGCACAGACTGAGAGCATCCAGAAAGTGCTCGAGATTGCACTTTTTCCTCACGAGGCACTACTCCGGCTTGCGTTTGAGAAGGTTCTTGCGTACGCGGTGCTCCAAGTCTTTAGATTGAAACGCTGACATTTCATAAGTCTTGACCGTCACAGTCTCTTCAAGCATCCGGTGTCAAGGACGGAGGTCCCCGACTACTATGATGTCGTGAAAACGCCCATGACCTGGGATGCGATCGATGGGAAGCTTGATCGTCACGATTACTGGGACCTAGAGGGTTTCAAGGTGAGCCATGCTTAGGCTAGTTTTACGCTTCCGTTTTTAACATCTCTCAGAGTGACATCGAGTTGGTACTGTCTAATGCAATCCTTTACAACAAGCCTGGCACATCTTTCTACAAGAGCGCACAAAGAATACAAATAAGCAGTCAACCCATCCTTCAGGAACTCAATTCCCTTGCTTACAATCACTCACCCCTTACTCCCCCTGATCCTTCCGACTCCTCCGTTCTCTCCCAGGTGTCAATCGGAGACCTAGAACCTTTGATGGAAACACTCCAGCTACTGACGTCGACTCAAGACATTCAAGATAACACTAATCTTCTTATTCATACCGATCCCATCTCATCACTATTCAGCTTCGAACTTCCACTCGTGAAGCCCCCACCGCCTCCTGCCCCAGCTCCATCTCCTCCGCCGCCTCCGAAGTCCAAGGTATCCAAAAAGAAGCGCACCCCCAAAACTGTTGAACCTGGTCCTCTGGACACCTCCCCAGGCTTCCGTGCCCCACGAACTCGCCGAGCTCATGCGGCAGCCGCAGCTTTCGAGGCTGAGGCTGGCTTTGAACCCGAACCTCAATCCACTGCCGAACCTGAGCTGGGAGTAATCGAGGGTGATCAGAAAGTAGCTTCTGAACCACCAAAGAAACGACGCCGGCAGAGTGCAATGCCCGGGCAAGCAGAAACGCCACCCATGGTCACAGATGTAGACAGTCAGGGATTATTCAAAATGTTTGATGCCGGATGGATTTTACCGTCGGGACAACGGAGGGGCGGACGTCAGCCCGTGGAGAGGGCTCCACTTCCACCAAAGAAAAAGAAGATGGGTAAGTCGATATCTTCTTTGCTGTTTTCTTAAACTGATAGTCATAATGAAGATCGTGGGATGTCGAGGTTGTCTGTATTCAGCACAAACGCATCGGATAATCAGACTCTAGACGAGATTTCTGGGCCCTCTGGCTTGTCTGTAGAAGAGAAAGCGGAGATGGATGTCAAATCTGGAGTGTCCGAGGCGAGTGCTGCTGCCCCTGACATGGATGCGCAGGCAGAGTTAGACCATGGCGTCAATGAAGAGATGGAGGCACCCATGGCTCTTGATATTCCCGAGAAGCACCAGGAGGAAGAACCGGAGAGGCAACTACTACCAGAATCCGAACCTCAACCGGAAATTCAACCGGAGAGGCAACTACCACCCGAACCTCAACCGGAAGTTCAACCGGAGAGGCAACTACCATCCGAACCTCAACCGGAAGTTCAACAGGAGAGGCAACTACTACCCGAACCTCAACCGGAAGTTCGACCGGAGAGGCAACTGCTGCCAGAACCCGAACCTCAACCGGAAGTTCAACCGCAGGTAATAATCCAGCCGAAGGTCACAGAGTTAGAAAAGGACAGGGAGGAGACACGATCAGAGTTAGAAGCACGGATAGCCAAGATCCCCGTACGACCAAACACGAAGATCAATGTCGAAAACGGGAAAATTGTCGTGGAGGAGTTAGACACGCCCAAACTTCGGCGGGAAAAAGCAAGGCAACGGAAAGCAGAAAAGGCGGCTGTGGCGGCAGCTGCAGCTGCCCAAGGCCTTCCGCAAGCCAACGCTGAGATCCCGAAAACCAACGTCGCGACCACTCAAGATGACGTTTCCGATTTATCTTCTCTGAGCGAGCTGGACAGTGATACTGATGAGAAGCCTGTGACACGGGGCGAGGCGACTACATCCAATACGATACCCGACGTAAAGCTCGTCGGAACGCGTCAACTGCAACGCGCGCCAGCCAATCTCGTTACCACAGGGAAAGCGCTTGTTGTCCTTGAACCGGGAAAACAGTTAGAGTGTGGCACTCTTGGTAGGTCGGCCGATATCTTCACAGATTTCTCATCTGATGATGATTCCTTATCAGTTTGGGCTAAAGCAGGTCAGACCTCGATAAATGGAATTCGACAGTCTGCAGACTCTTACTGATATCACTTCATTAGATACGTATCCATGGTGGCCTGCAGTCGTTTGGGAACCAGATGACCCATCGATTCCAGAAGACGTTAGGAAGAAGAAACCTCAAGATAATTCTCGTCACATTGTACAATTTTATGACCCTACAAGCTCATGGTACATACCCGAAAATGAACAGTTGAATTTTGCTGATCATCTGAACAGGACATGGGTCACCACTGGCCATATGTTGTTACTGGGTGAAGATAATAGTAAGTGCTGGTAGCGTTGTGCGTGTGTCACTGCTGATTCTCTCATTAGCGGTCGATGCATCTCTACTTTCGCCAACTTCGGTGGTCCAAAAGTGGAAAACACCCAGGATTAAGAAACAATGCCGGGAAGCTTTCCAGTGAGTCCTCTTCTCATTCGTCATATATTTCACGAGAACACGTTGCTTCCAGGCGCGCCCTGGCAGAGATGGAAACGGATGCAGATTTACTTGCTCATGAAACGGAGGATGTTGCGACTGAGGTCACAAGCGCTGGTTCTATGAAAGAGCAAGGTTCTACTGATGTTCATATGGCTATGCCAGTCGAGCAATCCGCTTCATGAGCGAGGGTACTTTTGCGCAGACGAGTAACAGACTGGTCGTCAGACATGAATATACTACAGAGACTGTACCAAGTCCCAACCCGTGATTCGGGCTCCACATTTTTTCAAAAGACCGCTGGGAAACACGTTGCTTTATGAGATGGCCAAGATTTTTTCTGGTGATCACGGTCGCACTGTTGGTAAAGCATAGTGAGACAGATACAAGAGATAGACGTGTAGGTACTTGCATAAACAGCTGTTTTGCACCTGTGGCGTGGTGAGATCCAGGTGAACTAAAGAACGAGAACATGATCATACCGAGAGCATTGCAAGAGCTTCGAAGTTCCGGACTTTCCACAGCCGTCAAAGCCGCATTCATTAAGAGAGCTTTCACAGTGTTGTTTCAGGCCACCTGCCAGGATCGTTGTCTCCCTTGTTTGGGGGTTGTCACTACCTTTCTGGGCGACAAACGGGCAACTCACGGATCATCCTCCAGCTGCTTGAGGCAACGCGTAATCTGTTGCTTTTGGTATTTCCTATTCCACTCACGCAGTTTTGGGAGAAGCGCTTGTTTGTCTTCCTCGCTGACGGAATTCGTGCCCTGCAGGGCTAAGAGGGTCGAGAGAAACTGGCACATTTCTACGATGTGCACAGGATCTGCTGGAGCTGAAGACGCAGTGGCCATGCGATGCGCTTGAGTCTTGCAAATCGACGTTTTGGCCGTGGTTAATAGAAACCTAGCGAAGTAAGGCCTGAAAACTGTATGTGAATGGGGCGAGACAGGTAGTGGAAGAGGACTTACAGGTAAGCAACGGCATTGAGCATTCTCATGGGTATATTGAATGCCGCATCTTGCGCATCGTAGGCGTCTACGAGGGCAGGGAGATACTTGGCGCAAAATTCACTGACAGAAGCAAGGCTTAGGGTCCAGGGGACAACCTTGGCTGCTTAACGCACGAATTGATCACGCTTTGGGATGGATTTCTTTGGAGCAAACCAAGCTAATGTACAGATGAGAAACGGTGAGAACGATGGTGTTGCCAGTACTAGGATACGAACCTGTGATTCGAGAAACACTGAATTTGCCTGGTGATCGCCAGTCAATCCGCAGTATTCAGCCAGCGAATCTGCCGTGACGTTCAATAGCCCTTGCATACCAGCTTGCGTGCCAGACATCCAGCTCATCGTTATGATACCACTAGTACGAAGAGGTGGATCAGTTCGAACCCAGGAACAACATGTGCAATGAGGGCATAAGCAGGCCGCAATCATTATTTACGTAGTTGATCAGTTCTAGTTAGCGCTGATCATGTGCATGAGTAGTAAATCGGGACCTTGCTGGAGAAATAAGGTTTAGTAATAGCCTGTTTCCAACTTCAGAAGAGCCTACGTATACTATACGGTCTGATCAAATCACCATAGGAATTTAGGAGATGAACGTTTTGCATGCAAGCCGTTTTTTTCCTGCCGTCAGATATTTATCACGTTAGAATTTTGAAAAGACGATGTACATCTAAAAATTGGACTTAGTGAAAATGTCGTCTAAAACTCTTGCGAGAGTTACCGTTTTGGTTAGCACGAAATTTAGTTCGTAAATGCCTGGTTTTGGATATGTTTGAACCCTGAGCCAAGTTTCACACATTTGGATGCGAGATTTGAAGATTATCGATGCGATGTGAGATTATCAGTGCAGTAAATACGTTATCCAGTATTACTAGTAGTACAATCAAAACTATCTGATATGCATCAGGAAAAACCTCTTTTTAAAATTAGGGACAATTCGAGCCAATTCAATCAAAGGTAGAAAAACAAACAACGTTTTCTCAAATGCGTGCGTAAAAGATCAGATATTCAACAATATCAGCCAATGTGCAGACTCCCAAAACGAAATCAGACAAAGCATCGACAGTCTGAGCCAATGAGCACAACGGAAAAAAGGATTCAAATGCATCAGAGTAAATTTTGAGATACAGAATGCCATATCATTATACTAATTTACGAATGCCATGCGCAGCAAGCAGCACTTCCAATAGATGAGCTTTTCTCGCCTCCTCGCACCGTTTGATTTCGGCGTCCCAACGATCTCCTACAAGTCGATAGATATAGTTTTGAGACACCGTCAGAGGGGCCGGAGTCTGACGGTAGGGGGGGACGGGAGTTTCAGGGATTTCGAGCGGGGGAGTTTCCAATATCCCCAACTCCGGAATTGGAATCCTGCGGGTCAGTGGTTTTTTAGACCTTGTACTTATAGTGAGTAACTGCTGACAATCAACGGACTCGGACTTACTTTTTGACGGGCGACTTCTTAATGGGTGAGTTCCCATCAATACTAAACCCAAATGAAAGCGAGTGTGGGCTAAACAGTCATCAGCTTTACATCCGAGAAGCAATCATTACAGCATCCAAACAACTCACCGCTTCCCTGGTTTTAAATTCTCTTTGTCAGATTCCTGCAACAATGTAAGTCAAAGTTTTTGTAGTACAGACATTAGCATCTGCGCACCATAATAATAAGACACAATTTGATAGATAGCAGTGCACGATCAAGACAAGAACGAATCGATGACTCGGCATTGTGAAATTTTCATTCATCAACCGTGAGAATAAACCTGTCAGCCTGTACCATTACAGTGCGTTGTAGAGACTCGCGCCTCTCGATGCCGGATATGCGGCCTTCTTACCCATTTAATTCCCTATCTGTATCAGCTCACATCCTAAGGACCAGTCATTCGCGCCCTACGTACGCGCCTCACTCGCACATCGCACACGCACGCGCACCCTTCGCGTGCGCGCTCCATAGGCCTTCGCGCTCCTACCGTCCGTCCCTCTGTCCTTTGTCCTTGCTGATTCACTGGTGCGTTATTTTTATCTCTCTCATTGAATTAACGAACCTTCGGTCCGACCTCCGCGCTTACATACAGAGAGTCTATTTAAACTTAGAATATATTTAGAAGTTGATATGGTTACTCGGTTCGGGAGCGCGCTCGGAAGCGTGCCGCATAGCGTAATCTCCCTTCTTAAATAGAGGGAGGATTCCTTCGGTTCTGGTACTTACTTTCCCCTTATCTTGATATACTGCAAAGTGTAGAGTTCTCCCTCCAATACTAGAAATCTGATTATACTCCTCCACTGTTGACACCTGTGCCCTTGCTACTCTCTTAAGGACTCCTCTCCTTCATCGTTCAAGCGCGCGCCCGCTTACGCGCGTACCCTTTGCATCTCTCGCTCACGCGCGCATCTCGCGCGCCTTCGCATCGCCTACGCGCGTCACTTTCCCGCGTCTACCAGCGCCCGTCTAGTTGACATAGTTTCCCTCCACCTTATTCGCGAGGAACTTCTCTCAGTAGCTGTCCTTTGGGTCGAGTTGTATTCTCGTATCCAGGTCTTGCTGTAGAGCCCCCTTTCTTTTAGTGTTTTCACCCACAGTCAAGATTCCTCACCTTCAGCGTCTAAAACAAAGTTACATACTTCGAAGCTGCACCATTTAACTACAATATAGTCACATACGCATCTCTGTCAGTAAAGTTGTTAACAAAGAATGTACTACACTGATCCAACACATTGCTCGTAGTCCACTCACGCGGGGCCACCGCACCAAACTTAGGAATTAAGTGCACCGAGCGGCGAATATTACGCACAGGAATAATGCTTGCTTGCCTCTCACCATCCTGAAGTGCGCGCGAGATGCTATACATCCCATGATTAACGTTTGGGGTGGCAGGGAAGGGCGTGAACCACTCGACATATGCAAGGTGATCAGGGACATTAACCTTGTGAAATAAAGCCCGCTTGACATTGGCTGACAGTGCGAATATGACACGAACTTGCGCGACACGATATCCTGTTAGTATTCAATTAGCATCAGTGTCTCACATACATAGATCAAGATGTTCACCTTCCACGCCCGTTTTGTTGCCATTGCCTAGATTAATAAGTGCCGTATCAAACCTTGCAGGCACTCTCCTGTCATGGCCATCGTGTCGCACAGGGCGTGCGTGGATTGCGTCGACAGTATCATTGTTTACCATGCTACCATCATCATGAACAGCACCATAACGGACTTTGTGGAAGACTGATACTGACTGGAATGGAAGGGTGATGTCGCAGGCCGCATCTTCAGACTGCCTCGCAGACAAATTGGGGTGCATGACTTGGACTATGAAATGCGCCACTGCGGCCTGAAAGTGTGGTGCGCCATAATGTTCGGCTAGTGATGCCAATGGCACTCGTTTGACGGACGGATGCTTCGCCACCTTCAGTTGTCGGGAATATATGACGTCGGAGTGGGGTAGGGGATGATGTGATTGGGGGTTCAGCTGGAGTCTGAGTCGCCATTGAATGAATTTATCATGCCACATGATTTTCTCTCGTCGTTCGAGCCACAGAGTCATTTGCATGTATTCGTCCTTATGATTAGTCGCACGATACGCATCCTTCGCCAGGTCAATGTGCAGTCGTTCGGTATATTCGGTGTTATAATTGTCCGTAGTTCCAAACAGACGAATCATTGAGACGTAGTGCCGGAAAGAATGGAGTTTTGGGAGGTTAAACGACGCACGGATTCCTAAATCGACGAAGATAGCTTTATTGTCGTGAAAACAATTGAGCGCATCACGGAGGAGCTCTAAAGATGAATCAGAGTGACATGGGTATTGAGCGAGATACAAAAAGTCGAGTATCCCGCGTACAGCACGGACAAGTCTAACAGCGGAAGCGTTGTCGGGCAAACGGACGTCAAGGATGATGCCAAGTAGAAATCGGCATATTTGCTGGTGTTCCGTTCCACTGACTCGTGACAGCACTGAAATGCCTTTCATGAAGAGGCGGATGTTGTGGTTTGGAGGGAGCCGTTTGCAGCGCGCATCTATTTCTGCCTCGCTGCAAGCTGATTTAATCCAGGCAATGAGATGCTTGACCAGGCCTTGGTACAATTGGTGGAGGACATCTGGCGTGATCGCGTGATAGATATTGCAGTGCGGGAGTTCCTCCCAGAAAGGATGATACAGAGGTTTCACGCCTGCCAGTGATAAGAGGCAAGTCATGACCAGGTCAGCACGATTGAGCTAGAAACAACACATACCTGCATCACGACAAGCTCTCGCAAACTGAGTCATTGACCGGTTGATATCTGTGGAAGGGCCTGTCCGACAAGCCAAAAGTGATGCGCTTAAGAACCAAGGTATGTGTGGCTTGGTCAAGTTGGATTATTCGAAATCTACTGACCGAATGTGTTGAATCACAGTTTGGATGTCAGAGAAGAATCCACGGAAGCGCGCAGCATCTAACGTTGCAGAACCTGTTGTACACAAGCAGGCACGAGTGCGTGAGTAGGCTACTAGTACATTCTTATTCATTTTGATAGATAGTGACCTGATTTTATCAAGGAGCCCAACCGCTGGCTCGAGTGCCCAAAAAACACGGTGCCACACAGCTCTTTGACTCCGAGTCAGATGATTTTGGGCCCGAGGGAAGTGACGGGGGCTTGTCTGATTCGGATAGTAGTGGAGCTCTGTCAGATGTCAACCCTGAGGAGTCGGATGACGGTATTCTGGGACTCGACCCGAAGAAACTAAAGGCCACACTGGACTATGAAGTATGTGAGATTCATCTATAATTTCAATGACATTGCTTGACTCAGCTCATAGCGGCCTCAATTTGCTAGCTCTGCCTCGTCCATCAGGTCAGTCGCAAGTGCTCTGCTGTCAGATGATGATGCCCTCGCTGAGGAGCACATCGCCATCGACCCTGAGGTCGAGGAGACAAACAAGTCTGTGCCCCGCTACCGTGTTTCGAACCATAATGGTTTGAGTAAGATGGTCAAAGGGGCATTGAGAGGAGGGAAACAGCTTCAGAAGCGAGAGCAAGAGGTGCGATGGCCTGCTGTTTGCTGATGGCCCATATTCACTGACTGTACTTATTTATTTAGAGACCAACTTGGCGGTCACCCAAGGACTCCGTCGACGATACGATCAGCGAAGGACCGCCTGCTGTTCGTTCTCGTGAGGATGACTGGCCCGCTCCTTGTCGCATTGTATATAGTGGTTCAGGCAAGGTAAATCTGACAGAGCAACAACCTCACATTCAAGAGATGCTCCGGGCAGCCATTACCTCCCTTCATGAACACATCCTGTTCGAAAACTCGTATCCGGAATTACAGCAACAGAGAAAACTCATGGCCGACGTCCTTATGTCATGTACCAAAGACGGAGAAGACTTTGACGCTGTGAGGAATTGCCTGGCGAAGGACTCGAAGTATGTGCGTGCGTTATCTACAGTGGTACGTAGTGGTTATGTTTTGTTTCATATTGCTGACTGCACTCTTACCTGCATTACAGCCTGAAGGCCGGATTGGCAGCATCCGTGGGAACGTCAGAAAGGCTGCGCAAGCACATGTCGCCACCCACTACGGTCTGACCAAAGGTGCTGACGAGCGAGTCTCACACCTTCTCAAAAACAATGCCTACATATATCCGGTGAATGCCAAGGTCCGTACTACCCTTGTCTTATGTTCTGTCATTGGTCTAATGCCGATTTTGGTGATATATTGCAGGGGGATCTTGTCCGCACGAAGCCGTTTCAAGCTCCTGCGATTTTGGACACCATTGAGGATGCATTCTTCAACGACGAGCTGGGTGCAGGAGTGAAATGGCACGACCATTTGACGTCCATACTCGACGACCATCCAGAGGAAGTGGAGCTGCCTGTTGCGATGGTGGCTCTCGCTAGCGCTGCGGTGAGTCAATCTCTGTGGTTATATTATATACACTACTAATGGATGACACGACTCAAGGTATGCTCGGTTATTATGCAGTACTCCTCCGAGAAATACGACCGTGACTTCAACTCGGACATGTATGGGGGGATTTATCGAAAGTTGGTCGGCGTGTTGAATGCCATCTTCCAGACCAGTCAGCGGAAGTTTCATGTGCCCGTGCACTCGTTATATAAATCCGTCTAGTGAGTTCTAACGTGGTCGACGGCAGAATTTCTCTGACAGCGGTATTCTATTATAGTGGATCAAAGCGCAAGGCAGACGAACCTAGCGCCGCGGAGACACTCATGTTTCTCGATATCGAAGGTATGGCTGAGGAATGATAGATATAGTGCACTGTTTGTAGATTTGATATTCAATGAAATTTTTGGGTTTTAATATCGGAAGAACTGCCTGAAAATACTTCGCGGATTGGCAAGAACTGCCGCAAAATACTGTTCTGATTGTCTTGAATTGACATCCTATTTTCGAGAATTTGAAAGGGACTAAACTAATTGATCAAATCGTCTAATCTATGAATTTCTCGCAGATTGGGTTGAATTCAATCTCATTGGATCCAATTTGACAAGGAGGTTTTTCCTGATGTGGTTGACCTGTCTATGATATCTACAATTCTGTACTCCACCTGTCCTCATTCAACGGATGCTCAAGGACTCACGCTCGAGAAAACGGTACTGGAGATTCGTTCGCGCACGGTCAGCTTTACACTGCGCTATCAAGAGTGCGATGTCGAAGAGACATTCGGGCGCCATTTCCTACAGAGACTGAGGAGCAGACTACGGCGAACGCAGTATACAGACACCTGATATTGAAAAACAGACACACGACGTCCGAAGGTGATCAGTACTCTTGTAGCAGTAATAGTATAGAATCTACGAGGGTGCCTGCGACGGTCCAATCACTAACATGTACCGCAAAAAGTTGTGAAACTGTACTCGCTCGTCCCCGGAAAGGTTGTTCATCGCACTGAGGATATATAGAAACTTGCGATTGGGTCCCATTCCTCCGAAACCATCCACTTTCACCTTAACTTCGAACTGTTCATCGAGGCTGCCGAATGTCGCTGCGCCGGCGAGCGCCCACATGAACTTCAGATTTTCGATTTGTTGTTCCTCAGTCTCGCCGAGGAACTCTTGGTGCGACCCATGCCAAACAAAACGGATAACGTTGGACATGATGAATGAGTTCTGGAATTTAGCCCTGATTTCGACCTGTCCGTTCTGAAAAGATTGAGCTGCCCCCGACAACACACACGAATGAAAACTTACTTGGTCGAAGCTATAAACGTGCATGAAAACGAGTCCATCACCATCCCGTGCGATCTTTTCGATCAAGCGTTTGCGATAGGTGACGGCGGGTGCGGCAATATGCAGTGGAGGGAAAAGCCGATACGCATGGAAGACGCCCTTGCGCGCGAATTCAGCGAATTTGCCACGAGTTGACGACAACGCATTCGCAACATCCTTACGATGTTTACTCGAGATAAAATTCTCAAATGTTGCTAATAAAACAAGTCAGTATGATGTTAATGGACATATGATACTACTCACCATTAGGCGCAAAACAACGTGGTACTGAGTCCCAGATAACCTTGTTCAGCATGATTTTCTTGGCAGCTTTGTCAACCGCCATCGCCTGTTCTCCAAATAATTCGCGCGTGACCAATTGCGTTGCCGTTTTCATGGACTGGCCAATGATGTCATCCGATAGTTTGATGCGCGTGGGTTGAGGCGTTGATGACGTTTCGGATTGCGAAGTTGAATCTTCGACTGCAGATGGCAGAGATTCGGAATTGCCCTGCGGGCATGTGGAAGGGTAAGGAATCATACGTGGCGTAGGTGGCATCGCTCGTCGGGTTCGCCTCGTTGTTTCCCTTGGCGGGCCCATCGTCTAAGTGAGTGGTAAGCAGGAAATGAATCGAAGAAAAAGGAGAACTCATGTGCATCACATCGGTTGACGGAATCTCACCTCACTGGATCAGCGTCATCTCTGACGCGCTCGTGCTGGTACCAGTACCTTGGAGGGGGGTACTTAAAGGAAAGTTGTGGCTGGATCCTTGAGGTAAGGGTTCGAAAGAAGAGCCCTGGAGGCCCTCCGAGGACGAAGGGCCGTAGTATTGGCCGTGAGGGAAGCGGCCGTCGAAGTCAGCATCCTGCATACTCCAGCCATATAATGCTGCGAAATTGTGAGAGTCACATCAGTAAACGAAAGTGTGATTGACTCACACGTGCTCACACTTGATATGGGAGTAGGAACTCCTCCACTGGCCGCATGCACATCGAAGTTGAACTGAGACATACGTGGTTGCTCAGTAGGAATGTGAAGTTGGCCAGTTGCTGGTTCGCCAGATGGATTGAGGCCAGAACCGCGTGGCGGTTTTGGAACTTTAGCTTTGGTTTTTCGCTGAGGGGCACGCTCACTAGGCATTCAAGGTTGGAGGGGATGTGAGAGTGCATGCGTGCATTTAAGTTGCGAAACGACGTAACGGCACATAGGGGGAAAAGAAACACAAACTTTACATGATCTTTACAAACCGGGAACGTGTGGCGAGCTGATAAGGTGATTCTACAAAAAAAGCAAGGCCATTTACTAACGAAGTGTAAAAAGAAGGGGGGGCATGGTCTGATAAGACGACTTATGAACGGGAGAAAAAGATATATGAATGGCCGGAGCGGGCAAAGCGCTTTATTGAACGGTCGAAGCGTGTTTATGGACGGTCGAAGTGTGTTATGGACGGGCGAAGTAAGGCGGTATCAGTTGATAACAATCTATGAACAGTGACACGAATGAATTGAGTGTCACTGATATTGATCAGTGAGTGACGTGAACGACTTGGCAGTCACATACCATTGATAGTCACAACTGCGAACGCTGCTGGCCCGGCCACCCGCTGCGATGATCCTCCTCTTCGCCGGAATCGGTATCGGAGTCGGTATCGGTATCGGTACCGGCATCCGTGAAACCACCACGCAGTGCACATGTGATGTTGTCCCTGTTTTGTGAGGCTCCAACGAAACGAGGGAGGTAGGGAGCTTCGCCGGTAGACGCTAATAATTCACGTTTGGCACGTGATCCCAGGCATTTTGAGATTATCTCTGCTTGGGTGGTGATGGCGTGAAGCATCTCGCATTCATCATTGTAGGCAGCTTGAATGTAATTCGTGTCATCGTCGATTTCTGTGCGTTCACGCTCAGAAAAAATGTTCCTGATCTTCTTCAGCTGTTGGTCCTTCAAATCGAGGCGGTTTTTGTTCTCCTCGTGGAGCGCCTGATTAAACACTGTCATGCGCTCTGCGTATTCGACCTGCCATAACGATGTCGCCACCTCATGGCGAGCAGCCTCGCGACTAGCGAGTACTGCCTTGAACGCTTTGTACAAAGTGTCAAAGCTCATCAGTGAGAGACCGCTGGATATTGTGTCCTCCTGCTTTTGGACATAGATCATGTAAGAATTTGCGAATCTCTGGAACAAAGAAAAGAAAAGACAAATACCTCTTGCAGTTGTTCAGATGTAAAGTCTGGTTCCCGTACTCGCCCTGTCACGCGGTTGGCAAACCGAAGTTCTAGTGGAGATGGCCTGAGGGGGTATGGGATATGCCTCTTGGTCGACCTCTCACGCATGTAAGCTACTCGAGAAGGTGACTTTGGGGACTGTAAAACGTCAGGCTTATACAACAAACTCTCCTTTACATCAGGAAGGTACGGAATTTCTTCCACCGGGGAGAAGTGAACCTTTGGAGAACCTGAAGGGCAGGGAGACAGCTTGGGAGAAAGTGAACAGTCCGAGCCAGATAAGAGCTCAGTAGCCATGGTATTGATATGGGGCGACTCAGGGAGGCCAACCTTCTTAAAGATCTCTGAGGAAGTTAGTTCTACGCGAGTTGCACTACTTGATGTAGTGCTGGTGAAAGCAGGGCTACTTGGCCGAGCAGGAGATGAGACTGGTGATGAGGACACAGGCTCCATTAGCCTGGCGTGATGACTGTGCGCTGTGAAACGTGAGGTCTTCGGACTTTGAAAGACTTGTTACTTCCTGTGCATACTCACCGGTGTAAGTCTAAGCCAAGTCTACGCTACAATGTGAGTACTTCCATTGTTCACTTTACGATACCATACATACCCTTGGCAGGCTATGTCCCAACTGCAAATTGGGGGAATATCCATCCATCGAGGCGCTTATCTCACATCTCAATTCTCCAACTACTTGTTGGCCATCCGACGCACGACCACGAACATTACCCATTCCTTCAGTATTCAATCAAAGTGGTCAGATACCCGTCACTGGTACCTGTCACCCGCAATCCGGATACGTCTATGGTGTCGGTAGAAATATGCTGGATAAATTGGAAGACGATCAATATGCGCATCAACGGAAGATAAATCATTATTACCCTTTCCATGATGAAGGCGAATGGGAATTAGGGAAGTTTTTGGTGGAAAACCTTACTCAAACGCAGATAACCAAGTTCTTAAAGTTGAAATGGGTAAATGACAGATATCGATCTAAGCTGTATTCCTCAATCTGATCCTACCTTCACAGTTTGACGCTCCGAATTGCGCAAGACCCTCTTTCACCACGAAAGACCACCTCCTGGACTGAATGGATTCACTACTTTCTTTTGCCCCGTGGAAAGTCTCCAAACTAGCATTCAAGGGCTATAAGACTGTCCGTCCCGTGGACATCGTTTGGCGTGATGCGCTAGAGGTCGTGAAGCAACTATTTAGTGACCCAACTTTTGCGAACCACATGACCTTCAACCCCTACGTCGCTAATGTCAAGAATCAACGTGAATACGGAGACTATATGAGTGCCGATATGGCATGGAAAATTCAGGTTTGTTCACCCTCCTATTAATATACTCCTCGCTGAGTAACAGATTGATTTTTATTTCTAGGACCATCTCCCATTGGGTGCGACTCAAGTCCCAATAATCTTGGGATCTGATAAAACACCTGTGACGCGACTTGCTGGAGGAATTGAGATGCACCCGGTCTTCGTCACCATCGGTAACATTGATTCTGAGGTTCGCTCCAAGGCAACATTACGAGCTTGGCGCTGCGTAGCCTACATTCCTGTAATCAAGTTCCGCGTTCACACAGATTACCAGTCTATTCTCCAGGCTAGACTGTGGCACAAATGTATGGACCTTGTTTTCGCCAACCTCAAGGTCGCAGCAAAGGATGGCTGCTTCATGCCCGATCCTTCCCGCTATATTCACCATGTGTTTACGCCACTTGTCGCTCATGTGTGCGACCTACCGGAGGCTACTATGATCGCCACAGTCAGTAAAAACTCATCCCCACTAACTATGGCAACACAAGCAGATTTTGGGGATGGAATTCTCTACCCGCCTCGTACCGGGAAGCATACATTGCAGCTCATCGTGGAGATATCTCGACAGGTTGATCCCTGGGATCTCGACAAGTTCCAGAAAGCGGCCAAAGCCGTTAATCTATCTGGAGTTCACATGCCATACTGGCGTGATTGGATGTTTGCGTGTCCGTCCATTTTCCTCGCTGGTGAGGTGCTGCACACCTGCCATAAGTTTTTCGCGGACCATCCGCTGAAATGGATCAAAGAAGCTCTAGGAGATTATGAGCTCGATACCCGCTTCATGGTCCAGCACAAGCGAGTCGGAACGCGCCACTTCGCAAAAGGTATCACACACGTTAATCAAATGACAGGCCGCGAGCATAGAGACATTCAACGCACTATCGTTGCGTCGATCGCAGGGGCCGTTCCACCCAGATTCGTTCGTACAATCCGTGCCCTTGTAGACTTCTTTTACCTCGCACAAAATCCGGTTCACTCCCCTGAATCACTTCAGTCAATGGTTCAAGCACTTTCAGACTTCCACTCTTTCAAGGACGCTATCATTCAGGCCGAGGCAAGGAAGGGGAAGAAGGGCGTCAAAGAAGATTTTTTCATTCCCAAACTCGAGCTTCTCCAAAGCTTCATTCAGAAATTAGGCACTTTGATGCAGTTCTCTGCTGATGTGACGGAGCGGTTACTCATCACACACTGTAAGGACCTTTTCCCGCGGACGTCCCGGCAAATCAAAGACTTTACGGAGCAGTGTGTACGGATTCTTAACCGCCAAGAGTCTATGGAAATGTTTGGCCTGTACACGCTGTTAACTTCTCGCGGGGCGTCACTAGTTAATGCGATATACGCTGAAGATGAAGATGTCACAATTGCCAATCCCGCACTCTCCTGGGTCTCCCGAGTTCTCCCTGACGAAGTTAAGTCAATACATGGTCCCCGACCAGTCCGCAATCACTTTCTCAAGGGTATTCTCTCTGGAGATGCACTCACCGCTTTTCAACTCAATATCACACCTGATTACAAATCGCTATCACCGTCTGACATACGCACGAAATATGCACTCTTTGGCTTTGAGCGTGCGCTCGGCGAATTCATTTGTCGTTCCCCCCTTTCTAGTGGTGAAAATTCTTGCTGGGACCCCAAGTATGGGCGCTTCCAGGTATGGCATAAATTCCGATTGCAACTTCACTCGGCCTTCCAGCCGCGAGTCATCATGCCGAGTCGCGTGGTGCAAGCGTACCCACCGAGCGATGATTTTCCCTTTGGAAATTGTGATACTGTTCTCGTGGACACCACAGGCATTGATGGCAAAACCAGTATGTCTTTCATGTGCTTATGTTGTAGCCTACTGATATCATATACAGCGAGTTGCATCGCGCAGGTTCGGCTCATTTTTCAACCGACGGTTCGATGAGGTTCCAACGTGGAACTACCATCGTGTCTCTCAGACCCACTTCTCTACGTCCAATTTTTCCACTTTATTTCCAGCCCTGACGATTGTCCCGAACTCGCAATGTGGACCGTGGAGCGCACATACACGCAGGAGGAAAACGGTAATCGCTGTAGGAAGGGGGCTGTCATACGAGTGACAGACGTGACACATGCGGTTGAGTTGATACCAGTTTATGGTGAGGCAGTGGCCAATAGCGTGTCCTCTGCGACATCTTTGGAATGCTATGAGCGTTTTTTCCTGAATAACTTCGCAGACAAGGAGAGTTATCACACATTCAGTACCGAGTTTGTATAGGCAGTAGCATAATCAGTATATAGCAATTGTATCAATCTGTTTAATCTATTACATCTATCGTATCTCTGAGCATATCACCGAAAGATAATCAGGCTTGAGTTTTATCAGCCAGATATAGTGCGTTATATTGGTGTTCAGCATCTCCACCAATCGCCTGAGTGCGCTACTGAAGTCGTAAGTGTTCGTAAGTGTCCGTAACGCGCGTAAGTTAAGCGTTCATTTCAGTGGTTTTGCAGATGTACAAGAGACCCGGCTCATTCCCAAGGCGGCGCTCGATTGCGTGAAGGCCCACCTGAGAAACCATTACACAATTAACAATAACGGGTCACATGTCACATGTCACTCGACAACTTTTCACTGCTTGCCACTTCAATAACAACGCACAGTGGGAGTACATGTAGGCTCTGATACTGAGCAACAACGTGATGATGGGCCAGTCGTTGGGCGTGGCAGCTGTGGGGTCAAACGATCTCACTCGACCTGACTCCCGAATAGGAACCCTTGGCGACTTAGTAGATATTAGAAAGGTGACCGACCCCTGGGAAAGCACGAAGTTGACCCCAGGCTTGAGCTTTTCTTACATGATGTTACGCAAACTGTCGGGGCCTGGGACAGGTACTACTACGTCAAGCACTTAACATCTCAGAGACATAGAAAGACCGGTTACGGGGACAGCTCTGTCAAAAACTTGACCCTGGCCCGGGTTCACATTCCGACAACACGTGGTGAGTTGAAAGTACTCATTACATTCCGCCAGGAATTTGACCACTTCTTGCAGGTATATGTCAGAACGACGGCTTCGCGAATCGCCACCACAACATGAGAACTCGCGTATATGACTTTTGAATGCCGGTAGGTTAGCGCAAGATAGAGCAAGGTGTGCACTCACGCTTCAACTGTTCAAACGTTCAAATTCAAATCCCAGTATCGGCAGAGTTGAGTAAGTAGATCCGGACCGATTCTGTATGCTTGTGCTCTATCTGATAGTCTGATGATCCCACAGGGCCGAATACACTCATGGCTCCACCTTCTCCCTTTTAATAAATGTCAAATGGGGTACTTACTCGATAGCGCTTGCCTTCCTCGAAGGCATCGTGACCATGTCTATCCAAGAGATCACTCTGCCACGGACGTTAACACGTCAAAGGCCTGCAAACGCTTCGCTTATTCTGAGGTTCGATCTTAAATAATGCACTTGCTTGTCATGGTCATATGAATGGTGGTGGGACTTCATTTGATGTTTTCCAGCAGGGGCAGATAAGCACCGCTCTTGCTACCGAATCTAGCCTAAGAAGCAGTTACAGCCACCGGTGACGCAGGGTCACCCTTCAAGTTGTCAGTCGTGTGATCATCGACCTTTTGGCCTTTCCGTTGGTAGCGAATTATTGAGGACAGACATCCGATAGAGTGCAGCACCGCAAGCTCCGCTGTCGTACAGTTTTCATTAAAACGTCACAAGTTCACAACCCTTGCAAGTCAACGGGATTCCGATAGCCTGCCCTATAAGTATTGTACGTTAATGATTAGCAACCCATCCCTTACTCTCTGAAACTGCCATTTGACCTGCACAGTTTTATGCCGGAACTAGATGAATATCTGTATGCTCTTGCCTGGAATAACAACACATCAGGTTCGTTAGCCTTATCGTAAATGATTCATTGTGCCAAACTTCATCGTTTTTCAGTTGTAGTCATTACCCTGATATTCTATGAGTACGGTCAGTAGCTATCATGAACCTTGCAGTGCGGCTGAACGTAATGTTATCTAGTGCTCCAGTTCGAGAAAGAGGTACCAAAGAGCTCATTTTGTCTTGGTCAATTACTCATGATCATATTATCACAGGTCACGTTTGTTTGGGTTAGAAATCAACCTCGACCTTATCAAGATCCGGAACTGACTGGATATGCAGGAAAGACAGTGGTCGATGATGACGTATCTATACCTTGTTGTGAGTTCCACCCTGCCAAAGTGCTTGATAGTTTCCCATTTTGTTGCTATTTTAGGTTCGATATTTCGGTATTTTGATTGCAATGTACGTCGCGGTGTTGTATCCTTCAGATGAATATTGTATGTTGACGCTGGGTTTTAGAATCTCCGCTTGCTGTACGTGAGGTATACCAACTGAGCTGTCATTAACTGACTAGCGCTAGGGGGAGGTCTATTTTATATTCCTGAAGCAGTGAGTCTATCAATTCCTTCTTTAGAGAATTCTAGGTTGACTAAGATTCAGCCGTACGTCAGAAGTTTGTTTCACATTTAAGCATGATCTGCTGACCTCTTGTTTAGTTGTGAGTATATCATATTCAACTGAAACTAGCTTTGCTCATCGTGAAAATGGAATAGGTTATGGCATGTTTCTGTTTATCCAATGGAGTCTTTCTGTATATTTTTGCTTGGGAGAAGGTAAGTCAAGGTGGTATACATACATTCTCGCATACCCATTTCGCATTTGCAGTCATTCTCATCTGGCGTCTATACGCCTTGTACAACCAATCCAAGCCTATCCTGTATGTTTTACTGGTGTTGTTTATACCTATCGTCGCGCTCTATATAGCGGTGGATATATATTTATGGAGCCGACCCTCAGCGATCTCAAGTAAATTTCTATTTTGATCGAATTCTGTGCAAGCTGATGCCTTGGTGTGTAGTACAAGAAGTAATAATAACCCCAAACATCAAGTACTGCGCGGCTTTTTTCCACATCGGGCCCATGCCAGCGATATATACTTCCATCCCCGTCATATGCTATGATATCTTCCTAGTTGTCCTCGCCATTGCCGCCCTCGGGAAGCACCTGAAAGAACGGAAGGAACTTCGAATGAAACCTAACACCTATGTAATCGTGATCGTCCAATATCATGTCATATACTTTGTCCTGTAAGTTCCCCTTCGTTTGTTGCGTTCTCTGAAAGGTTTCATTGAGTCGCGCTAGGAATTTGACAAATCAAATCTTCATGGCGATATTGTGGGCCGACCTTTCGGTATGATCTCTTTTGATTCTAGAAAGATGTGCTCTAATGCAGGCATACCCAGACGGCAGTGATGAATCTCGTTCTAATGTTCAACGATACTGCACCATTTATTATCGTGCCACGTCTTATCATCAGCATTTGGGAAGCGCATGCCAACGATAACTGTGTGCATGTCAGTACGACATTCCAGGATTGCCTCTGTTGGACTTCGCCACCGACGTTGGAGGAGCACGAGCTGGACTTGCGCGAATGATGTTTTAACTTGGAAGGAGGTAGAGTGAAAACCCTTTGCCCGGACTCTTGTCATAGAGAAATTCTCTGATACTACTAGTCCATAGTGTCATATCGAGACATCTAACACTGTACATTGTCGCTACCAAGGATACATCAATAGTGTGATTGATTCATCAGTCGTTTTGGAATATCGTGGAGATGTATTGATCGGGTTCCTCCAGCCTATCAGGAAAATTCTTGTGTGATCATCTATGGCAACGTGCATTCACTATCAGCGACCATAGCATCGCAGTAAAGTCGCCCTCATGCAGCACAGGCACAGCACTGTGGCGCTTTTGACTAGTCATACCACTCACCTTATGTGCCTGGCTAAATACTGCTCATCCTGTCGGTACTCGTACACTTAATCTAATTTTATTTGGATGTTAAAATCAGGCACATCATTAATTGAGTGAGCGATTGATTTGCCCTTTTATTTTGCACTCAGTATGTTTGGAGGTTGGGAGAGAGCTGCCGAAATGCCGGCTGCGTATTTTGAATTCTGGTTGAGTGTGAGGTACGATCACGTGACACGAATAGAGTCTATGTTGTCAGCAAATCAAACGTTGTGCTTCTCCCTTCTCGTCCTCGCTATTAGCCTTTTGACAAGACTTGTCAATATACTCTTTCTAAACTCCTAAACCATTGGAAATCATTCTCTTTCGTCTATCTACGTTGTTTGCTCTGATGGATCGTCTACATTCCGACCCCAGCCTCTTGATTTGTCCTGATTTCCTTAGTGATCCATACCTGGCTAGTCGCACCAGCCTCGTTACCCCTACCACCACCGAGGCACAAGCAGTGGATCTCCTTCGCACGGTGTGGCTCACCACCAACAATGCCTTGCATTCCCAATGGCAACAACAGCTCGCTGAAGACGAGCGTCTTCAAACTGAACGCCAACGCCTAGCCGAAGAAGCGGCCGAGCGCCATCAACAGACTCTTCGGCTCGACGAAGAATCTAACAAAGCCGATGAAAGAAAGAAGAATCGTGCGAAACACCTACCCATTCCCATGCGCCCTTGTCCCGACGCTACCGATGATGAAGTGTTAGTCTCCGATTTTGCCCTCTGGAAGATTGACAAGGGACACTATGTCGAGCTATATTACTGGACGAATGCTGGAATTCAAGAAGCTCATTCCACGTATCGTACCTGGGACGATGAAGGAATGCTTCCCACGACCAGTGCAGATGGTTCCACAACGTGGATCACTGCTGCTGGTGCTAAACCGTCGCTGGCTGTCATTGCTGATCGTAATCTCTCCACCATAGAATTTGCTCAAGCGGTACCAAGGATGATCAAAGCTTTGGAAGAATACGACTGGCCAGTCCAATGGGTAACGATGCTGGCTCGCTTCTGGGCTGCACTCATGCTTCATTGGTACTGGAACTCGATTGATTCCATCGCTCAGCGCGCCATTTTGATCTACCAGGAAGAACAACGTCGTGCCTGGCACAACGCCATTCCCCTGGCCAAGGGCGCTTGGGACATCTCCATCATAGATGATGCTGCCCTTCTTCGCACGTACGACAGAGTTTTTCGCAGCATGCGTCGTCTCGACCTCGGAAATGAGCAAGCGGTACACTCGTCGTCGCTCTTTGTTAAACAATACACTGACTTTTTCGTTTTCTTCCCTTGTTTACCTGACGATCTTATGTGTTGTCTGCGTTGTTTTTTACCCGCGTTACTCCCTTGCGTCTGCGATACTTCATCCCCTGCATTTGCGTTCTCCCACCTGCATTTGCGTTCACCGTGCCTTCCTTTTGCCTTTTCGCGTTCGTTTTGTCGAACCATGCTTTGTGCATGACCTTCCGCGTTGACGCTTGCCCCTTGCATTTACAAATTCCATGGCCTCAGGACTCCAAATCACTCAATCACCATCACTCTCAGCGCTCGAAACGCTCCCTGTCACCACACACCCGGGATCGGTCGCCATCTCCCAAAGCCTCGAAGAAAGCACACGCTCAGCGTCCTTCTCGGTCTGCGCATTCTCGCTCGGGTTTTAAGGACAGCGCACACAGCTCTCGCTCCCCAGCCGTGTGCGCCGTCTGCCTGGGGAGCAAATCTCACGCCTTCATCGAGTGTACAGCGGAGCGCCTCTGGGACAACTCCCGCCCCGCTCTCACCACACGTGTCAACCGACAGCTCCTGCTACGCGGGTCCGACAAACCTTTGTGTGTGGACTGGCAGCATTCCAAAAGCTGTTCCAGCCACTCTCACGACGAGAGGCACATTTGCTCGGGGTGTCTTGCCAACTCCCACGGAGCTCAGCAGTGCCCTCGCGCACAGGCGTCGAAACCCACTCACGCCGTACAATCCTGATACCTGGGAGGCTGCGTTGCGCAGACACAATCTGCTTGATATATACCCCACTCTGTCACATAGTCTTCGGTTCGGTTTCAATCTTGGTATCCCACAAATTAGCAATGTACAATGTCCCTCGAATAATGTTTCTCTCGTCACCTTCGCTGATGCCTTCCGCTCCATACTTGACCGTGAACTATCTACGGGCTGTTACCTCGGACCTTTCTCCTATGATCATTTGTGTGCTCTGCTTGGTCCGTTTCAATCGTCCCCCTTATCCATCATCCCGAAACCAGGCAAGCCTGGGAAGTTTAGAGTTATACAGAATTTTTCGTTTCCTCTCCTGCCTTCTTTGGCTTACCCCAACCCGTCCATTAATTCTTTGCTCGAGCCGGATGATTTCCCTTGCACATGGGGCACCTTCGAAACTGTATGCAGCATCATTCGGTCTTTACCTCCAGGGTCCCAAGCCGCGACACGAGATGTCGCCGAAGCGTATCGCACTGTTCCTTTACACTCCTCCCAGTGGCCAGGAGCGGTGGTGCGTCTTCAAGATGACTCCTTTTGCGTGGATACGTGTGTCTCGTTCGGTATGGGACCCTCCGCCGGTGTCTATGGACAGGTCGCTGATGCGGGGATTGATCTTTTGCGTGCAGAAGGACTTGGACCTCTCACGAAATGGGTGGACGATCATTTGTTCTTTCGCATTCGGCGGGAATATCTGGACAGCTACAATGCCCATCGCCAAAGCGTCAACTCACTTGTCACTCGAAAAGGGCGTGTCCATTCTGGCGGGCGGATTTGGTTCAAGGGTAGACTACTCATTGACGACTCATCCGAAGTACATGCAGAAGATCACCGGTCTCTCCTGCGCGACCTCTCCTGTTCTTCTCCTCGTTCCTCGTTCGACTCTGCGTTCTCCTATGCTTTCGCCGATATTGATCGTGCGTCGCAGCCGTTGGGCATTCCCTGGGAGCCCTCCAAGGATACGGCCTTTGCGTTCTTCGCCCTCTTCATCGGGTTGCTTTGGGATATCCCTAAACTCACGGTCCAACTTTCGGATCAGAAGCGGGAGAAGTATCAAGCTGCCATTCAAAACTGGCGCGCCCAAAAAACTCACTCGCTCCTCGAAGTGCAAAAACTTCATGGTAAGCTGGTGCACGCTTGTCTCGTGGTCCCAGCCGGCAGAGCCTACCTCACATGCCTGGAAGCCATGCTCGGCATCTGCAGTCACCGTCCGTTCATGTCATATCACCCCGTCAAGCACCTTGAGGATGATCTCACCTGGTGGTCCATCACCCTCACTCGCTCCTTCGTTGGCAGGTCCATCGCACTCCCCCAGTGCCTCACTGACATTCGCGCGTTCTCAGACGCAAGTTCAAGCGTCGGAGTTGCAATTGTTATCAATGGGTATTGGAGGGCCTGGATTCTCCGGCCCGGATGGCAAACACTCGACGGACAACGTGACATTGGATGGGTGAAGTGTGCCGGCCTCGAGCTTCTCATCACTGCCATTCTCCACCACCCTCTCTACTCCTCCCATCATCACTTCCGCATTTACTGCGACAACCAGGGTGTCGTCGAAGGTTGGAAAAACGGTAGGAGTCGCAACTGAGAAACCAACTCAATCTTCCGAAGGATCCTTGCCCAACTCGACTACCTTGGCAATGCCTACTCATTCTATCCGCGGTATGTTCCCAGTTGTGACAATCCTGCAGATGGACTGTCACGAGGGATCTACCCACCGCGATGTCTCCTCTTACCACCAATCACGCTACCCGTTGGACTGGCAAAATTCCTCGTCGACGATCACATCCCTCGTCGCCACACCTGCCGCCAGCCATCTTCTGATGATGGGCTGGCTAGCAAAGCACCTATCTAGTCCTGCGGAGGTGAGCCATACCACTCCTAAGGCAGCGTTGATGCCTTTGTCCAATCGCTTTGACGTGTCGAGTCCTCTGCCTCTTCGCCCTCATTGTCTCGCTCGCGATCGCCTTAGACTCTGGGTTCCTGTGACTTCTCGGTCGCGCCTTGATCAGTCGGGGTCGCTCGTCTCTTTGACAGACGACGACATCGATCGCATCTTGCTTGTCATCGCCCACTGTCACGCCTCAAGCACTCGAGAGTGTTATGGCTCCGGGTTGCTTGTTTTCCACGTCTTCTGCGACTCTCGGGGAATTCCCGAGCATCAACGGTGCCCGGCATCTTCAGTGCTGGTGTTGGCTTTCCTAGCTGGATGCGCGGGTCTCTACTCCGGGAAAACATTAGAAAACTACTTCTACGGTATACGCGCATGGCACCTATTGCATGGCTTACCTTGGTCGGTTGACCAAGCGCAAGCGTCCTTGACATTAGAGGGAGCAAAGTCACTAGCTCCCCAGTCCTCGTCTCGCACGAAACGCGCTCCCTTTACCATCGCACTGCTACTGGCAATCCGCTCTAGCTTAGATCTTTCGACACCCTTACACGCTGCGGTGTATGCGTGTTTAACCACGTTGTTTTTCACCATCGCGCACACAGGCGAATTTACAGTGCCTTCGTTGAAAGGTTTCGATCGGCACTTACACGTGTCTGTCGGTGACATATGTCACGAGGTCGACCGTCATGGATTCCGTGTCACAGTCTTCCGCCTGCTGCGCACCAAAACATCTACCTCAGGTGAAGACGTTTACTGGGCAGTGCAGTCCGGCCTCGCCGACCCTCTTACAGCTCTAAATAATCACCTCCACATAAACCATTTGTCCCCCTCCGACGCTCTCTTCAGCTGGAGACACAAGACGGGTCTACGTGCTCTCACGTGCACTGCTTTCTTGAAATGCCTCAAAGACGCGAGCGCCCGTTCGGGACACGGAGAACTGAAGGGTCACGGTATCCGTATCGGAGGAACACTCGAGTACCTTCTTCGTGGTGTCCCGTTCGAAACTGTGAAGACAATGGGGAGGTGGAGCTCTGACGTGTTTGTACTCTACCTCCGGAAACATGCTGTGGTACTCGCGCCATATCTACAGGATCAGCCGGTATTAGAACCTTTCATGCGATATGCAATGCCAGCCTAAAGGTTCGTACTCGCGGTCCTCCTAATCTCTGGGGTCAAGCTAACACCTGTTGCGTCGTTTCGCTCCTAGTTCACAGGGGAATCGGCTTTGCTTGCCCCCACCTTTAGGAGTTTTCTTCGAGTATGTTTCGGTCGAAAGTCTTCCTGAGATTTTGCCCAATCATTATACCATTTTGTTTGCCTGTCAGCCTCAGTCCTAGCTATCGTCTTGCTACCTATGCACTGTCCTTACCAAAGTTTGATTACAATTCAAAGTCCTTCCTTTGTTTGCGAAACGAGACATAGACTGATCCGGATCGAGAAGACAAGTTTGAGTTACTAATAAAATATTGGGTATTGTTGAGCTAGCTTACTAATCATTTTCGCAAAGTCTTTACCGCCGTAGTACTTCCGATTGCGATTGTCTTCCTCAAGGCATTCATGATCATGTCTATTCAAGAGATCACTTTACCGTACGGACGTCAACATGCAAAGGGCCTGCAAACACTTCGCTTGTCTCGAGGTTTGAAATTTGATCTCGGATCATGCACTTGCTTGTCAAGGTCATATGGAATCTGGATGGTGGTGGGACTTCATTTGATGTTTTCCAGCATATGTCGGGGTAGATAAGCACCGCCCTTACCACCTAAGCCAGAGGGTCGGACAACCCAAGAAGCAGTTACAGCCACCGGTGACGCAGGGCGACCCTTCAAGTTGTCAGCCGTGTGATCATCAATATACTTGCGACCTTCCCGTTGGACCTTGGCCTTGTCGCTGGTGGTGAATTATCGAGTACAATGATTCGAGACATCAAATGGAAAAGTGCGGCGCCGCAAGCTCGACACGATGTCGTACTATTTTCATTAGAACACAGCAAAAGTCACCAACCCTTAGGAGTTAACGAGATTTAGTCTGCCCTATAAGTATTGCACGTTGGTGAGCATCAGCCCATCCCTCATTCTTTGAATTTGAGATTCGATCTTTACAGTTTCATGTCGGAACTAGAAGAATCTGTCTATGCTCTTTACTGGAATAACAGCGTCTCAGGTTCGTTGGTTTTGTCGGAAATGAACCATTGCGTTGAATTTCGTCGTTTTCCAGTTGCTGTCATCACCATGATATCTTATGAATACAGTCAGTAGCTTTCATGAATTTTGCAGTGCTGTTGACCGTAATGTTATCTAGTACTTCAATTCGAGAAAGAGGTACCGAGAAGCTCGTTTTGTCTTCGTCGAGTACTCATGATCATATCATCATAGGTCAAGTTTGTTTGGGTTAGAGTTGAACCTCAATGATATCAAGATCCGGAACTGACTAGATACGCAGGAAAGACAGTGGTCAGTGATGACGTATCTATACCTTGCTGTGAGCTCCACCCTGCCAAAGTGCTTCATGGTTTCCCATTTTTATTGCCATGTCAGGTTCGATATTTCGGTATTTTGGTTGCAATGTACGTCGCGGTTGTTGTATCCTCCGGATGATGCATTGTATGTTGATGCTGACTTCTAGATTTTCCGCCACCTGTACGTGACGTAGTGCCAACTGCACCGTAATTAACTGACTAGCGCTAGGGGGAGGTCTAGTTTATATACCTGAGGCAGTGAGTCTGTCTTTCTTTAGAGAATTCTAGGTTGACTAAGATTCAGCCGTACGTCAGAATTTCGTTTGACAGCTGATCTGTTGTTGACCGCTTGTTTAGTTGTGAGTGTGTTGCATTCAACTGAAACTAGCTGTGCTCATCGTGAACTTGAAATAGGTTATGGCATGTTTCTGTTTATGCAATGGGGTTTCTCTGTATACTCTTGCTTGACGAAAGGTAAGTCACAGATATATGCATACATCCTTCTTACTTCATTACACGTACCCATTTGGCATTTGCAGTCATTCTCATCTGGCGTCTATATGCCCTATACAACCAATCCAAACCCATACTGTATGTTCTAATGGGCTTGCTTATACCTATCGCCGCGCTCTATATAGCGGTGGATGTATTTTTGTGGAGTCGACCCTCAGCGATCTCAAGTGAATTTCTACTTCAATCGAATTCTGTGCAAGCTGATGCATTGGTGCGTAGTGCAAGAAATAACAATAACCCCAAACATCAAATACTGCACGGCTTTCTTCCATATGGGACCCATGCTAGCGATATATACTTCCATCCCCGTCATATGCTATGATATTTTGCTGGTCGTTCTCGCTATTACCATCCTGGTGAAGCACCTGAAAGAACGGAAGGAGCTTAAAATGAAACCAAACACCTATATAGTCTTGATCGTCCGATACCATGTCATATACTTTGTCCTGTAAGTTCATCTTCGTTTGTTGTCTGAAAGCATTCATTGAGTCGTGCTAGGAATCTGGCAATTCAAATCTTCTCGGCGATATTGTGGGCCAACCTTTCGGTATGATCTCCCATGATTCTAAAGAGGTCTGCTCTAATGCAGGCATGCACAGACGGAAGTGATGGATGTCATACTGTTGTTCTCCGATACTGCGCCATTTATTATCGTGCCACGTCTTATCGTCGATATTTGGGAAACACATGCCAATGATAGCTGTGTGCATGTCAGTACAACATTCGAGGATTGCGTCTGTTGGACTTCGCCACCGCCGTTGGAGGAGCACGAGCTGGAATTCTGTATAGATCCTGACAATATTTCTTGATACTTCATGGGAGCAAGTAGTCCAGGGCTCAATGTTTTCGTGTAACTATGTACTGTCTTTCATTCTATATTTATTTATGTCCCCAGCCACGTCTGGTACCACCCACGACGGGTTGTCGGCAATCAAGCCGACGCCGGTAGCCTGAGCGCTTTTAGTCAGCTGATCCAAGTCAGGCCGGTGCTGCAGGCCTGATTACAACTTGACTAGTAACTATCACCAGACAGCCGAAGGATACCATGTCCCATGAAGATATCATGCTGACCGTTACCTTTCGCGGTACATCGCACACTGTTTTCCTCCCGAATGACGCCCCTCTCTCTGCTCTTCATTCCCGTCTCGAGCTCCTCACTTCTGTTCCGCCATCATTACAGAAACTCATTTATAGAGGAAAGAAATTTCAGCATCGACAGGATGACTCAGATTTAGAACCCACCATGGCCCAAGCAGGTCTTCGCGATGGCATCAAAGTGCAAATGCTTGGCTCAACAGTAGAAGAACTCGGACAACTGAATGCAGCTGACTCGGCACATCAGAAGAAGGAGCAAATTCTCAGAGAGAGGGCGCTAAAGCCACAGGTCAAGGTATGTCCTGACACTTGTTCTTATCATCAAGATTATCAATCATGATGAGAGGCAATTAGCTTCGTTCGACCGGGTCATCGTCTACTTCGTCACACCAGTACCACTTTCACCGTATAGAACCGCTCACTCATCTGCCGCGACCTGAAACAGCGACGGAGTGTCTCACAACTCTTTCCAAGGACCCTGCAGTCCTACATGTCATGCAGAAGCATCGTTTTTCTGTGGGCTTGCTTACCGAGCTTGCACCCCATGAACACCCTGGACTTCTGGGTCTTAACGTCGGGAGTGGAGATACCATCAAGCTGCGAATTCGGCTTGATACGTATGATGGTTTTCGTCCGTACCTGGAGGTCAGGCGCGTGTTGTGTCATGAACTGGCTCACAATGTGTGGGGCGAACATAACAATGATGTGAGTCACAACCTGTATATCAAGAATTAGCTTCTAATACCCTTTTTACACCGCGGTCGTGTACTGCTAGTTTAAAGAGTTAAATTCTCAGCTCAATCGCGAGGTTGCAGAATTTGAGGCTGCAGCAAGAGCAGGAACACATGAACTTTCTGATTTACGAGACACTTATCAGCCGTCATCGGACGGAGAAGTAGAGGCACTTGTCCATGTTCTAGGAGGCACAGACCTTCGAGGTAACGATACCACGGAAGAACATCGGATAAGGGCGTCGGAAGCTGCCACAGCGCGTCTTAGGAACGAAGAACTAGAACGGAGCTGCGGGACTTCTGGACCACAGAAGCAATCTGGTTGATAGCTGAGTTAATGGTAACTACATATATTTCAGGCTAGGGATGGTGGTTTGAATCTGATGATAATTTACTTCTGCGCTAGTATACGGGGTCAGACAATGTCAGTCGTACATTGGCGCCCAATGAATTAAAAGGTGATCAAGCATTCCTTATAGCAAACATTAACATTACCCGCGTAACGTATAGACGTTGCTGACTGGGTTTGCATGTATGAATATGTGCTCCTTCAGAAGTTTGGTGGAACGCCTGGCGATGCAATGATGTCGTTGCTCGTATACTGTGGCAAGTGCGCTTCCAACTTCCGGTGTGTCTGGATTCCCCACTACAGTCAAATCACACACTTGAGGGAAGAGTAGGGGCGGGCTGACAATTTCTCGAGCTGTTGGTTTCTCTAAAAATATGAGGATAGTGCTTACTCTAGTTCGTCGTCACAATGTGTTCCGTACTAGACTCAAGTTGCACTCCCAGCCGGTTTGTAGGCAGCCCAGGTGAACGGGAGAGACAGTTGGACGAGTGAAAAACAGTATCATGCGTATACGTGATAATGACGGGCACTTCCATGATCTTAAGGGCCTCAGGACCTGATTCATACTATCATAGCGGAGAGTCATGATTCCGCACCTAGTAGAAGAGTTTAAAGGTTGGTTTCACGGTTCCCACCGGCCCGGGTCAGCCATAACCAACCTCTTTGGGATCATCGTGCTTCTCCCTTGTTTCCTTGTCTTCATCGTCACAGCTTCTGGTTCGTCGCTTGTGCTGTATCTCGACCACCCCTTGCATCACTTTTGATTCCAGATCTAGAGCTTGCAGGTGAACCGTGACGGGGCGTCTGTTGTGTTGGCAGTACCCTTCGTATGTTTTTTTTGCGTGTCACAGTGTAAGCTAATCTTCATTCAAGAACATTTTGTTCACCAAATCAAGCTACTACTCTTACGTGTATTTTCCCGTTATCAACTTTGTTCTATATGAAGCCGAAACCAAAATATAACTCGACGACTCAGTTACTTTCCTACTCGCAATCGCGACCTCCATGGAACCACGTCGTGATCGACACGTCCGCACAAGCCCCAACATGTAAAGTTTGAATCTGAATCGTCAAACCTGTTATTACCTTCAAACGGCGTCTTTTCATTTCATGCCTTTGTCACGCTGTCGTCCAAAGGTGTAGTTCATGCATCACTCCGATCTTTCTGCTAACATACATTTATACTTTTTAAATGTCAATACCGCTGCCGCGGAGACTATCTTGAGCGACCGAATCCATGGCCAGGGACATTAACTTTACATTCATGAGATAAGTATAATGTACAGGTTCTTCCGAAGATACCCATTCGTGGTCCGTCGTGCGACACTGATAAATAAATATTCAGAAGAAGTAAAACACCTGTAACAGCATGCCTTGCAGCGGTTAGCGCTTGACTAGAATGTTCGGTGCTAGGACCGCTCGCGTTCTAGATTTGGACATGCAAATTTCTGCGGCATTGCATTGTTTTGGTATCGTGAATGTTATTGACCACTCGGCAACTGGCAGGGACGTGCGCCGACGCTTGGTGCTCAACTGTGGTCACAACATCTTTTAATTGTTCCAAAGCGCACATCTCTATGATCTCCCCCGTCGTGATCGACAGTGGCTAGTCGCCATGATTACCCTGTGGGTACAATTCACAAATCAACGCTCCACAACTCATTGATATTATTTAAAGCGTGTTGTGGGGGTACCAAGGAACTCTTAAATACGCTCGTCGAATTGGCATTTCCGTACCCTTCTCCTCATTCTTATCTGTCAGGCATGGTCGCTCAATCTTCTTCTGAACCTCATTCCAGCGCTGCATCCAACGCCCCCGTCATAATGTCTACCGTAGTCGATGCTGGCATTGCGAATCCTTGCTCAGAGACCCCCGATCCTCAATACCCTTCTGCCTCGGAGCCGGCCGACCCTCCAGCACCTGCTCAGGTGTCCACCTTCACGCACTCCGGCCCAGCAGAGGTGGTCCGAACTACACCGGTGTCATGCACGTATGGCCCCTTTCGTGTTTGGCGCACGTTGGGCCAGGGCACGTACGGCGTGGCGGTGGGAGCTGAAGATGTAGCGTCGAATCGCTTGTTGTGTATTAAGGTCTTTCCAAAGCACCATCTTGAGCGCAAATCCAGGAAAGATGTTCTTCTGAACGAACTCGAAGCGTACAAGCGTCTTTCATGCGCGTTTCTGTGTCCCGCGGCTAGATTTCTCATGGGGCTCGAGATGTCGTTCCAGACCGAGGATAAAATATGTTTTGCAATGGTGCGTCCTCCTCCCCTGCGACCCGTTTCAGTCATCTGACTCCATCGGATGTCTGTAGGACCTGATGGCGAGCGACCTGTATAGCTATCTGCAACGTTATCCTGCGTACTGCGTCCTCAATGCTGGCAGGTGGGCTGCACAAATGGTAAGCAGTCGTCTTTCCTGGTCTTCGACATCTCACGTCTCATGCCTCCTCCGACTTCGAAGACCCTTGGGATCAACGCTCTGCACGAGATAGGGATCATCCACCGGGACATCAAAGCCGCGAACATCCTGATCGATGCTCGAGAGAACGTGCGCATCACTGACTTTGGCGTGAGTTATGTAGACAAAAACGAAGGACCCTTGGACCGACGGCGGAATTATTGTTCGCAAGAGGCGGGAACGACGCACACCATGGCACCGGAGGTCCTGCCCAACATATCCGGCCCCCATCCTTTCAAGTACGGAGCACCCGCAGACTGGTGGTCGTTAGGCTGCGTCCTCTACGAGCTCGTGTCGAAGAAGCACAAGGCACGTATCGAGTCTTCCTTCGCTGCTATCTTACTGATATCATCTCATCAGTCACTCTTCGTTACAAAGGATGACATACTTTCTTACCTTTCTTGGTGCTACCATAACCGCGACAGACCATCCAAACGGTTCCCTGCCTTTGAAGAATTACATGAAACTCTTGCGGATTTGATCTCTGGGGTAAGCTTTTGTCTTGTTCGTTTTACGGCACCATCACTCATCTTTACCGTGGTAGCTGCTGCAACCCGTCCCGTCATCGCGGTTTGGGTTCGCTGAAGTCGTAAATCATAGATCGTTTTTGTTGAAACCCAACACGTCAGAATTCTCCGACGCATACTCTCGCGGTGAGTTGAATCTGATTTGTCTGCGAACATCATGCTAAAACCAGATTGCAGCGCTTGAGCGCAAAGAATTTCCATCTTTGCTGCCAGACTTACGATGTGGTCGAGAGACCAATGCAGCGGAGATCTGGTTTTGCCAACCTTCCTGGGAGAAATCGCACGTTCCGGATGTGGACTGGGTCAAGCCGGCGCTTTATTCTCCGTCCCTATGATGGCCCTTCAGTCCAGTCGCTCTGTCACTACGTCTGCCTTCCTTCTTCAAGTTGTTACAAATAATCTTATGTAAAATGCATCTGTCTCTCGGTTCACATACATCTTTCAGTATCAATCTACTGTTTGTTCCATATCTCCCGGGACCCAGGCAGTAGTGAAATTGGCATGGGTATTCAAAGAATTGAGTTTATAGTTGTAGCTGATTTCAGCAGATTGAGTACGCCACGTTGCTACTCAAAGCGCGCCATCCGAACATCGACAAAGTACTAAAGGAAGGTCTCCGCACCAACATTCTCTCCTTCTCTTCGAACCCAAATTTCTATGGACACGAAGCGAGACTCCTCACACATAATCGACCCGACCCGAAGACTGCACTTGGGTTCAAAGCGCTCAGGCTGATTGATTGCTGGTAACCCGTCGTAGGCGGTACAAGACGTGGCTGAGGACATAAACAAATATAGAATGGAAGATAGTACACAGTTACACGAAAACATTGAACCCTGGACTACTTGCTCCCATGAAGCATCAAGCAAGGTTGTCGGGATCTATACGGAATTCCAACTCGTGCTCCTCCAACGGTGGTGGCGAAGTCCAACAGACGCAATCCTCGAATGTTGTGCTGACATGTACACAGCTTTCGTTCGCATGCGTTTCCCAAATGTCGATGATAAGACGTGGCACGATAATAAATGGCACACTATCGGAAAACAACAGTACGACATACATCACCGCTGTCTGCCAGTGTGCATGTCTGCATTAGAGCAGACCTCTTTAGAATTATGAAACATCATACCGAAAGGTCGGCCCACATTATCGCAGAGAAGATTTGAACTGCCAAATTCCTAGCACGACTCGATGAATGCATTCAGACAACACAATAAACGAAGGGGAACTTACATGACAAAGTATATGACATGATATCGGACGATCAAGACTATATATGTGTTGGGTTTCATTTGAAGTTCCTTCCGTTCTTTCATGTGCTTCACCAGGATGGTAATGGCGAGAACGACCAGCAAAATATCATAGCATATGACGGGGATGGAAGTGTATATCGCTGGCATGGGTCCGGTGTGGAAGAAAGCCGTGCAGTACTTGATGCTTGGGGCTATTATTATTTCTTGTACTACGCACCAAGGCATCAGCTTGCCCAGAATTCGATCAAAATAGAAATTTACTTGAGATCGCTGAGGGTCGACTCCACAAAAATACATCCACCGCTATGTAGAGCGCGACGATAGGTATAAACAACCCCAGTAGAACATAAAGGATAGGCTTGGATTGGTACAGGGCATATAGACGCCAGATGAGGATGACTGCAAATGCGAAATTGGTACGTAAAAAGTAAGGATGTATGCATATGACCGTGACTTACCTTTCGTCAAGCAAGAGTATACAGAGGTACCCCATTGCATAAACAGAAACGTGCCATAACCTATTTCAATTTCACGATGAGCAAAGCTAGTTTCAGTTGACTGAGATATACTTACAACTAAACAAGAGGTCAACAGCAGGTTAGCTGTCAAACGAAATTCTGACGTACGACTGAATCTTAGTCAACCTAGACTCATTCTCTAAAGAAAGACAGACTCACTGCCTCAGGTATATAAATTTGACCTCCCCCTGGCGCTAGTCAGTTAATAACAGCTCAGTTGGTATACCTCACGTACAGCAGGCGGAGAACCTAAAAGTCAGCGTCAATATACAATGTCCATCTGAAGGACACAACAACGTGACGTACATTGCGATCAAAATACCGAAATATCGAACCTGAAAATAGTAACAAAATGGGAAACTATGAAGCACTTTGGCAGGGTGGAGCTCACAGCAAGGTATAGACACGTCATCACCGACCACTGTCTTTCCTACATATCTAGTCAGTTCCGGATCTTGATATCATTCAGGTTCAACTCTAACCCAAACAAACTTGACCTATGATGATACGATCATGAGTACTCGACAAAGACAAAACGAGCTTCTCGGTACCTCTTTCTCGAATTGAAGTACTAGATAACATTACGGTCAACAGCACTGCAAGATTCATGCAAGCTACTAACTGTATTCATAAGATATGATGGTGATGACAGCAACTGGAAAACGACGAAATTCAGCGCAGTGGTTCATTTCCGACAAAACTAACGAACCTGACATGCTGTTATTCCATTGAAGAGCATAGAGAGATGCTTCTATTTCTGACATGAAACTGTGAAGATCGAATTGCAAATTTAAAGAATGAGGGGTGGGCTCATGGGCTCATGGTCACCAACGTACAATACTTATACTAGGGCAGGCTAACTCCTAAGGGTTGGTGACTTGCTGTGTCCTAAGGAAAATAGTACGAAATCGTGTCGAGCTTGTGACGCCGCATTTTTCCATCCGATGTCGCGAATCACCGTAACTGTACTGAATAATTCACCGCCAGCGACAAGGTCCAATGGGAAGGTCGTAAATACATTGATGATCACACGGCTGACAACTCGAAGGGTCACCCTGCGTCACCGGAGGTTATAACTGCTCATTGGGTTGTCCGACCCTCCAAGTTGCTCAGGCCCAGGTACCAAAGGCGGTGCTCGACATGTGCTGGAAATAATCAAATGAAGTCCCACCACCAGCCATACAACCTTGACAAGCAAGTGCATGATCCGAGATCAAACCTCGCAGCAAGTGAAGTATTTGCAGGCACTTTAGATGTTGATGTCCATATGGTAAAGTGATGTCTTGAGGAAGACTATCGCGATCAGGGAAGTACTTAGTGTAAATGATTTCGTTGCTCGTATACTGCAAGTGCGGCCAAGACGCTTCCAACTTCCGGATGTCTGGATTCCCTATCACAGTCAAATTCTCATTGACAAACACTTGAGTAAAGAGTAGGGGCGGGCTGACGAAAATTCTCGAGCTGATGGTTTCTCTACAAATGAGGATAGTGCTTGCTCTAGTTCGTCATCGACAATGTGTCCCGTAGAAGTTGCACTAGGAGCCAGTTTCTAGGCAGCCCAGGTGAACGGGAGAGACAGTTAGACAATTGGACGCGCGTACGAGTGCAAGACAATATCATGCGTATACTTGCATGGGCACTTCCAAGGTCTTCAGGCCTTCAGCTTCAGGACTTGGTCCTATCAATCATACTATCACAGTCACTATCTGGAGTAGTGTTTATTGCCTCGGGTGGTTGTGACATGCCGCAGTGTTGTGGAGAACTGGCATTGTCTGAAAGCAACTTTCCATCGGAAAGCCTGAGAAAGTCATACAAAATATTCCGGTAGCAATATGACGTTAACGGTTGAGCTCAAGGACGAGAACGACGACGTACACCAAGGTTGCATTGCTCACGCTCACAAACTTCAATCATATATTTTGATTGTATTACAGTGCGACAACCAGATTATGCTTGATTACAATAGCCATGGCAAGTACAATATCAAGGACTCACTGGTTCACTGATTGGCACAACACATAATGACAGTAGCATCCTCATACAATCATTAATTCACTAGTGCGCCATCCGAGTTATGTGCATAATGGTGGGTACTATGGAAACAATGCAGATGTGATAGAAAAAGAATACAAGCGAAAGCAGACGTGACTTGCAGTAACAGCAACGAGGAGATAAGAGCGAGAGCAGATGAATTGTAGCATTTAAGTGATAGGACCACCAGCTGCGAAATCGGTCACGGACGATGGACGTCGACTGGACCAGTAAGCTCAGCAACAATCTATTTGACTTTGTATAGAAAAATTGTCAGGGTTGAAACTGGAGTACCGAGTATAGTACACAATTAACATGGGGAGGAAGCATCGGAAGCAACTGCACCGCTCAGGAGTTAGAGCTGGGGTGCTTGGTATAGTACACAACACGAGCGCAGAGCATGAGGAAAGACGCATCAAAAAACAGGAAGCTTGGCCCGAACATCATCTACTTCTTTTCTGTCAAGTCCTTCGCTGCGTGCTTTTCGTAAACTTCGACTTCCAGGTTCACAACGAGAAGAGGGACGTACACAATCGATTTTCAAGTATGAAGTCAAGAACCTTCTTTCCCAGTTCCTCTCTGTGGTAGCCTTGACGACAAATCTCTTTTGCTACTTTCTCTACTGCGGCAACCATGGGAGATTTCAGGTAGTAGCTCACAGCAGACTCGACGAGCTCCGAGCCATCCGACTTGTCTGGGAGAAATGCAGAGTACTCGAGGACGATAATGGTAGCTGCTTCCTGTGATTAAGACTACAACCGGTCGTATGGTGAGAAACTAACCGATGCCAGTCTGAATTATTCTGTTCACAGAAGAAGTGAACAGTGAACCCTTCACAGCCTGTTGCACACTGGTCAGTGGTATAGTGTTGGGAATCAATGCGGGGGAAGCCAACCTACCAAGGGCTGAAGGACGTGGATGATACCATTTTGGTGGGTTTCGGCCTAGCCACAGGTTGAAAGTATGGGTATCAGAATCGACTCCACAGGGGAAAGTACTTGCCCCCTGCGGGAAAGGAATGTCAGAATTATGAGGCGGAAAATTGGCATTTGATTAATAACAGGGACACACATTCTATTTGGTTGACATGACAGTCGTGAATAATCAACCACCATATTGTAGACAATGACTGCTATGCTCAGGTAACTTACAAACTGTCAGGGGTTGGAACCAGATGAGCATCCCTATATGTTGGCGAATACCATTCATGGACGTACGAGCTAGATAAGATTGTCTGTCAGTGGAGTAATATGATGTAAGACAGATATGATCAACACACATTCTGCGAACACGTGATGAAGACAAGAGATTATGTGGCTAAAATCACTGACGATTGAAATACACTTACACCCTACAGATCGACAGAGTCAGTCGAAATGATTGAGACATTGAACGCTTCACATTATGAAGGTCAAACGACTTACATTCTGCACAGGACACGAAAATATGCAAGATGAATGAACATGGAAAATAAGTCTTCAAGGAGGGATACTCAACGAACTAAGCATTATATGAGCAACGATGATTCGACTCATCGGATGGAATAGAGCACGCTTACATTAGGCTATGAAAACGAGTGAACATCATTACATTATTCAGCACCATCTCAATACAAGATATGATCAAGACATGCACCACCTGCCAAAAAAACAGTAAGATGTAAGACGTGTCCACATGAGTTGCAGACAGAAAACCATCAAGGCACTCACCTCCTGTCAACAGGTAAGGAGCAGCGATTGTCAGCATGGGCTACTAAGGATGAGAAACCATCAAAAGTACACACATTCTGTCAACAGGCAAGCAGCAGCGAGGGATGGGGATCATGAGCATGGGTCGAGGACTCGAAACCATCAAGGCACTTACCACCTGTCAACAGGCGAGCAGCAGCGAGGGATGGGGATCACGAGCATGAGTCGAGGACTAGAAACCATCAAGGCACTTACCACCTGTCAACAGGCGAGCAGCAGCAAGGGATGGGGATCATGAGCATGAGTCGAGGGCTAGAAACCATCAAGGCACTTACATACTGTCAACAGGCGAGCAGCAGCGAGGGATGGAGATCATGAGCATGGGTCGAGGACTAAAACCATCAAGGCACTTACCCCCTGTCAACAGGCGAGCAGCAGCGAGGGATGGGGATCATGAGCATGGGTGGAGGGCTAGAAACCATCAAGGCACTTACCACCTGTCAACAGGCGAGCAGCAGCGAGGGATGGGGATCATGAGCATGGGTCAAGGACTAGAAACCATCAAGGCACTTACATTCTGTCAACAGGCGAGCAGCAGCGATGGATGGGGATTATGAGCATTGGTCAAGGACTAGAAACCATCAAGGCACTTACGGACTGTCAACAGGCGAGCAGCAGCGATGGATGGGGATCATGAGCATTGGTCGAGGAATAGAAACCATCAAGGCACTTACCCACTGTCAACAGGCGAGCAGCAGCGAGGGATGGGGATCATGAGCATGGGTCGAGGACTAGGAACCATCAAGGCACTTACATACTGTCAACAGGCGAGCAGCAGCGAGTGATGGGTATCATGAGCATGGGTCGAGGACTAGAAACCATCAAGGCACTTACCAGCTGTCAACAGGCGAGCAGCAGCAAGGGATGGGGATCATGAGCATGGGTCGAGGACTAAAAACCATCAAGGCACTTACATACTGTCAACAGGCGAGCAGCAGTAAGGCATCAGCGTTGTCCCTGCGTAGCTTCGTAAGCCATGATCTTACCAGCTGTCATCAATAAACAACTACAATCAAGGAAAACATGTCAGAATGTTAACAGTTTCAGCGCTTCGATATTTACCATCTGTGAGCACCATTACCAGGGAATCGTCAGATTGAATCAATCTTCGTCTTACTTTGAGATGTGGAAACCACTTAGCAATGCTATACTGATATTCTTCATCGTCGATTTGCTTATGTGCACGATCAACGAGTGTTCTAGATGATGTTGGAACAAGAATGCGTGACTTGCAAATATGAGACTCACGCGATGGCGCACTTGATGCAAAGCTCCATGTTCGATTTTTGTGTCAACACCAAACACAACCGCAATTCTTCATTATCCAGTGCGAGAGTGGTGCTTTCCAGTAGAGTGTCGCAGTTTGTATTCTGTTTGTTCATATCTAGGACGGTTGCTAATGTCAACTTTGACATGGGACAAATCAATCTGAACCACTCACTTTGCAAACGTACATAGGACTTGGGACGCGCACGGTTTTCGGGGTTGTACAACCGATCCAAGACACGTGTCTTAATGAACAGTTCCTCAACGCGCTCGGCAATCCTCTTTGAGCGCTCTTCACCCAATACCCCTTGTAGTTGCTTCTTGATTTCACCATACGCGACTGGACGCAGAGCTTCGAACTTGGTGAACACTGCGACAACAGGAACTAAAGATCGATCATTCGGTCCCAGCACGGCAACTGATGATGAAGTTGCAAGCTCACCGTGCCCAGTGTCGCACTCCTGGAAGAACTTCTCTTCCGACCGCTGGAATGTTTGCCAATGGTCGTCCATGGGAATACAATACCTGATGGCAATCAAAAAGCGCGGAACGTCGGAAGGGGGCTGCTTACCATATGGCGTGAATTCGCTCCTCTAATTTCGTCGCATGTGCGCATTCTGATATAAATTTCTTCATGCTCTCAAATTCTTCTTCAGACCCTGCTTCGAAACCGCAGGAGTCATGAAAGACAAAATCGGGATTACTTTTGAATACCATCTCATTCGTGATGTCATGATTTCCACGCTGAACATTTGTCAGCGCATGTATGCCCACAGGGCAAATGATACACACACCTTGATCGAGGAATTCACGATGGTAGTATCGATCTACCCACAATCTATCAGCGATACACGCATCCACGGCATAGATCATCACCCGCACCTTGTTTCCTTTGGTATCGTAAATTTCTGGTTGATCAGTGGTGTTGCAGACCTTCTGAAGGATGGTCGTTTTGCCTGCGTTTGCTCTCCCCATGATCAGAACTCGAAAGCGCTTCATCATCCTTCTGAGTTTCTGAGCTTCGGTGGTTGCCATCGGGAGATCTTGATGTGCGTCCTGAAGAAGAGGTAATTTGGTTTATCGTGAAAGCTGTACTGCGGTACAGAACGAGGTCGTGGCGAAATATGGCAGCGAACGAACATGAAGCAAGGGTTCTTATGGCTTGTGGTACAACAGCTACATACGGCGTCTATCTCTTATCTATCTCCCTGCAACAGACCACTGATTATACCGGTACCCTCGCATAGACACGAAGTTGCAGCTGTTCAATTGTTCGTACAATAAGTTGAAAGCACGAGGATTACACAACAAATGATGAGAACAGTGTTAGGGATATGAACTATGATGAATGATCAGAATACGACGGACATGACAGAACTTCGCTCTTCCCTATACCCGTCTAGCTGAGAGCAGTGATATCGGAAATCTTAGTAGGTGAGCTCGATCTTCTAAATGGTTGATCTTTGCAACGTCTGAGAGCAAATGAGAGCATGTCAGTATGTGAGACAGCCTCTGGAATGGGTGACGTCCCGTGCTGTTCGACAGGGTCCGCACGTATGGAGTTTTCCCGGAAGATGGTGGTTCTGGGTATGAACTAAGGGGCAATTAGGTGCCGTGTATGATGGCTGAACTCAGATGTCGACCACGCTCATTGGTACTGAGGGAAAGGCAGATGTGGCGGGCCGCAGGAGCTTGTGTGTTCATAGATAGCTCGGGGCATGTTTGATACACGTTCGCGGATGAGTCCGACTGTCCATAAATTGGCGCATATACTGTCAGGTATCAAAGAAGACGTACCGGTCAACATACACAAAGATTCTCAGGCTGGCGTGCGTCTCACTGGACTACAATGAAATCCGCCCCAAAAACCCTTGGATATGCACTCATGAGCACAACATTAATGGACAAACTTCTTGCAGCATGAAGAGTCGCAGTGTGCGCCACCACCCGACCCAGCCCTCCTTCGACTCTTCCCTCATTGCTGGTCCCTACTGTGATGAGTGATGTCGTTCAGGCTGGCTCCTTATAGGAGCATAGCGAGCTCCCCGGTGTCTTTTAATGGTATTGAGATCGCATTGAGATCATATAGCTCCAACCGTCATGATGTAAGTGATGAAGTATGTGACCCTGCGCCTCGAACATACAAAATAGCATGCTTTTGCAAGAACACGATCAGTATAAGGACTCGCGGTGCAAGCCAAGACTCACTAGTTTGAAAGATATGTGTGACTGTATGCCGGACGTAAAAGGTAGAATTTGACAGCGGGGAATGTGGATACCCTCAAGCGAAGGTGTGAACTGCAGTGGGAATCTGGGTTGTGTGACTGCTTCTATGCTGAGCTCGATGTCTTCGTCATCTAGACCGGCTGTTTGCATCCACAAGGCAAACATGAGGGAGTGACCACTGACGAAGATCATTACGCTTCACGTGCGTAAAAAATCCTCCGTAAGGACACGCTCATCCACTAGGGATGCGAGAACACCGTTGTCATTAGGTGTGGTAGCGGTAGATCTGGGGACGGAGATCGTTGTGTAATCACATGTTGGGAAAGTGAGATGGGAGGGCGGACCATATATCGCTGTGCCGGGAATGTCTCCAGAGGTGTCGTAATCTGCGAAATGGTTCTCCTGTACAGATAAATTGAAATCATAAGTTATTGTAGTAAAAAGCACAAGAACAGCAAAACGAACCTCTATACCAGGATCATGATCCGGTTCATCCTGCTGGACAGGTTGTGGGTCCCGATACCATGCTAGCATGTATCCTTTTCTCTTTCAGAGAACACGTCCCCCTCGTATCGGGACCTCTACATGCCGTCTCCACGTTCCATAAGGTACTTGGTGCAGCTGGCTCTTGCACAATCTCTCGCAATTGCAGTGATATTTTTTGGTGTTACTGAATCTGTAAAAGAATGTGGAGTCATGGTGTGTCGACAAAGGTATGTCTTGCCGACACGAGACGCTGACAGAACGCAGGTCACAGATAACTGAGATAAGTTCTGTGCAACATGTGCTCTGCCTGCGTTTCGTGTGTTGTGAGTAATGATAGAGACGATAAATAAAATGGCAAAATTCAAACATTGAGTCACATGACAGGTATTCGATCATTCTGCATACTCCATCACTCGAACTCACAATTGCCAGATAGTTAACCCCTGAACAAATACCTCCACCGAAATCTCCCATAGCAATGTAGCGCCCGATCAGTAGAGACAGTTCATAGTCTACTTTTTGTTGACATGCACCCTTCAAATCGGAACGTGCATGCACAAAACAACTCAAACCGGCGCCTCCTCCATCACCAAAAGTCCCAAATCTAGATATGGCAAGCGCTTGCCATATCATACGACAACACTGGGGAACAGATCCATCAGACAGGCCAGGTACCACCAGATCAAATTTGTCCAGATAATGTCTGCTCCTAAAACTGACTTTCTGCTCGCTGGCCATCATCCTGCTGAATTTTCCGCCACACGCTGGCTATATCTAAGTCATGCTAACCTTCTGTTATCTAGATGTTGTAAAGCCCATAAACTGGTTTGATGCTCGATGTCGTATTGTCTGGTGGCTGCGTTCAAGTCATGCCAAGCTAGATATTGCAAGACTTAGAAACTCGTTTGACTCTCAATCACCAGTCATCTCCTGAACATCCCGTCATCTGTTGGCCAGCATCTAAGTCCTGCTGAACTTCCATCGTCTAGGTATTGTATGAACAAGACGCGCTCAGCTGCTGAACATTCACCTATATGCTAGTTCCTGCTGATGCCTTATCAGATCTGTCATACAATATAAGCACATATCATTCTGCTCGTACAGTAGTAGTTGAACATGTAAAAACACTCATAACCAGGGAAGTTGTCATATCCCATATTCCGGACTTACATCCGACAATATTCCCACGCCTCATCCGGACCTTCGGACACCCTATCCATGTCTCCAGTCCTCTATCCATCCGGATCCCTGCACCTCTGCACATCCACATCCACATCCACATCCCTTTACCTCCATACCTCAGCTAGCCTGCATCAGTCATCCTTTGTCCCATCACCCTAATGTCATATCCCATATATCCACGCGTCTCATCCGGACGTCCGGTCCGATCCGATCCGATATACGATAAGCTTCTTAATTCATTTCCTGTGCATATAACGTTAACACAGCCTATTCCTCTATTTGGTATTCCTTGTCCTTGGTATCTCGGTTATACTTACTACCGGTATGCTTACTGATCCGTTAACCTATGCTTCATTTCCGACTCGCGCTTGATAACTTTGCTTATGCTTCATACATAGCCTCAGACACTTGCTTACTGATCTTTCCGTTATTTCCTTAGTATATAAACTCTTGTATATGTCCTGTAGTTGCTCAGTCTGAATATCATATTAGTCCTCGCACTAGATCTCACTCTAAGTCCTCATATCAGTTCTAGTCTATCGACTTAGTCTATATCCATCTCGGGCCTAGGGAGAAATTCCCTAGGCCAGAGCTCCGCTTATCCGCTCATCCGCTTATCCGCTCATCCGCTTATCCGCTCATCCGCTTATCCGCTCATCCGCTCATCCGCTCATCCGCTCATCCGCTCATCCGCTCATCCGCTCATCCGCTCATCCGATCCTCCGAAGTTTCCGGACGTTCGTCCGAAACTTTCCCGCGGTTCTCCGGACCTATTCTGCTTTGGACTTTGTCCTTGCAGCCTTTCCTCTGTTTGCTTCTACTTAGGACTTGTCCTAAGTAGCCATTACACATATCCGTATCAGGACAAAACCTCATCGTAATTTCCGGAAGTTCCTCCGGAACTTTCCCGCACTCGTCCGGAAGTTACTTGCACTCGTCCAGAAAGTCCTTCCGAACTTTCCCGCGCTTCGGACGTCCTTCGGACATCATTCTGAAATTAAGGGCACATACTCGGGTAAGGGGCGCAGCGCACGAGCTGAAGCCAAGCCCCTCGGAATCAGTCCTACCCTTTGTGCATGGTCTTAACAGAAGTAGTACAACTTGAACTGAGGATGGTCGCAGTGCGGCAGAAAGCAAGTAGGATCAATATCGAAGATGCTGAGCAAATATGAGACACTCGAGTGATAGTAATGATGTGCAACGAACGAGAGGAGGGCATAATCATGTCAAAACTGCATTGTTCGTTCAGACGAGTCACTAGGCACAATAGGAGTAAGAACCAACCTGAACACATCAATTTCTGCCCTTGCGTGTCTTCTTCGAGGTTGTGGTAGTCTTGCAAGCCTTCCTAGCACGCTTTGATGGAGCAGGCATGTCGGTCTCATCTTCAGTGAGAGGATTGTCATCTTGGAATTCCCCCAACATTCGTTTTAGAGACTCTATTTCTGGGTCAATGGAACTAGGTGTCGCAGATGGAGATGCGAGGGGCGGAATTGGTGGGTCAGCAGCCTCGGATTGTCGCATAGAAGTTGGGGGCACAGCAGTGTCTTCGGCAGCAGCTGGGGTAGCAGCTGCATTCTCGGGCAATCGTGTCTGAGTGTTAGAGGCAGTTAGTATTGGAGAATGATAGAGTAAATTTGAACCTTCTGATGCACAGCCACCATGCGCATTTCGTGCTGTCTCTGCATGACAACAAGGTCATCATCTTCATCATCCTCGGTCAAATCAATCACGACGAGGCCATGCTTGTTACCAAATACCGTCCTTCACAAAATTAGTGTGATGCCAAGGTAAGAGCAAAAATGGTACTCAACTGGTTCCACCACTGAAGCAGCGACTCTGCCCATGTTTGATCAGGTGCCTCTCTGATTGCCTTGATGAAGCGGGTGTATGCTTCATTGTACTTATAGCAACCATCGGTTTCATGCCACTTGTCACGCGTGGCAATACTGAATCGGCTCTATGACATTTTTTAGATAGTCATTGAAATATATTAGAGCACGTACCTGGACGAATGCATAGGCAATATGTTCAGGCTCGACCTTTTCCATGCCATGTAACTTGGCATTACATCCACGACTCGGAATAATCTCTCCATCTGGAACAAGCGCAGATGACGGAGATGTAAATATGTGACGAAAAACCTAAATACTACATGAGATGTTGTTGATAAGGCAATAGTAAGCGTACCCGTTTCAAATAATAGCCCTTTGAAAATCCCTCCTGAACATTGTCTGGGTCGAAGTCTTTTCCTGGCGGAGTACCTTCATATATAAATGCAGGCCATGCAGCGGAGTGAATCCTGATAACCCCATTCTGAAGTTCAGCTTGTACCCTGAAAGTCGCCAATAAGATGATGAACGGTCATAGATTTCATACGTACTTTTTAGGGTCCTCATGATATGCTTTTGCATGCTTGATAGGGCACAGCATTGCAGCGAGTTGAGGGTGGTTCACACCAAGTAATGCGCTGTAGAGACTCATGCCTCTCATTGCATGATATGGCAGTATTCACTAGGGAGTACATAGCACGAACTTGTAGCATCACTCTGTGTGCTATCCACAGCTATTCCCTTATGAGGCGCAGCTTTCCCGCGCAAGGCGCAGCAAGCGCGCACGACTTCCTGCGCTTTACCATGTATATACGCGCGCGCTTTCCCGCGCTTGAGCGCCCTATAGCGCCAGCCATCCGGAAGCATCCATCCACTGTCCACCAAGTTCTCTAGTGCGTATGTTTCCATTTCTCTTATCTGTGTATCGTTCCACCTTTATTTTGGACCCTTACTTACATATAGCTTTACATACCTTACTCGGTAGCGCTTCGGCTCCGCATGACAGCGCTTAGGCGCCGTATATAAGCGCCAGCATTACATACTATTACGAACTTTCGAACTTTGGACTCTACCTCCCACTTACCACCCACATACTACCTAGGAGAACATAGTAGAAATCTATTCTTTGACACCTCGCACTCGTATCTCTTGTCTAGTATCTAATCACCACTTAAGCAAACTCACTCTTACTCTCTCTCATTACCGCTCACGCGCGCACCTTCGCTTTCCCGCGCCTTGCGCGCACCTGCGCGCTTTCCCGCGCTTCGCATTGGCCGACCAGTAGCACCTTCAGCGCCTACTACCAGATCCTTGCTGCACTCGCTTCCCCTTTAGGGTCGAACGCACTTGTCGTCTCAAGTATAGCAGACTAGGCAACGCGCGACCTCACAACATTTACAGATACAGTCAGGAGCATCATTTGTTCCTCTCAGTATTGTTGTTTCTACAGCGCAGGATTTGTTGTCAGCGTAAATCGGAGGTTCCAGCCCCTTGTCTGAAGGGTCTGGGGCTGCATACTGCGCTACACAATTCTTAAGGTGGCTAGCGTCGTCAGAGCGTGCCTGACCCATAATGACTTGCATCTTCTTAGGTTTAGAGGTAAGATCACCAAGGGTACATCACCAGAGGCTTACCTCGGTAAGGATAGCGTGCAGCTCCGTCTGTTGTTTGACATTTCCATGTGCAAGTTTGCGCAAGTATGGGGCTCCAAGTAAGATCTTCGAGTAATTTCTCATGTGTCATTCTTGGGCATCTTTACCCCTGTAAACATGGTAGTCAGGAAGTGAAAATAATGGAACGTCTAAAGTCATACACGTAAGACAGGACTTGGTCTCGCTGCGCCTTGACATCTTCATCTTCTGAGTGACCCGACACCTTAGAAGCCTCTTCCTCTTCCATTAGCATCGCAATACGGAATGTATCAGTTAAGCTACAAAACATATCGATGACACGAGGGATCCAGCGTGCAAAGTGCAAGCACTGTTCCCTCGCGGTGATGCTGCCTTTCCTATTGGTAAAAGGTGACGCAGTGCCTTTTGCATATTATCAAGTCAACCTACCTTTGGTTATTTATCGTGCTGCGAGTATAATAGATCAGCTCAGTTAGTATACCAGGTTATTGTGCAACGACTTACTTGTTATGCTTTGCTTTAGACTTGGCCTTTGGATCTTGTGTCGGTGGTGATGAGGCATCCAAGCTGGGGGCCAACTCAGACTCGGAGTCGCTGTCCAATTCGGACGGTGTCAGTAAGCGAGTGGCTGCACTGGAAGATTTGTGAGCAGACATAAGAGAAAATGTGGGAAGACGTTTGCATCAAACGCTCACTGACCACTGCACTAGTACTAGTAGCATTATCATAGTTGCGGTACCATCAGGTACGTCATGCACTTGACCAGTTTTGTCCCAGGTAAGGTCGCCGCTCCTGAAACGGGATGTTTTTCAGGGAAGGGAGGTGGGGTGTTAATCCGGATCATTACCTTACAATAAAAAGTGGGGAGTGACCAGATGCTAGTTATTAAGCAATGAATCAATAAATCCATATGGATATAATTCAGCTCACCATGCTCCACATACTTTGGGATCCGACAGAGTGACACATTACAATGCAGGGTCGATAACGGCCCAAAAGAATCTCTGAAATGGAGCACAAGTCAGGCTAAGTCCCAATAATTTAAAAGCCTTACACTTGACGGAGTAAGCAAGAAACATGTCATCTGACTGTGACACCCTTAGCAACAACTCCCGCCCCAGCGACTTCAATGATGGGCTCGAGGCAATCTTAGCGAATGCTGACTTATTTGAGAACCGTTCAAACAGGTCTACTCCAGAAAGTCACCAGGGATGCACTAGGCATCCTGGCCATGGGCAAGGCGCTCCAGTATATTCCTGTGGATGCTATAAGCATGATATGCTATCCGGAGGGTTCAATCCTGACGACTGGCCTCCTAACAATGAGCAGGCGTTTCAGCTTGTAGATGAATTTCAACTTGGAGCTGAACGGCACGAACAACCAGAGCCAGTATGTATCTATGGATTATAGTTAGCTGCTTTGACAACTCCGATTTCAGCAGTTAGAAGCTCCAAGTCGAGATGGTCTTGAAGACGCTGATGAATCTCATAGAAAGCGAAAAAGATCTGAAGATAATGGTGTGAGTGTGCTGGCTCAATTTTTCAGCCGATGCACTCACAGCTACATGCAGACTCCATGCAACTTAGGCCGTGACGTTACTAACACACAAGCAATGTCAGTACCTATCATCGAACTTCCACCTGAGAAACGCAGGAAGATCGGAAGAAATTTTGAGTTATTTGAAGGCAGATTGCTGGCAAAGGTCATGCAGGAAGTCATGGGAGTGCGTGAGGCTATGAGTAAGATCGAAGCAATCATCAACAGGCAAAATGAAGTTCTTCATGAAATCTGTAACGCTATTGAAAACCATGGGATGTGAATTGTTGTATATAGACTCACCGTACTAGTGTAACAACAATCAGTATTTTAACGAAGGTGCATGCCGTTGGGCTGATAACAATGGGTAATGTCGAAGATACAATCCTCAAATCTTTTTGAGGCCTGGCTGGTGGATGAGCGTGACAGAAATGCCCTTGAAGAAGTTCTTCAACTGCCTGAACTCAGTGAATCTGGGCAGAGGTCTGGTGCACGAACATTGTTCTGCTTGAGAACAGCAAGAGCGGCGGTCTGAAACCTGCCAGCCGGTGGATGAGTGTGACAGAAATGCCCTTGAAGAAGTTCTTCAACTGCCTGAACTGCGGCAAATCTGGGCAGAGGTCCAGTGCACGAACATTGTTCTGCTTGAGAACAGCAAGAGCGGCGGTCTGAAAGCTACCCTGCTTGAATCTGAGATTTAGATTTACATGAGTGTTAATGTATAGTGATTGTTGAGACAGGCTTGCTTACATGACCGCTGTCGACACATCAATGTTCTTTCCAATGGTAGGGTGAACACTCCTAATAATTGTATGTTGGTCAAATGTGTGTCGCCACAGAGATCCTGAGCTTACTGGAAGTATCCGCGCCACAGTTCTAAACCTTCACCCAGGGTCTGTATCCCAGCATCTAACCTCTTACGAGTTCTTGAAGGTAAGGGGCTCCTGTAATGATCTTCTTGAACGTCCGGAGCATCTGGTCCTGCATGTCTTTGGATCTTGTCACTGTTAGCAGTAAATAAACACAAAAATATCACTTACATGTTAGCTAAGAGAGTACTGTGTGTCGTCTGCATCAGAGTCATTGTCCAAGTGAGCATGTGCATCCTCGATAATAGGTGCAATGCGAAAGACATCCTTTTTATGGCTAATATGCAATATTAGTCAATATATGCGTGCATATAGGTGAAAAAAAACTTACGATCATGGACATTTAGATGCCTTAGCCTTGACATTGCGTATTTCAAGCTCTTCTTCACTATTTTCTGGAGCCTTGCATTTCTGTTTGCTGGATTCCGATGGCTCCAATGTTGACTTGCGCTTCTCAATTTTAACAGGTTGCGGAGAATAATTGAACAATGTTACTGAAGAGCCACGCGCATAGATTATATCTGAGTCAGGGGGGTCAGATGAGCTTAACGCCACGCCAGGACAATGACAGGACATGATGGTTAAGGGTTACAGCATTACAAGGACACGCCTTCGGTCTTCTCTTCGATGACAAATTGTATTTACAGTAGCAAGGGAGGAAACACGATATTTGTGCAGTCTTGCTCTTCTTTCATCTCTGCAAACAAACACAGTGTATCCCTTTGCGTCCTCACCCTGAACATATAATTGGCCGTGAGCAAACGGATCAGTCCACAGGTCAAGTACTGTGCGCACCAGTGTGAGTCCTTGGCAACCATTGAATGTGGTTGCATGCGCAGCATGCAGTGGAAATTGCCTTTGGCTTGCTGTCCACAATGAACCGTGTGATGAGTTGAACGGTCCCAAGTTCGGTGGTTTGCCCTCCATCTGACGACTCGTGTGGGTGAATTTGGAACAAAGATGGTTCGGAAGGTGGATTGACGACTTAGGGCAACAAAGCAGAAAATTGAGACAGTTGCTTTCGTCAGGCCAGGGTCGGCCCGTTCTACTTGCACCTGAGTAGATGGCACCCGTTGTGCAGGACTGATGAACGGTCCGCTAAGCAGATGGGATGGATGGACAAACATCCCTCATTATTTGTACATGTTAACGCATTTGCTTGACCGGCATTTGCCGGCGGACTTCTGAAAAGTCACATGCAAAATTTCGTACTTTGTCCATCCTCGACATTTACAATTGGGCTTTGTTGGCGGCGGCGGCCTCCTCCTCCTGCTTGCGCGTCTCTTCGGCCTTTGCAGCCTCTTCCATCTCTCTGAGTATGCAGGAGCTCGTCTTCGAGCTGTTTCCTGTGGGCTGAGGGACAGAGCAGGGCGCTGGATATTGTAGTATCGGTGAGCGTCCTTTCTTTTTGGTTTGCTTAAACTCCCCTCCCTACGAAGCCCGGTATGGCCCATCCCCGCCCCAAGGCTGAGTAGTGGAGCGCCGCTTCCCCTTCCACCACATCCACATATTTTGACCGTTTTTTCTTTCTTGCTCACTCTCTATCTAGATTACGTCCTGACCAGCGACTGCTGCTACCCAAGGTCGCGAGGTGAGATCGTCCCTTCAATTCATCTGCATCACCAACACTAACGTCGTCCTGTCCCTCAGTGTCATTTCAGCGCCGAGAACGTGCTCCGTTCAAATTCGGGTCAGATTTGCACCGTACATTCAAGCCTTCCTGCCATTCCTGTATCCTGCCCTCAAAGCACACGAAGATACCCAATTGTGCATGGTCGCCGTTGGCATCAGTTCTCACCACTCTCGTCAACCAGGCGCTTCTCTCATCCCATCAACAACCCCACTCATTGCCCTAAACCTTTGGTCATCCGTCCGAGCGAGCGCAACAACTCTGGTGAGTTTTTTTTTATTCTTATTTTTATTATATTTGCACTTCACTTCCTGGTCCAACACGCCTCCAGGAGGCAACTTGGACCAGAGGCTGTCAGGCTGCGAGGACACGCCTCTACGAGGCGACTCTGAGCATTTAAGCCTGACAGTTTTTAACTTTTATCATATCGATTCCTACTACCTACCATGTGTACTGACTTCGTTTCTTGTACTAGGCTATTTACCTTATTTCCGGCCTGACTTCTGGCCGACTTCCACTGGCAAGGCCCTTCGTCGCATCTCATAAGGAGCTGCTTCCATTCGCACAAAGGGCGAGGCAGGCACAGGTAACGTTGTTGAGGCGGTCCGCCACCAGCGATTGGTCATGAGTGAGATCCGAAAGGCTAGCATTATGAACGCCGCTGGGGGTATTGCCACATTGAGAGTGAAGTGCTAAATATTATCTATCTTGGCTGACGCTTCCATACAATATCTATATTTAATATTAATATCATCAGCTTTGATCCGACCCAGGACTGACATTGAATCTTATTCAATAGCTCCGACTCCAAGTGGGCCGAAGTTCCTCAGCCGCTGTCCGAGTCGCATCACTCCGAGTCTGAGCCTTTCAACTCTTTGATCAAGATGGAGCAGCCCTGCCTTGCCTGTGGTAAGACCTTTCACACACAAAGATCGCTCTCTGGGCATCGTTCCCGCTGCTTGCAGAACAAAGCTCTGAAGCTCTCGGACATTTTACACTGTGCCATCAAACGGCACAAGTCTAACGATGGAGGGAGGTCAAAACGGCCTCGGATTGAACAGGAGGAGGTGATGCAGGAAGCGAGGGACGATGAAGCAAGGGCAATGGATGATAGCGGGATGGATGTGGATGATGATACAGCCGCGGTCAATCAGGTATGTTTTGTCTGGATCGTTAGAGCCAAATCTTACAGTGCACTTACCAATTCCAGAATATTGGTGATCCATCAAATGTACCTCCAGCCCCTACGATCACATCAAAACGTTCTGGACGCACTATTTGCATGCCACGTCGATTCGTTGACTATCTCCCGGGCACACGTACACACCTTGCACACATGCCTTCAATTGTTCAACAGCGACATGCAGGCATTTCGGGTAATGAGAACGAAGCTCCCCAAAGCTGCAGTGCTTCGTCACCCCAGCCATCACCACCACCCTTTGATCTACCTGATCCTCCCCAGCTTATACCCTTCCAAACACAACCGGATATGTTCGGTCTGTACAGCATATATCCAATGCGTCCCACTCTGGCCCCAGAAGCTAACTGCACACTAGAGGGTGTCACAGATGCTCCGACCCTGGAGGGTGCATGCGCTACCCCTCACAGAGTGCACCCAGGA